CGTTCACTGCACATCGTGTCGCAAGCGCGATGGCAAGAACACAGAAGACGTTTCGCGGCTGCGGAAGCCGGGGGAATGCATTGTATCGTACTTACGCACGCGTTGACGAAACTTTTCGCATAATCGAATGTGTTCGTTATTATTCTTCGATCGTTGCAAATTTACGGCCGATTTTTTGAAGCAATATATCGCGGAATATATACCATTCGCAGTAACCGCAACGTCGTCAGTTGTTGGTTGCTCTTTTTTTTTTTCAATTTACAGCCTACGTTTTTCCTCGAGTGTATACCGCAGCGATTGCGCGCTGGCAATTTTCGAGCTTGGAAATCTCTCTCTCTCTTGCTGCGTTGCTATAGCCAGAACAAAATTATACTCTATATTCTACCGAAAGTGTTTCACTCTCTTGGGAGTGAAGGAGAGAGGTAGAGAGAAAATTGAAAATGCTCCGTGTATACGGTCGTTTTCCAGGCCTTGCGAAAGACCAAGGCTTTTCCCTCTTATTAATTTCTTGTATATATCTATCCAGTTGGCTATTTTTATCGTCTGTATAGCGCAGCTCTTAATCAAATAGTGCGCGAGCACTTAGTTTTTGGAAATATACTCCGTGCACGGAGAGATTAATAGGCGCACACGATATACGCGGGGCTTAATTGACTTTCAAATTTAATTAAGGTGAAGTTAGCGCATGCTGCTGCACAAACAAACATATAGATATCTCTCTTTCTCTCGCTCGTCGCGCCGAGTGCATACGCGCGCCCGCGCGGCTTTTACAAATGACGCAACAGACTTAATAATCGCTTATATACCCATGTACTCGCACATCCCCCTTGTAATACGTGGAAAAAGTCGGCGTAACGTTTAATGCATTCTCAATTATCGCCATAATTTACACTCTCGTCTTTCTCTCTGCTGCGTGTGTGTATATACCTTAGATTCGATCTTTTATCGCGTCGTTAGAATCGTAATACTCTCGGCTTGTGTAGTTGTTGCGTTATAAGACCATGTGTCAAAGTCAATGCTGCGGATAAATCATGCCGCGGATTTTCCATCTCTCTCTTTCTTTCTCGCGCGCGTTACACACGGTGTGCGCAATATTTTCCGTAGAAAGTGAAGGGTATCCAGCGCGTATGAGTGAGCGAGTATATGCGCGCGTGTGTGGGTTTTGCGTCTTGTTTATTATTACGGAGAGCTCGAAGCGAAGTCACGCGCTAGCTTCGGCCTTTTGTCTATTGTTTTTTGCCTCGTGCTATGGGCCACTCGATAACAAATACAGCTTATGTAAGGGACTTCCATTGTTGTACACATTTTTATGAGCACCGAACTTTGAACATTTTTAGGCACGTTGAGTTTGGTAAACAACAAGTCATGCTGCACTTCTCTAATTTTTCGAGGTTGCTGTACTGCCCATGCGCACCGTGGTCCATCGAAAATATGAAACCTGAAATCTTACGACAACAGTTTAAATGTATCAAATGCTATGTGTAGAACATCTGTAACACCGTAACAATGTATTTAATTGTTTTTGAGTATCCACTTTCAAACAGGACATTGAAAACTTTCACAGCCTATTATTGTAAATAAATAAATTAGAAACATTGATTCCTGCTATCAACCCTTGAAGTTTCACTTCAAAAGTACACGCACACCGTGCAAAATCATCCTCGTAACCGTTTAAACATCGTATGTGAAACGTGCGCGTCGCGACAAGCGCGTTACAAAACTCGCGAATACTTAAACGCACGCAAAAACGTCGCGCATCGTCGTCGTCGCGCCTCAAAAGCGCCATCGATCTTTTTCGAGCGTTTCATTTTTCTCGACTCCGCAGCTGCTGCTTTGCGTCTAATGCACGCGTACTCGGTAATGTGCGTGGCACACAACATTGTGTCACCATAGCTTTCGGACTTGTCATTTACGAAGCGCATTACGGTGAACTAAGAGTCAATTACTTTCACGCGCACGTCTATGCACGTATGTTTGCTTTTCTTATTGCGCAACGAGTATGACGATAGTTGCACAATTGCACTTTCGTCGTTGGCTGCTGTTGCTATAGTACCAATTATGTATACCCGATCGCGAGCGATTAAATAAACATCGGAGCTAGAACTCGCAACGGTCGATTTTTGCCTCCCTGAAATTATAACCACGAAGCGAGGTAAGATTTTTGACAATCACCGCCTCGAAAGCGGGTTAACGAGCTTCGATCGTACGTATATATAGTTTTGTAAGCGTGCACGTGCGTATAATAGTCTCGACTATTGTTTTGCCAGCCACATATAATATCGATTGTAATTCGAAATCAGTGTTTGTCTTGCAAAAGCTCCGAATGCGTGTGTATCACAATAGAAACGAAGACGGAGAGAGAAAGAAAAAAAGCATTAGCATACATTGTTATTCGCGCAGCTCGTATCCATGAAAATAGATGTAAATGTCTCTCTCTCTCTCTCTAATCTATTATCTATGTGGGTCAGTGATTCCAACTGCAAGACTACTGTACGTAATCGGATACCCGAGTTCGTCGTGAAAAACATAATTACGTAATAAAATTAATTAATTAATTTTAATGAAACTGCGCGGTGTGCTGCCGCACGCACCGCGATATGTCATGCGCCATGCAAGTACGAAATTGACAAAGTATAAGAATTACCCGATATACAGCTGAGATAGTTGCTGCACATACACACGTATATATTACGCGGCGAATGTAGGTCACGATGAAATCGTTTGTCTTCCTACTACATAGTGTACGTCAGTGTGCGTCTATATACGAGTATGGTGCAAAGTCATAGTTCGCTTTCGCTTATCGGCCGCGCAGCACATAATAATAAATGCGCGCGCGTCAGAAAACGCGCGGGTGGAAACTCGACATATGAGTTGCGCAATTCGTCCGTCTCTCTCTATAACATTTCTAAGCTATTATATATAGTGGGTAGCGGGGCACGAAGAAGGGGATATTTTTCTTCCATACGGTGACTTGGAAAGTTTATCCTTCCTTGGTCGGGACCGGAGCTTGTCGTTGTTGCGACGTTGTACCAATCAATCGAACCGTTTTCGTCTGATGCAAGCTCTCTCTGTCTCGCATAGCACGGCGCAGCACTGCATGCATAAACGAGCGTGGCTGTAAATGGAGTTCGTGTATCTTATATCGTTATTATTGTTATTATCGTAGCGGAAGTCGACGGTCGTTAAACTCTCTCGCTCGCTTTTTTCGAGCGATCGACGAGCTTTGATGACAGCTAGCAGAGAGAGAGAGACGAATTGTATCGCTCTCCCGGTATTATGTACACGCGCAAGATGGGACCGATTGTCCTCTCTACTGCTGCTGCTGCTACTGTCATACGCAGCGCTGCGTGAACAAAGTTTTCCGGAGCACGAAAAGCCCCCGCACGAGTGGCGCGAGCATTTTTTTCTTTCTTGCCGATACTTTCTTTCTTTATTTCATTCGCGATGATCTCTGCCGCTGCTTCTAGCTAAGCTCAGCGAGGCTCGCGCGACGAGAGAGAATAAAATGCGATATTTAACGACGACAAAGCGCTGCTCTTGCGTGCGGATCATCGAGATAGACAAGAGAGAGAGAGAGAGAGAGAGAGAGAGAGAGACGGAGAGCAGTGTACGAGTATATAAAACATCTTATTACAACGGCCGCCTGCAACAATGCGCTGCTGCTTATAAGGTCTTATGTACGCGATGCGTGCACGTATACGCAGAGAATGAAACTGGAACGCGCGCAAAAGAGAGCTTAATATTGGCTCGAATGAGCCTTAGTCTGTATGTATAACAGCGCGTAATACTTGGAGCTACGCACACACGTACACACGTTGCATCTCTTTCTCCCGAGTTATTTTATATTATGTCCCGCGCTCGGCTGAAACTTTTTCTTCCTCCTCGACGCACTCTCGGTGTTCTCTTTCCTTTGGCACTTGTAAGCGCTCCGTATACATCTCGTACGCTTCCCTTCTCGTATCGTATACGTGCTCGCCGACGACCTCGAAAAAAAAAAGAAAAAATTTAAAAGGAAAATCAATTACAATGACCCGAGCAACAAAAATTACAATAAACGTATAGTTGTCGGCTCGCGCGCGTGTCGCATAATACAACGCTGCGAAAATTCAATTTCCGCGAGAATCGGAGCTGCATCGAGCGCGCAGCTCGTACCGCGCCAGCTGATGTGTGTGTACGTGAGAAAAGAAGACGGACGGATTCGGACGACGACAACTCGCGTACTCTACATACGTATATATAGCGATAGCGCGAGAGAGCGCGTCATCGTCCTTGGTGAAGCTAAACTCAGGGCTGGCCTCCCCACCTATATAATTCGCTGTACCGCTACTTCGCGTTCGCGCGCGCGCGCTAACATTCGCTCGCGGGAAAAATGCGCTACGCTAGCTGGAAAAAAAAGGCCTACGTTGGCACGTGTGCCGCTGCACAACATGCATTTGCAACAACTGCAAGGCTACATGCTGCTGCCGCTGCTGCTGCTTGCGCAATTGTTGTGTGTGCGTATGTGCCTAGGTGCCGCTTGTTTCTCGTTCTCTATCTCTTTTTCTCGTGCGATACGTAGCGCTGGGCTCTATACTTGTCAAGTGCATTGAGTAGTAGTAGTAGTAGTAGTAGTATTATGTGCACGCGTGTTATCGGGCGCTGGCGGTAACCGGGCTCTCTTGGATTTTCACGTCGAGGTGAGAGAATTTGATCAACGACGACAGGCGCGAAAGCGAAAATGTATAGCGATAATAATTGCCGAGCATCAGTATACGGAGATCCGTTTGTATAGCGGCGCGTGTGCTCGATTCGAGAGACGAGTAGCTCTGGTGCTAGATAAAAAATCCTCTCGTCAACGCGTTGCTCGATATCAAGTTTTTGTAAAATTTTCAATTTCATTCATGTTCTGCGAGTCAGGTTGCGATCTTATCTTTTTATTGAACGAATAAAATTTATTTGCAAATTGTATAACGACATTTCGTGTATCCACGTGACTGATGTACATGTTTTTTTTTCTTCAGGGCGACAAAGGCTTTCCAGCAGGTGATATGGGTGGATCCGAGTTTCTCGCGCGCCTGCGAGGTCCACTTGCGGCTCGGTCTCATATTGAAGGTACATAATGACTTCGAGGCCTCGCTGAAGCATCTGGGATTGGCGCTCATCGACGTCGCGTCGCCGTCGTCGCTCACAAAAGTCGAAAGTAAGTACAATGATAAAATGGATGCAAACGTGCTGTGTGCGAGAAAATGTAATTCATAAGAAAGCGGTCATTTCATACAGATTCTTCGAGTGGAATACAGCGAAGGTCTTGTTGTGTTTGTCTGATTTTTTTTTATATAATACATACTCGTCACGCACCTGACACGACCGATCATCGATCCTTACTAATCGACTCTTTTTTTTTCTCTCTCGTTTGCCAATTGCAGTTAAATTTCACATAGCCCACGTGCTCGAGCTACAAGGCAAGACCCGCGCGGCGAGGGACCAGTACGAGGCCATCCTCAAAGAGAAGAACGTTCCGTTGCACTTGAAGGCAGATATATGCCGTCAGTTGGGTAAGTGGAGAAATATATTTTTGTACACACACGCGCACATTACTATTATTATAACGCAGCACGTGCAGATATATATCGCATGTGCTACGTTGTGCTGTTCCCCTTTGACGCCGTGACATATTTTCATTATTATATATATTTGCCGCCGGCGGCGGCGGCGGTCGAACGCGCGCGAGTAGCAGCACTGCTGCGCCGCCGCCATTCGCGAGCGTGAGAAAAAGGGTTTGTGTTTACTCTGCAGCAGCACCACCACCGACCTATATGTGTACTCGGTGTTATGATCGCAAACATATCATATACATGTACATAGAGAACTCGCTCGACGAAAGAATCTCGTAAGGGTTTTTCTAATGCAGCAGCATTCTAACATCGAGAATAGAAAAATTTTAATACAATAACTGAACGTCAGCTGATACCGTGTACACAAGATGTTCGATTCCACATGCGACTTATTTATTTTCTCGCTGACGAAAGTCTTGCATTATTCTGACCTATATCCGCGCGTCTACGTAGGGATTCGCTCGATTTTTTCTTCTTCTGCTTTTCTTTTTGTACTCAAAAAAGTCCTCTGGCTCTTCCTTTCTTCGAGCTTCCATTATTTCGTACTTCTTTTCTCTCTCTCTCTCGCTTTCTTCTCTTTCTTCGCGCTGCGTGTATACGAAACGAACGAGACAGCTCGCGTTCTATTCACCCACCCGAGAGAGGTCTTTTCACGTGTGCGTTTGTGTATGTGTGCAGTCTATACAGAGAGAGAGAGAGAGGAGTACGCGCTCGGGGGAGATTTTCTTTTTGTAATTTTATCCATCGCCATCGATGCAACAACGATGGAACGACGCCCTCCGCACGCGCGCCGCGTTGTACGTATATTACACGAAGAAAGTATAAAAACGGAGCTAAAGAAAGAAGCACCCGAGACGAACTTCTTTTTCTCCTAGACGCGCGCGTCGGTTTTACAAAACTTTACTCGTGCTTAAAATAGCGGCCCTTGTATGTTGGACGAGCAAAAAAAAACCTCCGTACAAGCAAGCAATCTCGCGTGTTTTCTATAAAATGTTCGCGAATTGAAAATCGAGCGTGTAATAAAGTTGCACGCGCGCACGCAGGACCATACCAGACGCGCGCGTCTATCGATTTATTCGATGTCCGTCGTCGTCGTCGTCGGATAGCGTACAAAGTCTCGAGCTACGGGTTTGTGCGCGTTCGGCTTTTGCTCGATTGGGAATCGATGCTTTTGTGCTTGTACGAAGCTCGGGTCCGAGCAGGGAGTAGGAGTAGTAGTAGCAATCCAGTGTTGTGCTCCACGGGGATGAAATACGTGCGTTGGACGACGACGACGATGACACTGCATCCGATCGCTTGGAAAATACACAAGACGTTCTTTTTTTATCTCTACCGATTATTTCGTAGTTAAATTCACGAGCTTTCGAGGTTGGAAGAAGGAAAAAAGTTTAAATGCCCGCAAACTCCTACATTTGATACACATAGACCGCACATCGACACTTGCGCAAACGTCGCAACGTCGCCGTGCTCGGCACGACACTCCCCTCGTGAGTTTTCAAGCCTGTTATATCCTACGTTTCTCTACGCTACATACATACATAGCATTGTATAACAGTCGGTCTGTTGTTGTCCGGAGCGTTTTGTGTGTTTATATACGTGCGAGTGCGTGTGCACGTACGCGTACATACGTCTGTGGCAGATGGTCTGGCATCGACGTCGCGTCGTCTCGTCGTCTCGTGGCTGCGTTTTTCTTTCACCACCAACACCACCACCATTTAAATGCTACCCTGGACTCTGTAGGTTTTTTTTTTAAATTTTTTTTTTCGCTCTTGTCACCGAAATCGAAGACGCACGTAGAGAGCAGCGGTGACACTGGTAGCATTCGCGAAGTCGTGCGTGCGTAAATATCGCGTCGTCGTCGTCGAAGGGGAAAAGTGAATTTCACGGTGGCAAATCGAGAATTTACGACAAATGCGCGCGCTCGCTCGCTGAAAATCGATTCGGAGAGTAGCGTTTGAGAGAGAGAAAAAAAGCGAGTACTCGAAACAAAAACAAAAAAAGCTCCGCAAGCGCAACCGCACGTATGGCAAAAAGCACGTGTTCCTTATTATATACCGAGGTGGCTGCATCGGAGCGCGTGTTTATTATCTCGCGAAGCGTCGCGCATATACAATAGACATACGCACGTAAGGCGTATGAGAAAGCGAGCGAGTGAGACAGAGACCCCCCGCGATTCTACCGCGTGCGCGACCCAAATATTTTCACGAGAAAAAGACGTCGAATGCCAAGAAAAGACAAATTGACGCTTTTCGTCGTATCGACGCTTTTTTTCCTCTCGGTTTACGTGCGTTTGGGGCGTTTTTTGTCTCGAGCTCTTTCCCATCTGGAATCGCGAGCCTGAAAATTAGCGGCTTACTCCTCTCGTGCATCTCTGCATACAAATTTATTCGTCGTAATGAGAGAACCCGAGACGAGCTTTGTCGAAAGAACTTTGAGAAATCGTGTAATTTATTTTCTCCTCTCGAGAGTGTCAGAGTGTAAGACTTTTTCCGTCAAATTTTATCCGCAGTCGTTCCATATAAAACTCCTGGAGAACAGAGCGCGTAAAGTGCAATTCATTTGTAAAAAAATATATAATTTGATCGATCGATGAATTACATTCTTACAATATCAAAACGAACGTATTATAGCTACAGGGGGGCCAGGAAAAAAATGCGTTTTGAGGTGAGCGTCTATATGCCCGCGCGTATATTATAAGGGGAAAAATATTTATGTGCGTCGATATTTACGGCCCTCGCGCGCTCATGCGGATATACTACTACTACTACATATCGAAAAGCCAAAAGGGGAGGCACGTCGTACGTGCTTTTATTATATTCACTCGAGGATAGCCGAGACTTTTGACTGTAGCATTATAATACGAAGTCGTACACAATTGATCTTGGCTATTTTATATATAATATAAGCTACTCTCTCAATGGTACACACGGATCGAGAGAGAAAAGATTTATTGAATGATGCATAATACATTCGGTAATCGCGTAATTTACTGTGTACACGCTACATAAGTCTCGAGATAATTCCAATTGACTAATTAACTTCTCGTATCGATATTTATGTAATATTATTATACGCTTCCGAACACACGACTAATCTCGAAGAGCGTGAACTCGAGTCGGTGCGCGCGCGTCGAGGCATTTAAAAATTTAAAAACACACACACGGCCGAGCACATTACTTTCATCGCTCGCACGACGAAGAGTTACGTCAGAGAGGCTCGTCGAAGGCGAGTCACACAACACGACAAGTCATCGGATGTCACACGTGAAATAAATCTCTCGCAAATATGACGGGTCTCTCTCCGTTTCGTTCGGAGATGATAAAAAAAAGAGAGAAGAAAATAGAAGAAGTAAACATCCCAACGCGGGCGTGCCTCTTCACGCAGGATCTCGCAGTTTTTTAACCGCGATCACGGTAAATCACTTATCTCGTTTGATCTCGTTCATGCTTTACCTTGACATTCGACTTTTGTATGAATTGCATCCGTCAACGATGACGAGTAGGAAAAAATATTATCGAGCGAGAGCGAGCGAACGGCACAATACAACTTTTGCGTACAGTCACGATTCAGGTGTGCGCAGATAATTCAGTCATGTGTGTAACGAGTGTATACGCGAACGCGGCAGGTATACACACACACAACGAGCGATCCCCCCTCTTTCGCTCGCGCGAGCGGCGCGTAACCCTTTTATGTCGTATATACCTATGCGAACGCACTTCCGGCATGAGAGAGAGAAGGAGAGAGGAAGTTTGCGCTTAGAGAGAAGCTGAACTGCGTATATACCCGAGCAAACTGGGTTTGTGTTTATATTATATACGCGCAATGTGTTATACCGGAGACTTTCGAGAAGATGATGAAGAACTTCACGTACCAAAATAATTGAATTTTTCAATTTATATAATACTTTCGCGTGCAAAATCGAGCTTGCTGTATCGATATGTGTAAACTGAGGGAGGGGGAGTCGAGAGTCTAATCAGCTGCTGGCGCGTGCTGTTTCTTGCGTTGTCAGCTGTTTTCAGAGTCGCAAACTCCCGACGCGAATGAATTATGGAGCGCCGTCGCGTCGAGCGACATTTAAATACCTTCAAGATTACGATCTCTCGCAGGCGTCTTCTATATGCTCGAATTAATACAATCGCGTCGTGTCGATTTTCGACAAATTTGTATATAGACGAGAATGTATCGTCGATCGAATTATGGGTTTTTTTCGGCTACTGTTCGCGAACACTTATAATCGTATTATAAACGAATGTAATATTCTGCGGTCTAATGCTATTTGATGAATTTCGCGTCTACCCTAGCGTATAACAATAGCGTATACATGAAAGAGCCTCTGCGTAAATGCATGGAGCATTATTATGAATACACCCGGTAATTCGAGATCTTGCGTACATACATATCCGAGAGAAAAAAGACCGGTGGATCGGGCTTGTATGCTATAGTATACCAACTCGAGAAGAAGCCCGAGAGCAGCGCATACAATGCCAAACGAGCGGCCGTACGAACTCCGAAACGTACCGTATCTCTTATCAGAATAAAAATCGACTCGCGCGCGTGCTCGCCCGTCGTTATTCGGCCGCCGATCGCGAGAACCAAACGTGAGTTTTTAACTCCGATGAAATCTTATCTCGTCGCGGGTTTCTGGATCATTGAACTTGGAAAAATGTTCGACTAATGTGCTCAAATACACACACGAAGACACATCGCGGAGCATTTCTCTCGTCAGTCCCACACACTTGCGTCGCGATCATAGAAAATCGGGCGTACGTACGCGTATTTGTACGCGCTACTATAAGGATAGAAGGAATAAGTAGACAAGAGAAAAAGAGAGGGATAGCTACAGACGTTTGAAAAATCGAGAGCGGTGGGGCACCACGACACATACTCCGCACAGCCAAGTAGTTTCATAGGCAAGAAGAAAAAAAAAGATAGAGAAAGTAACACCCTATAGCTTATGTACTGTACGAACTGCTGTTGCCGCTGCCGCTGCTGCTGCTGCATGCCTAGGCGAGCCGACTATACTACTTCTCTCTAGGCGCGCAATCTATTATACGTATATAACACGAGTAGTCGCAGTCGTCGTTTCGCTCGCGTTACATCGGGACACGCATGCACGGCACCGAACCGCTGCTGCTGCTATAGCTCCAATAGACGCGACGACCTGTGTGTCTGTGCCGTGTGTGAGTTTTTTTAAGTGCGTGTGCATGTGTCTGTCTGTGTGCGTGCCTACGTGACCTGCAACAACAGCGGTAAAGCAGCAGTACTCAAAGGGGGAAAAGAAAGTAACGAATACATTCGCGAGTTGGAAAAGAAAAGTTTTTTTTTTTTCAAGTTTTCGTGTACCGCAGCTGTGCTCTTGTGACTGTGATTTTTGCTGTTAATTTATATATATAATTTAAAAAGAAGTTTATGCGGTCTTATCGTCGGTTACCCTCGCAGTGCAGTGTGCGCGAGTGTGAGAAATCGAATGTCGGAAGTCGATGTCAAAAAAAAAATGTGGCGCCAGTGTATCATTACGTGTTAGATAATTAGGAGAAGAAAAAAGAACCATTTGAAAAATCTCGAAGCATCCTCTCGACTTGTGGCTTCTGTATCATATAACTTTTATTAAGATGTAAATATTTCATTTCGATTAATAAGCTAATGATGAAAACCGATAGAAACTGTCATTTTAATTAATAGTACACCACTGCCACCACACATTTATATGTTGAAATGAAAAAACGAAGAATCTTTGTTTAATATTTGCGTTTATTTTTGTATTTCCGCAGGATGGCTGTATCATGTTTCCGATCCTAATGTATTTGGGATCAACAAGGGCCAAAAACTCAGCGTCGCGATACACTGCCTCCAAAAGTCTATAGGCGCTGAGCCGACCAGTGGACAGAGCTTATATCTCTTGGGACGCTGTTTGGCGACGTCGGGTCAGGTGCACGACGCTTTTATCGCATACAGGTGCGTGTGACATCACATTTCAAAAACATCCGCGCGTTTTCAGCCAACCATCACACCTGACTCTAATTATTTTTCTTTTCGCAGGAGTTCAGTAGAAAAATCGGAGGGCAACGCGAATACCTGGTGCAGCATAGGCATACTGTATCAGCAGCAGAATCAGCCGCTCGACGCGCTCCAGGCCTACGTGTGCGCGGTGCAGCTCGACAAGACGCACACAGCCGCCTGGACGAATCTCGGCATACTCTACGAGAGCCACTGCCAGCTAAAGGACGCGCTGGCTTGCTACGTCAACGCATCGAGGTACAGAGAGTCGTTGCCGACCGACAAAACTTGAATACTTTTTTTTTTTGGTGCCGCTCTCGCTCTCTCTTGGCATTTTTTTGGCCTCGGAAGGATCATCGATCGAATTGCTGTTTACGATTTATTTCTTTGATCGTATCGATGATCGTTCAGCTGGAAACGAGAGTGCGGTGTCGAACCACCGACGATGATAATTATTTGGACGTAGGAAAACTATTTGCACGCATTATTTCTGCTACGTAAACGGCCAAAACGTTTTCTTTTCTTTAAAACGCATATAAAAAAAGCTGTCGATGAGTCAAAATTCTGCATTGCAACTAAAAGATAATTGGCTGACGTAAAATATATGACACTTTTTTCATCGCTATTCGTGGCCTATCTGTAGCTTATAATTTTCATGATCTCAGATGAACCTATGGACGATAAATAAATCATGTTATGCAAAAATTAATTCTTTACTGATTGAAGCCAGCATTTCTCATAATAGACAAACCACGTTCACAACCATAATAAATAATGGATGAATCCTTTTGTGTGACTGTAAGTCGAAAAAAGGTTAACGAGATGTCTCGTCTCTCATCCTCTCATCCTCACTACATATTTATACATCAATGTAATTTGGACGATCCTTCACCTGTAACCGGCAAAACTCAACGAATTATCATCAGTGTACCTTGGATCTGTTTTACTAAACGCGTACATTTTACTTTTCAACAGGGGAAACAACAACAACAGTACCACTGCCATAACCAATATTTCAACGTCAGCCAATAACGCTGCCAACAACAATAATCAGAATCAAGCGCCCAACGGTCAGCAGTCCAACTTCCCGGGATTGTTAGTTTCTTGTGGTGCACCGAATCCTTCACTTTTGCAACGCATAAATTACCTTCAGAGTTCGCTGAGGGACGCACCCATGCCTTCTGTCGCTACCAAGTGAGTATTTCATCATTTAAAAAATAATAACTCGATTTAATCTTGTATACTCAAAATGATTCTTTTGTAATTGCAGACGTCGTACTTTACCGTCGATTGAAGAAGCTTGGAACATGCCGATCAGCGCGGAGCTATCGAGTCGCCAGCAGCAAATGCAGCAGCAACAGCAGAATATCAAATACGCAGCTGGCGGAGCAAACGCCCCGCCACCCTACGCTCAAGCAAATAATGGACCCAACAAAAGATTTAAAGTAAGATTGTTCATTCCAATCGGCCGATCGGTGGGAACATTTAAAAATTGCTCTGATGGATTAATCTCTTTCTGGGTGATGTTGAACTGCTCATAAATTTCAAGCGACTTGAACAACATGCTCATGAACGAATATTTTGAACGTAGCGAACCGTTGAATCCTAGTTATTTATCATTTAGAAATGTATATCTCTATGCCGTCTGCCTATTCACTCAATATTTTTTATGAATTTTTATCACCCATAAAGAGGCACTTTGAAATACATTAAATTTTCATATAAAAAGGTTGAACTATTGATCAATATTCTGTTCTCTTTTTCAAGTGCAGAATGAGAGATATGAAACCTGCATTGTTATGCGCTGGCGTTATTCAGACGCCCAATTAGCGGGCTTTTCGACTTTTCAACAAATAATTTCCTCAAATTGTCATAAATTCTACTGGCTATTCTTAGTCATGTTGTGATTTTCATTTCTTGTTGAAAAAATGCCCAAACATTAATTTTTAAACCCAAAGATAACTTGAATCGATCAACAGAAAACTTATCTCTGGAATCGAATTCATACTTTGCTGTATTTACTACTGTCCAGTGGTGTTATACAACAGGTTTGGCATAAGTGTTTAGAGCATAGAATCAAAAGAAAAATCAAAAAATATTTTTCTTTCTAATTGTTCATTGCAATACCATTTTTATAATTTGTAAACATTTCTTTACATATTTTACAAACATTTGAAACAATACTCGTTACCTTAAGACTAGAAAAAGCATGTTCAAGCGTATTTTGAGTTTGCTTGATTAACATTATTATTTTTACCTTTTATATCATTACGCTTGCTTACTCATACATCTATAACAGTTCGCAATCTAATTTCTATTGTCGTTATACATTTCATCCTACAACATGATACAATACAGTCATGCAATTCATCACTTTTTATTTATATTTAAACACTGACCCCCATTTGGGATTGCAAAATTATAAAACATTACAATAATTTTTTCAGGCGGATGAAGTTGGCAGTGGACAGGTTGCTGTGCAACAACCAATGCAACAACAGCAGCCTCAGCAGCGGCCAGCATTTTATCTCAATCCACAACAGATGCAGATGCTTCAAGTTTTACAACAAAATCAAAGCAATTTGAATCCTCAGCAGCAAGGAATACTTAATCAGTTGCAGAATCAGTATAGGGCTATGCAACAGCATTCGCAGCAAATGAGAATGCAACAACAAAATCCTGCAGCCCAAAGAGGATTGAGACCCGGAATGCCTGGTTATCCAGTAGGATATGCTCAGCCTGGACAACCTGGCGCTGTCAATAAAGCATATGGAAATCCGCAGCAGCCGGTTAGTAGAAAATTTTTTTATTGATGCGTGCAAATGAATCAAAATATATTTCAACCTTAACATTCTATTTATTTAAATTTCAGCAAAGTGGAACAGTTGCTTTGCAAACTGGCTTCAATGATTCAAACGTTAATTACAACGCAGCAGCAGCCACGGGCAATTGCCAAACAGCTGGTATGCCTTACAAGTCCGCTTCAGACCCTACTTATCGTCCACCAAGTCAGAATCAACAGCCAGCTACGCCGCAGTTGCAACAGCAGCAGCAACAGCAACAGCAGCAGCAACCTCAGCAACCACAAACACCCCAAGGAACGCAGCAGCAGTTTGCTAGCCAACAGTATCAACAACAACAGTACGGTTACACACAAATATCGTCGACCACGAGCTGTTACCCAGAAGGATCGTCTGCCAATGCTAACAAAGATGCTTTGAATGTGTCAGATCAAGAATTACAGGCACTCTTATCCCAAAAAGATATAACCACGTCTTTTGCGGAGGATCTATTGAAACACTTTGCTGATCAAGGACTGGATGTTAGAGAGGAGAGACAAACTATGTTGAATAACGGTATTAGTTCTGGATCTACGCCTCCATCCAGCAATAAAGAGCTAGACCCCAAAGATATTAAAGTGGAAAAAATGGACGAATCTAAGCCATTGACAGCGTCTGTCAAATCTGAACCAACAACAACCATTGATGCGGTAAAGTGCGAAGCAACTTCATCAACGAAAAATGACCCAGCAGCGTTATTGCGTTATGAACCAGTACTGCGCTTGGAGCGTTTGAACGAAAGTCAAGTTGAACCGGAATTTACAATTGATATGGATTCACGACGTATTGTAGAATTGTGTAAACAATACAGTCACAAGAGTATACCTAGTAGTTCTATTCTGAATGACAAAGCTCCTCCGCCGACTCCACCAGATCCGCCAAGTCAGAGACTTACGAAAGAACAACTACAACCAGCTACCCCTAGTGTTTTCTTGGAGAATAAACGAGATGTGTTTAGTCCAATTTTGCAAGAGTTTTGTTTGAAGCATCCAATTGCCGTTGTTCGAGGTTTAGCAGCCGCTTTAAAATTGGACCTCGGTTTATTTTCTACTAAAACACTGGTGGAAGCTAATCCTGATCATACGATCGAAGTCCGTACCCAGCTTCAACAAGGTTCTGATGAAAATTGGGACCCTACCTTGTCTCGTAAGGGTTGGGCTTGTATTAGTCATCGAAGTCATACAACAATCGCTAAGTACGCTCAATACCAAGCGTCTAGTTTCCAGGAAAGCTTGAAAGAAGAACGAGATAAAAGTTACGGTATTCAACCATCAAATTCGACTGCAAACTTATCCGATAGCGATTCTAAAGATAGTACCGGGGTAAATGTAAAACGCAAGAAAAATATGTATGGATTGAAAGGCCCTGTTGGATCCAAAATGTTACGTTTTGGTACAAACGTTGATTTGTCAGATGAACGTAAATGGAAGGTCCAACTTCAGGAGTTGACAAAGTTGCCCGCATTTGCCCGGGTAGTTTCAGCTGGAAACATGCTAAGTCATGTAGGACACGTAATATTAGGCATGAACACTGTTCAGTTGTACATGAAGGTACCTGGCAGTCGTACTCCTGGTCATCAAGAAAACAACAACTTTTGCTCGATTAACATCAATATTGGTCCCGGAGATTGCGAGTGGTTTGGCGTGCCAGATGCGTATTGGGGTGTCATAAATAATCTATGTGAGAAAAACAACATCAATTATCTCCATGGAAGCTGGTGGCCGTCCATTGAAGATCTCCATGAAGCGAATGTACCAGTTTATCGTTTCCTTCAACGACCTGGCGATCTTGTGTGGGTCAATGCTGGTATGTATCATAATAAACTTGATGAACTTTTTTAAAAAATCACACGTAATTTTCTAATTTTAAAACTTTAAAATTTAAAGGTTGTGTACATTGGGTGCAAGCTACCGGTTGGTGCAATAATATTGCTTGGAATGTTGGTCCTTTAACTGCTAGGCAATACCATCTTGCTATAGAACGATATGAATGGAACAAACTTCAGGCTTTCAAATCAATTGTGCCAATGGTGCATTTGTCGTGGAATTTAGCTAGAAATATCAAGGTTTCCGATCGCAAACTTTTCGAATTGGTAAAAACGTGTTTGATGAGAACTTTGAGGCAATGCAATCTCATTCTCGAGTACGTGAAATCGAAAGGTGTTTCAGTACGATTCCATGGACGAGGAAAAAATGAAGCTTCTCATTATTGTGGGCAATGCGAAGTAAGTTGATGCAACTTTTTTCAAATAAATTATTTTTTGTATGTAACACTTGTACTAAATCAACTCACTTATTTCAGATTGAAGTATTTAATGTTTTGTTCGTCCGTGAGCAAGAAAAAAGGCACGTTGTTCACTGCCTTGATTGTGCGCGCAAACAATCTCCCACTCTGGAAGGCATCGTTTGCCTCGAAGAGTATCGCATGCGGGAACTCATGGACGTATACGATAACTTTGTATTACACGCACCGCCTCAAACACAACCAACATATCATCTACATCAACAACAACAATCGACATATCAAAATCAACAACAATCACAACCCCAATCACAGCAACAAACCCAATCACAGTCGCCGAAACAGCAGCAACCGCAGCCACAGCAGCAACAACAGCAACAACAGCAACAACAAGTTGCTCAACAGACATCACAAACCCAACCACAATCGATATCACAAAAATCCCCGCAGCAGCAGCAGCAGCAACAACAACAACAACAACAACAACAACAGCAGCAGCAACAACAACAACAACAACAACAACAACAACAACAACAACAGCAGCAGCAACAGCAACAACAATTTCAATCTCAACAGATGCAACAGCAGACAAATATGCAACCGATTCAGCAACAAGTGCGAAATACACCGCCTCATGTTAATCAAATTTCCTGAGACGAAGAGTCACACAGTAATCCAGGCTATTCTGATTAGACAGTCTATTTGCTGTGCTACTTATTTTTCTATTTCTCGCCTTATGTGATAATTGACTGATGTTTCGCTATTAATAATAGCGCAAAAAACTATTTCTCGTGTACGTGTGTGTAAGTTACCCGTGTTCAAGTGAAGATTTTTCCTCGTTATTAAAATATAATTTTGATCGTGTACAGAAAGGTTATAAATATATATATTATATATAGAGATAGAGGGAGAGATCTAAGTGTATTTTGTATTATAAGCTAGGTTAATGAACTATAAATTGTTTAGTATGATTCTTGTAAATTAAAATTTTTCCGTATCGTAAGTATCGTCCGATAAAAATGAATTTGTGTGTGACAACACTAAGAGACATAATTTTGGGGCGTTGAATTAAGCTTATGATCGACAGATTCAACTTCCTGGTGATCATGATTTATTTTTTTGTTTCAAAAGATTGTTTAATTGTTCCATCACTGCCAAATATAAACGTGCTTATACTTATAACTATTCGGTAAACTAGGAATGAACAAATGGAAAAAGAAACATGTACATCTTTGTATTTTTCTTGATGTGTCTAAATAATGAATTAATTACGGTAATTGAAAAATTGAACATGCTGTGATTTATAAGTGAATATATATTTATATATATTCTCGTGAAAAATCATGTTCAAATATGATAACTTACAAAACATTGTACATGAAAATTTTGTTGATGAATTAACTCTGAATAATTTTGCTTAGAACAAATATTCTTGGTATAATTAATCTTTGAATATTATAAAGTTATGGCTGAACGCAAAAATTGTCAATTTATTCAAAACCGAAAAAATAATGAGCTATTTAAAAAAGATATATATTTTTTAATGATGCTCAACTCAATAGTTAGCGCAAGATGTAGCATATAGTTGAAAAGTAAATATTAATGAGCCTCGTCTAAAAAATATCGACCATTGATAAAAATTACAACTCTGTTGTAAAAACTTTATGAGACAAAAAACATAGATGCACAAAGTTTATTGCTTCAAGCATAAATTTTGTAAAAAAGAAAGAAAAATAGTTCAACCGACGTGCCCAATGATCTCAATATTTGCGCCAAATGTTGGTTATTGTCGGTAATGTAGCGTTAATTAAATCTGCCTGTGTATTTTGTTTTGTCCTTTTCTCTATTCGTAACATCTTGATTTATGTGACAAAAATAATAAATACCTTGCCCTAGTTTTTGTTAAAAAAAAATAATGGTTAGATAAAAATGAATACGTAGTTAGCCGAATATGGAGAAACATTACCGAGATGCTGTCTGTGAATATTTTTAAACTATTTCTAATCATGTTGAAAAAAAAAGCGAGATGGAAATTTAAACTCTAGTATAAAATTATTGTAACCAAAAAGCAGACATTAGCATGCAAGTTAATCTTTTGTTGAAATTAAACACACAAAAAGTTTGAATACAGCTAACTAATGTTCACGTTGAAAAATGTGTAAGTATCTAGAGTATCTTATGTAAAAAATTATTTAGATGTAATATGCATTTTCCTAACAATTGTAAATACGATAAATTTTCATTGACGCATATGATGCTTTGTTCAATTGTATGTGTTCATTAGTGAAAGTATAGAGTCGACCACCTAAAATAGTGTACTTATAACGTTTCTCATTATCATGATAAAAAGAGCTCTCACATTACCAAACAAAATACACAATCCGACCCGATTAACAGAATTCCTTATTTCTTCCAATATTGAAGGTGGTTCTTGGTCTTTGTTGGAAAAACAAACATGAATCTATTGGCTCGGTACTTACCTTTTTCATGAAGTCGAAAAGTTACGGAAAAAGGATTGTAAAACAATTTGTGTATAAAATAATCGTAGCAAATAATAGCAAAATTTTTATCGCCTCAATGTTCGATAACACGATAAAACTTTCTGACTTAGCAATACTTGAAAATTGTACATTTGTATTTTTCAGGCATACATGCATATACAAATATATGTATGTGTACATACGATATAGTGAATCAAAAATTTGAATTTTTTCCATCAAGTTCATTAAATTTTGATTATATTAGTGATTTATTTATAATAAATAATTATTGATTTTATGAATAAGTAATATTGTAATTAGCTATTCTATTATTTATATTATGTAAAATAAAGAATATTGTTGAATTATAGACTTTATGCTTTTTATTTTTTTAGATTGTTTAAAAAATTGAAAAAAACGTACTTTTAAGCATGAGAGTACAAAATAAATGAAATTCGTATAAATATTTTTTCAATTCGTATTATTTCGGCCAATAAACAAAAAAACTGATATTTGTACCAAACTTGTAACATGCAAATATATTTTTATCAAAAATGCAGACGTTCTTTGCTAAAAAAAAAAGATTAAAAAAGAGTTGTCTCGACGGAGTTTGTTTTGTGACAAAGGCTTTACACACAACTTCAAATTAAAAAATGAATGATATTAGAAATCTTGAATTAGTAAAAGCGCATACACTGCCATAAAATGTGATTATTTTTAAAACTTCGTATATAAGAAAATAATAAAATGTCTAAAAGAAACATGTTAGGCACTGCCGATTGTACGTAAATGAGTCGCGATTCCACGTATTTTTTCATGACGCCTCTCGACCGACGATGCGTATTCTCAAATTAAAAATATTGAACGTACCAAGAAAAGAAAGAAATAGAAAGATGTAATGATTATTTGCGTGCTACGGACACGCCAATAAAAAAAGAATACCGCTTTGGTGAACCTTGGGAAAAATTTTGCGTTCAAAAATAAAATAAAATGTGTTCAGACTTTCAAATAAATATAGTAAAAAAGAAGGCAATCAACCTATCGACAAATACTGGAGTTATTTTTTAAATGTTGTAAATCTAAAAAAAAAACGCATAAAGCTTCGAGCTGCCATGTAATAAATGTATGAGCGTGCATATATCTATATACGTGCCAGTGCCTTTCAACTATGTAAAAAATTTCTCAAACTTTTGGAGAAAATCCACCGCTTACAAATTGAGATCGGACACCAAAGAGTATACACACATAGTAAAGAAATCGTCTCATTCTCCCGAAGAATCGAAATGAAAGTCTCACATCAATGATAATTAATATCTAAATATTATTGTAAACTTACGATATCAACAGAAATCTGTGTGTGTTCGTTTAGTTTGTCGTCGATGCGAGAAGACTAAAAAGATATCATAATTTGCGAGCGGAGTGTGTAAATATTTTGAAATTGTTAATAATATGCGTATAAAAAGAAAATAAAACAATCGTCGAACGCTGCAAGCAACATTTATTGTAAGATAGATACGCGATGCAAACCACACACGAGAGCTTATATCCAGGATCACCGTGTCATCTTATCACGACATAATTCAGTTTTTCTCCATACTAGAAAATCTTCAATTACCTAATTACGACCTTAGACACTATCGAAATATTATATATTGTATGCATCATATTGAATCCGCGAAAATCGTACCGTCACGCCACGAGTTATGTATTTGATTAAGAATTGTATTGTAATGGAGTCACCGAATAAACACTGCATATTATATTATATATTACAAAAAACAACGAGAGTATTTCAATTTTTTTGATCATTTATAATTTTTTCGTATAATATAAATATACATCTCATAATTATAATCATAATTATATTTATCTTGCCTCTCTTAAAACGCTAAGAGTTTTCTTACATATATTTTAATTTTACAGCTTGTTTTACTTTATAATATAATATAATGGGCTGCCTGCAGCGGGATATTTATAAATTCTAATTTACGATTATCTCATTATTATATATATACGAAAACGTATACAGAGCAGATTGAATCATTTATGCTTAAATACATCGATGGGTCGAAAAAGAGAGAGAGAAATGGAAGAAAGATAGAGATAGAGCAAAAACACAATTTCACAGCTCTTGAAATTCTCAACGATGCTGCTGCGCTCCGTTGCGAGCAGCATACATGGAACAATTACATTGCGCATTATCATCGAAAACGAGAACCATCGCCTCGCGAGGTCAAGATCGCAATTTCACGAGTATTTGAATAGATAATACGCGTATATACGATATTTTCTGTCTTTCTAGATTAGTTCGGAAGAGAAGATAACCAGCAACTTCTATATCTAGCGTTGTTTCGACATAAGACTTGCCGCGAGGTCTATAAACACACGCGCACACATCGACGCGGGGGAATTAGGGTCGACGACGAATAAGAAATTAATCGCGTTCATAAGTGCTTTTAATAAAAATTATAAAAATAAAAAGATAAGCGAGTACATTTTGGTCCATTGAGAGAGACAGAGAGAGAGATTGAGGAAAGTAAGGAAATTTTCGCGTAGAGAGCAAAGAAAAGGAAAAAAAGGGCCATGAAAAAAAGTCTCCGAAAAAAATGCATGCATATAAGCGCGAGCAGGCCTGTTTTATAATATATATAATAAATAGAAATATATCAGAAGTAGGGCGATAGGTCCTGCAATCGCTCGAGCCCTATATATATAAATACGTAAGTCTAAGGCGCGTCTATCATTTTTTGTTTTTTGTTTTTTTGCTTTGTTTCTTACTGCGCGGTCGTCGCGATTATTCTATTTCCAACTACCGACTGCTCTAAATGTGTTTCGCTAACGCACTACTATACACCCCCCTACGTACGGAGATATCGATCCTACCGATTTATTAGACATTTAGAACGAGCATCATCGTTATGCTTTATACGTCGGTCCTCTTGGCAGCGGGCTGCAGGAAGCGCTTGACCAGCGAGCCGCGCGACGGATCGACGCGATGCTCCGGGCTCTTGGCCTCGCCCTGCTGCTGCTGATGAACCGGACTGTGCAGACTGCTGCTGCCGTCGCGACCTATCGTGGCACCGCGCAGAGGCTCGTGTCAGTGCGGATCGGCGTGTATCTGTTTTCTGCGTGCCTGCACCACCCCGTAGACGACGGCGGCGAGGCTGCGACAGCCGCTACGGCCCCGGGTCGTGCCCTCGGTGGCGGCGTTGATCTTGCCCAGCACGAAGTACGTCTCCATCGTGCCCTTGCCCTTGACCTCGATGGGGCCGCGCTTCTCCGTGCGGTAGCCGCGCGTGTCCAGGTACTGTATAAAGATATCGAGATACAATTGGGCCAATGGGATCAAATTTATATCGTTATTGTACTCACGGCGGCGATGTCGGCGGGCACCTGTATCTTGCCCATGACGCCGGTCGAGTCCATGCGCGAGGCCAGATTCACGGTGTTGCCCCAGATGTCGAAGACGGGCTTGCGCGCGCCGATCACGCCGCCGACGAGGGGCCCGCAGCTGATTCCCACCCGCAGATCGAAATTGTTGAACGAGTGCACGTTGACGTCCTCGAGGCGCTGGCGCATCGCCACCGCGTAATCGATCAGCCGGCAGACGTGCTCCATCTCGTCGGCGTTTTTCGGCTGCGTCCATATAGAGAGATACATCGATTTATTATAAATTTAAAAAAAAAAATTAGGATTAATTGGGTGTTACGAACGTTTCGCGACGGATTGAGTCCGGACGCGGCCATGTAAGTGGCGCCGACCGTCTTGATCTTCTCGATGCAGTGGAAGCGTTTCTCGTCCAGCAGCTCGTCGAAATCGGCTGATGATAAAAAGAAAAGGTTTTTTTTTGTTTGTTAAGAGGAAAAATAAATTCGATATGGCGCTTACCGATGATCTCGTTGAGCAGACGAATGCACTCCATGCCTTTGTTGACGTCCTCGGAATAAAACTCGGTGAAGTTCGGAACGCTCGCGAACAGCACGCCCACCTTCTGTCGGGCCTGCGAGTACAATTCCTGACCAAAAAAATAATAATATAGTATTCATTTCTGAACGAAAAATCGTCGGGGCAAATTTTCTATAATATATATAGGCTCACCTCGGACGGTCGCTCCTGCGACAGAAAGTGATGGGCTATGTAGTCGGGCAGTATGTTCTTGATGAGCTGCATGTTGTTGTTGCGCGACTCGATCATGTCGGACAGTTCGCGCTCGGCCTGCTGCTTCCACAAAAAGTCCATTCTCGAGGTGAGCTCGACCAGTCGGCCGTGATAAGTCACGAGAATGAGAAAGATCACGAGGAATATGACCATCTGCGCCGACAGCGGAATGGACATTCTGCGCAATAATTATTTGTGTATCAATTTTTGAGTAAAATCGCTGAAGGACGATCGAGTCGCGCTGTCACTACTCACGCCTCCTGATCCTGATAGTTCCTGCTGGAGAACCTGTCCTTGGACACGACGAGTATGAGGACGGCGTAGACGATCACGATCATGGTCGCGAGGGCCGTCTTGATGAGGTAGTAGAGCTTGAGGGCCGAGGCGAGCGCCACGAGGCACAATATCCACGTGAACACTATGTACTCGGATCGCAGACACTGCACCTCTTGCAGGATCTTGCGATCCGGCTCGTGTTGTTGTTGTTTATCGTCGTTGTTGCCTCCTTCGCTCAACGTCGTCGTCGTTGGAGCGAGCTGCTGTCGTTTTTGACGATGATGACCCAGCTGCTCGCCGTGATGGTGACGATGACGGTGGCGATGGCCGTCCTCGTAGTATCTGCGAGCAAAGAGCGAGGAATAACGACTCGTCCATTGGTATTTCTTTTTTTTGTACGAAATATTTGTGAATAATTACCTGAGATGATCTCGGTGTCTTCGCGACCTGACCAACGTCGAGTGGTCGATTTTCTCCGTCAGATTACCCACCTCGTCGGCCAACTGATTCTTTTCCTCGGCGAGCGCGGCTTCCAACAAATTCAGAAGCAGATTGTCCGCTCTACGGGCGTCCCTCAAGGACTCCTCCATCGGTTTGTCGGACGCCGTTGGTAGCGGTGTCGCTCGTTGACGCTCGAACAGCGCCGAATCCTGTGGAACCTGTTGCTGCTGCTCTCCACCGTTCTTCACATCAATCCAAACGTTGATTTATCTACTTTCGTTAAAAAAAAAAAAAAAGTAGTGTAGGTCGAACTCACGACTGGACAGGCGATGGCACCGATGACCGAGGTGAGGGCCATGAGGCCGATGACACCGCAGATGAAGACGGTGCGCCGCTGCTTGTTGTGCACCAGACTGGAGCTGAGCCTCTGCTGGGACTGGGGCAGCGCCTTGAACTCGTCCGCCATGACGAGCACGGAGGAGCCGACCAGCAGCAGAGTCGTCGTCGACAGAGCTATCATGAGGATGGCGCAACTGCGCGTATGTACATAAAGAAAACATGAAAAAAGCTCGGCTTTTTAATAAATGCGACTCGATGTACACAAAAGCAGTTTTTCAATTGTAATGTCGAGTTTGTATTTGCCTCGAAGGGATACGTGATATATTAGTTTTGTTGGATATTACTCGTACACATCGGTACAAAGTTTGACAGAGAGAAAATGAAATAATAAATAATCGTGTATAGAGCTTACTCGGGTATGATGATGGCTTGGCACACTGCGATGAACATCCAGATGACGAAGCAGCAGATCATGTTCGACTTGAACATGTCCTCGCGCAGCTGGCGAAACTGCCAAATCACACAATCTCATTATGCACACGATTACTCCCAAATTATATATAAAAAAAAAACATAATATATATCAAACCTTCGACTCGAGAGTCTCGTCGTTGTATCTCAGCGTCCAGGGATTGATGTTGGCTATCCTCATGCGCTTGTTGCTGATCGTCTCGATGCCGCCGCTCAAGCCGCCGCCCATGGCCTTGGACGTCTTCTCGTTGGCCGAGCCGCCTCTGGCGTTGTAGCTGCCGCTGTTGTTGTTGTTGAGCTGCTGCTGCTCGGCGCTCTTGGACGACGCGGCGTCGTCCGCGTCCAGATCCTCGAGATTCGTCACCGACGTCGAGCTGTTCAACTGTCGCAGAACAACGACGTCATTATTAGTCAAGCTGCTTACCCAGGTCGAATCGTTGTCGCAGCTTACATTTTCGAAGGGTATCTCGGGGGTCCACTCGACGGCGATCTCCTCGTCGTTGTTGCTTTGCTGTGGCTGTGTCGATTGGGCTTGCGGCTGCAGCAGTTGAGTACCACCAGCTTGGGTCGTTATCGTAGCCGCCGCTTGGCAATTGTTGACGCCCGCGCCCTGCGCCATCGGATTCGCCTGCACCTGCAGTCGATCGCTCATCTTGAAGCTCTTCTTGGTGCGGTTCTCCTGCGATCCCGCACCAGCACCATCGGTGGCGTCCTGCTGCTGGGGCCAGATCTTCGGTCGCGACGAGTACCTGCGCCTCGACCTCAACGGCTCCACTTGCTTAATGAGATAAGTAACGACGTTGCGATCCTTGAGATAATTGTCGCGCTCCGCACCGTTGCCCGGCTCCACTTCGTACACGTCGTTCAGACACCTGAGCGTGTCCTCGCTTATGTGCACCCTGCCCGGTATCCCACCGCTCTCCAAATGATTGGCCAGGGTGACGTCGTACGACCAGACGTCGAACTGCCACTTGCGCAGCCCCAGAACGCCGCACAGCACGCTGCCGCTGTGTATGCCGATGCGCATGTTGAGATCGACCTTGGTCGTGTAGCGCACGTCTCTAATAGCGCGGATCATGTGCAGGCCCATCTCGACGCAGCAGTGCGCGTGATCGGCACGGGCCACCGGCAGACCGCAGATGCAGTAGTAGCAGTCGCCGAGGAGCTTGATGCGCAGGCAGTGATTCTCGGCGGAGAGCTTGTCGAAGCGCGCGAACAGATCGTTGAGGACCTTGACGAGCTCCTGGGCGCTGCATTGGGAGGCCAGGGCCGTGAAACCCTTGATGTCGGCGAACAGGATGCTGACGTTCTCGTAGCGATGGATGTAGATGCGATGGAACTGGTTGGGCTGGAAGCTGATGGGGCCGCCGCGGGCGGTCTCGCGCGCGATGTCCCGGATCATCTCCTTGGCCACGAAGTCCGGCAGCACTGGGGCATAGAATATGTGTGTTATTCGATCGATAACGTATACGTGTGCGATATAGAAGAGAAAACTCGAATAAAAAACGATCGTATATAGATACGTCGGTGTTGCAGCTGTATTATATTATACAGGTGAGAACGTATATATAATATAATATGGGGTGTACGATGTAGGGTAAAAGGCGCTCCGCTCTCGGGGCTCAATCGACTGTGTCGACGAGGAAAATCCAGTGACCCTTTGGACGTCGTCGTCGTCGTCGTTGACCATATGTGTTGTTTTGTGCTGCTGCTGCTACTCTAGTCATCATCATACGTACGTATATAATATATCGTACGAGGCACACAGGCAACGGATGAGCGACTCCGTATATCACGGGCCAACGAGCCCACTGGCCTTTAATTTGAGCGATATATACCTTCCTTTTTTTTTTAATTTTCTTTTCATTTATTTTTTATTTTTGTTTCATTATTATTGAAAATGTGGCCTAATTTCGGCCTCGCGCTTTATATATTATACCGAGATTATTGTCACACATGATATATACGTACCGGAGAGCAACAGCTTCTCCTGTCGATTGTTCTCGTTCTGGGTGCGCTGGCGCGTCTCCATCGAGCGGTGCGTCTCGAGGAAGGCCTGGCGCTGGCCCCGATCGGTCAGGTACTTGGTGTACAGGCCGGCGAGATTAACCGCGAAGTACAGCAGCAGATTCGTCGCCACCATTTGCGCCACGCACGGCAGGTCCTACCAATAAAATACAAATAAAAAAGCTCGTATATTTTACGCGAAAGCTCGCATTTTTTTTTTAGTACCTCGTGATGTCGAGTATCGTTGAGCACGGTGACGAGGGCGATCAGCAGGTGGGTCAGGGCGGTGCCGAAGCCCGCCAGCACGCACCAGCGCAGCGGCAGCGGCAGCATCGCGTACGGCGCGTACACCACGAACAGTATGTACCACATGAGGCGCTGCTGCGTCAGGAAGTTCAGGCCCGCAACAAAAAAGCCTGTCGAGCCAACGTAAGTGGCATTAAATGTCAAAAGATGCAAAACGACGACGACGAAAAAAAAAAATCGGAGCTTTTTCTACGTGCAGCTACTAGGCACTCGAGCAATCAATTTACTAGTTTGTGTAACGTCGACGCTCGGTTATCTCATTTTCTTCTTTTCTTTATTGCGAGTGCATCTACTCCATCGTGTACAATTGAATTTACCTATACGCGCATCGATTGCAGCGAAATAATAAAGAGCGAGCTTTTTTCCCCACTTTGCCTTGGGGGGTTTTTTTTTTCAACGCACTCGCAACAAAAAAAAAAGAAAAAAGAAAGCTGTACTATTTATGAATCAAAGTGTGTTTGTGCAAGAGCGCGGGCCACTCACGCAGCGATCGCGTATATACGATATAGATCAACGGTAAAAAAAGCAAAAAAAAAAGAGAGAAAAAAATACATAAATGGAAAAGTACCCTGGGAATTGATGAGCAGCCAAGTGAATATGGACGCCCAGTAAAGATAATTGTTGGAGAAGCAGCGCCACCAGCCGAGGCCGCACACCACGACGTTGGCGACGATGCAGCAGAGCGACCAGGCCAGCGACTCGTAGAGGCCGCCCGCGCCCGTCTGGCCGTCGGGCTCGCGTCGCCACAGCCAGATCGAGATCAGGCATGCCTATGCGGATAAGAAGCGACAACGATGTGAATTAGCCACGGTAAAATAAGATATATCGCGAGAAACTCACCTTCAGAAGCAAATCGATGATGTTGAGCATTATGAGGGACTTTTGACGCTGTCGATTCGAGTAGAGCAGGTAGAGATTTTCCAGCTGCTTGTTGTGAAAGCTATTGGTGAGCGACGGACAGAATATTCCGCGATACAGTCGGCCCCTCTTGAACACGTCTATATCGACAAAAAAGCACACGCACGCGATTGGATGTAAAGAAAAAAATTTGAGCTTGCAGCTGCTGCGATGTACAATAACGTACCCTGCTTGTCTTGGGCGCCGTCGTCGCCGCGAAATCCGCCGCAGTCCGTGTCCACGGAGGCGTCCGAGGACTTCTTGGTGCGCTCGTCCATCTCCTGGGTCTCGAAGTCCTCCGGGTCGGCGCTGGGCTTGCCCTCCTCCCAGGCGGCGAGGCTCTCGCGCCCGAGCCGCTCGGACGTGAGCTTCTTCACGGCTTTGATCCATAGCTGCTTGCGCGGCGAGATGCTCAACCTGTTGGTAAGACAGCAAAGACAAAAAACAAAGAGAATATAAATAACGAGCGAGTTTTGAAAAAGTCGCGTTTTGTCATCGTCGTCGTCGTATAATCATCGAATTTTCGCGCGCCCGCCCGTGAGAAAGAGAGAGTCTTTTGAAGTGCACGAGAGAGCGAAACTCGAGCTTTTTGCCACACTTTCGAGCGCGCGCGCGACCGATGAATCAGAGCCGAGTGCCGCGACGCGTCGCGTAAATTTTGCATCATTACGCGTCTAAATTGTTCGCGCGCGCACGCATCGTAAATGTTCGCGAGGCGCTTATTCGCGTTGTCGTCGGCTTCTCTTCTCGCGCGCGAACAACCGTCCATTACGATTTATGCGCGTGTCGTATTATATAGAGACAAGCGAGAGAGCGAGCGAGCAAGCAAGAAGATATAAAAAAATAACAAACATCGTTAAATTACAGACGAGCTATAATTTTTCCATTTAAATTCCATAATAACAAGTGGCCGTCCGTTACACACTTACACTCGTTTCCTACCAACACGGTTACTCAGCGCGTACGTACTATAATTAGACGAAGGAAAAAAAAAGTAAAAAATAAATAAATAAATAAATAATAATAAAGCTCGACACGATATTACGATGTAATACGTACGCGTTGTCGGCCTCCTCGACTTTCAAATCGTCGACGCTCGAGCTTTTGATCGTCGTCGTCGGCGGCTGCTGCTGCTGCTGCTGCTCCATTGCCCGGCCGCCCGCTGCGCATCGTTGTGTAGCCGCGAGCTTTTTCGAGTAACGAATGCGCTCTCGACGACGACAATATTTGATTTTTATATGTATGTACACGTATTGTCAAATTGTGAGCAAGGGACATGCGCGCGCGACAACAAAACTGCACCCACACCGATGCACCAGCAGCAACAGCAGCGAGCGATCGACTTGGAGAAACGAGAAGAGAGAGAGAGAGAGAAAAAGTCATATAAATGCGGTCTACGTATGTGTATATATGCGACGATGATGGGCGCGATCAGTAGCCGTGGATGGCTGGTTGGTTGGCTGGTTGGCATACACACGATATACATTTTTAGTTTCACCGAATAATCCGATAAATCAATAAATTGTCGCAGCCGCGCGTTTGTGTTATATATGCCATGGTGTATGTGAGTGCGGCTGCTGCTACTGCTATGCATCTCACTAACTCTCTCTATGTATATGAATCGAGCGTTGGCAATGTTTATTATTAAAACGCCTTATCACCTTCCGTATAAATAGACGGTACGGTATGGTACGGTGTGTTGGTGTCGTATCCATTGCTGCACACGTGCACATAACGTATAGAGCGAGAGTTGGCCCCAAAGCGCAATTAAACGACAATTTTGCACCGACGATCGGCCTTTATACATTTTCCCATATATATACCGCTCACTGGATATATAAACGAGCGAGATGCATGCATACACAGCGAGATCGCAACGTGTGTGTGCCTCTCGAATCGGCAATCCGAACTTCGCGCGAGCCGCGTTTTATTTTCGTCGACTTTCGAATATCGCGCGACTGACGAATCGATTTATGTATGTTGTTTTTTTTCACCAGACTGTCTTTGTGCGCGCGCTATTGTAAAATAATGGCAACGCGCGAGTCGGAGAAAAGAATTAGCGCGAAGTTTGTGCGTGTATAAGGGTGGGAGGAGGAAAGAGTTGGATGAAAAATATTTTATAAAAAAAAACTGCAAAAAGGTGATCTTATGAAAAAAAGCGTAGAAAATTACCCCTTTTTTATATCAATTCTCTTTAGTCGAAACTTTATTTATTCATTTTGTGGGCTAATCGAGACAAATTTGCGTGTGATTTCGAAAAAAAGTTTTAATGTTATCAACTGTCATGCAGCGTCACGAGCGCGCTCACTTTCAAATCTTAATTACGACTGAATTAGAGTTCGAATTTTTCGACAACATTTTTAGGATGAGCAAAGGCAGTTCGACAGTGCAACGCGTACAATCCAAGGCCATCAAAAGAGAGGAACAGCATGAAAAATTTGAGAGATGATTCTTGTGCCGAAATCATAATTCCCAGTATATAATGGGGAGAACTTTCTATCCGAACTAATTATTGTAAGGTTTAGTCGATATTATTAAATGCAGTAACGTAATACGTGGTAATTACGTTTATGAAAACTGCTTAATTTTAATCGGTTACCTTCGGTGACGTATTAAATACTAATCTGAAATGGTTTTGCCACTTGCGAGTTTGCAATGTGCCATCTATCGATGGAATCGGAAAGTTCGTAATCAAATGTGACACCTTCGATCAACATAAATTTTGTCTGCGATACAAAACTAATTTTACTAATCAACAAAATAACTCATTTTTTAAATCGATAAGTACAGTTGTTAAGAACGAAACTATAACAACGCGCGTCGGACATATACGCTATCGAGAGAAGACGCGTGTATAGGCCAAGCTCGCTGACGAACACGAAGCTTTAAACGACGACGGCTAAGACTCGCTAGTAGTAGTATCGGCCAAGATAAATAAATGTATTTTCAAATCTTATCGCGTGTATGCACGTTTATATGTGTGTGTGTGTGAACGAGTGCACGCCGCGCGCCGTTTAGTTAAAAAGCACAAGACTGCTGCGACGGGGTCGAATCCTACATGTATTATATACAAATATAAAATATCGCGTCTTCCAGTTGAATATAGACGTATAAATTCGAACTACAGCTGCAGCAGCTGACATCGTCGGGCGTTCGTAAAGACTTGCACGTGTTGCGCGTGGCTCGTTACACAATATAGATATATATGGTAGAGGCGTTAGCACCCGATTCGCTCTCCTATTTATTTTTTGCCCGAAAATTAGATTAAAGCCGCGTTGGGATGATTAAGTAGCTACGTCGCTGATTTGTTGCGCTTTCCCCCCCATCGTATGCAGTAGAGTAGGTTTTATGCGTGCGGAATCGAGAGACGCAAGCTCGCGTCGCGCGCAAAGTCTAGTGGCATCAAAAATAGTTGTCATATCTCAGCCCGTTACTCTTTCTCTATCTCTCTCACGCTTAATATACGTACGAATAGTTCAAGGCTGTATGCTTATTTAAATGAATTATTAAAGATCCGAGCGCGCGTTTATATTAAAAGAGTCACGCAGTGAAATGTTTGCCAGGTATACATGTAGCGCGTGCAAAGAATGAAAAAAAAAAGATTTCAGGTACAAGATTATAATAAGCACGATGGCTTAATTTTAAAATCGAAGCCCTTTGACGCTTCCGCATTGACTTAGGTGGTAGGCGTTCATATGACGTGACACCGTAATAACTTAACGACAATAATACCTCGATGGGGCCCTCGCCCATATTATGAGCAGCAGCAGCAGCACACCTAAACCGCCTTACCGGCTAAAAGCTCTCACCACCGCGCGCTGAACTTTTGGCAGAACGAGACATTTTCAAGTATCCAAGAGGCGGAAATACGCGAAGATATATTTGGCCGTTTTCTCTCGACTCGTTGCTGCTACTACGTGCCCCGACTTGGCTACTGCAGCAGCGGCATAGCTCCTTGTTTCATTTTTTTTTTGGTCTTTGTTTCGTCGCTTCTTCATCTTTCTTCGACTCTCTCTCTATATCGACGCCTCTTACGAAAAGTAGGAAGTTTACATTTAACTTAACACGTAAACTACCTACTTTTCGTAAGAGGCGTCGATATAAGGTACACAAGTGGCTTCTTCAAATAATAAACTTACTCGTTAATGCCGGTGACGTCGCTGTCCAGCATCATGCTCCAGGTTTGCTCGGTAATCATTGTCCCATCGGAGTTGGACTACGCATCACCACCTGCGTCGTCGTTGTTGTCGTTGTCGTTGTTGTTGTTGTTGCGTCTCTTCTTCCTCCGTGATCGTCCGAGCGACGTCGTCCAGCTCGTCCTCGTCGACCGCACTGGTGCAGCGGATCTTTCCCGCTCGTTGCCAACATGTATTTCTTTTTCCTTTGGCTCTTATTTTTCTTCTTACGACATATCCCGCGGAGCGACTCGCGTGTCGCGTTATCAGCGCCAACAACAGCGAAATCCGATGTGTAATTACTCCAGCAGCTTTTTTTCTTCCTTTCTAATTGCCCCCGGCCCCCCTTCGAGTGGATATACAGCTATTTCTGCGCTGCTTTCTACGGCTATGTAGCTTCGAAGATCTGTGGACAGACGTAGAGCTTTTAATGGGGAGAGGTAGAGACTTACGCACACGTGCCACTGTGTATATGTATGCGTTATATAATATATGTATACGCGGATCGTACATGATTTAGCGTACGGACGACGACGGGATTATATTTATTAATCTAATGTAGGACGACGTCGCGGAGATGGAGGAGGTGTTTTTGAGAAATTTTACACTCTAACGCCCGGAGCCAATTCGTTAAGTCGTTGCTCGCTAAAACTAACGATGATAATAGGATGGCGCTCGTATAGAATATACATAAGAGCGCCGAGTGATTAATTAGCGCGAAACTTTGGGATCGCAGGCCGTAGGGCAGAGTATATTATAATATAATCTCGCGCGCGCTTTATACCCTAAATATATATAAAAGTGATCGTACGCGATCTGGTACGTAGGAAAAAATAAAGTATAGCTGAATTTTCGGGCTATATTTACAAACGAGCGTATATACGCGTGTACGTATGATATGGATTTTTGACAAAGTCCAGAGAGAAAGAGTGCAATATATCGGAGTCCAAACAAAAGTTGGAGCAAATACATGGATACGCGTGTTCTGCTGCTACTGCTGCTGTCTGTACTTGTACAATCTGTATATAAGTATATAGGCATGTGAACTACTGCATATCCGAGAGGTAGTTTTGCGAAGCTCGACGTCGATATAGATGTACGTTATATCCCGCTCGCTCGCCTTTGAGTCACGGTTTATTTGGAGAATCGCAAAAGTCTGCGCGCACACGTATTATTCTCTCTTTCTCTCTCGGCAGATCGCTGTTCATATTATATTATTATTGCCGACGGGCATATATGATGATGCAGTAGCAGGTCTGGAGAATCGAAACCGTAATAAATACCATATAGTTAGGTGTGATGCATATAATGTATCATAATATCCTCGCGCGCGACCGAATCGACATTTTCGAGGCAAAATCTTTCTCTTTCTCTTTTTTTTATCATCGTCCATGAGCGGCGTCACGTACGAGAGCGATCGAAAAGTTACGAAATCGTTATGCCGAATGTATATCGGATAGGCGCGATCGTCGTCCTCCCAATGATACTCTTGCTACATCGAGCGCGCGCGACGATCGGCTGCGCGAAATTGTCGCACTCGATTCGCGACCGTCTCTCTCCACTTTTCACGCAGTCTAGACGTCGGAGCGCGTGAGTGAAATTACGATTGTTATATGCGTAGATATACTGCGATCCTCGTAGCGTAGCCGCATGCACAATCGGTGCGTATCGAAGAGCATCGACGATGCACTTTTCGTTCGAGGCGTATGGCCGATTCTCTGCGTGAAATTTTTGATAATCATTTTTCACAGATCCCATGTTGGCGTATTGATATAACTCACGCTTGTTACTCGTATTTCAATAATTTGTTAACTCGGACTTCTGAGTGACTGTTGCGGGCGGGGGGAAAAAGTGATGGAGAGGCTTTTTTCTGGAAGCTGTCCAAAACTTTTAGAAAAATAAACATACCGAAAGAGTCTATAAGCACTCGTTCGGAGAACAATTTACACGGCTTTTTTTCAATGTCAATTGATAACTTTAGGCATTCTTTTTAGAGTCAGCCCCTGAGTCCAATGGCCACGAGAAAACAAAGAGTTTCTTTTCTTTGATATTTTTTTCTTCAAAAGCTCATTATTTTTTCTCAAAGTCACTCAGGGCTGAATTAAGAATCATTTGAAATACCTCGGACTTAGGACCTCTAAAAAATTCTACAAAAATTCTGAGACATTTCCGACATTATTCAATTGTGCAATTCCTTGGATTTCACGGAGAATCGACCATATATATATATGTCCAACTGTGGTCAAGGCGTCGACGTCGTCTTGTACTCGCAGCAGCGCATAAATATATACAATCGAATACGTAATAATCGCTCGTCGCCGCTCGTGTTGTTATTGTGTTTTTTTTTCTCTTTTATCAATCACGAGGATTCGCGCGCGCGCGACGATCCTATTGTATGATGCGGCGCGTTAACGGCCCCAGATTTTCTCGCGCTTTTCTCCTTCTGCACTATTACTGCTGCTGCTGCTGCTGCTGCTGTTGCTCCGTTCGGTCGTCATCTTATTTTCCTTTGAGAAAAAAAAACTCCGGACTCGATGATTCTCTCTCTCTCTCTCTCTCTATATATCTATATCTATAACGCGCGTGTATAGACGCGTCGACGGCGCCGATATTAGAATAGAAGCGTGATTTTGACGTATGGATTTTTAATTGCTCTCAGGCAGCAGCAGCGGCGGCGGCATAGTTTGCGTGCGCGTTCACATGTCAACGAGGCCGCACCGCATAGTAGTAGCCAAAGCGCGACTTTTGTTGAAAGAGAGAGAGAGAGGCACGCGTACGTACGTACATCAACGTTTTATGTATATATAGTATATAATGTTTTCAAAATGAAAATGCACAGCAGCAGCAGCAGCAACAACAACAAGCCGAGCGAGCGAGCGGTTTTAAAGAAACAGAGATTAGCTATCGGGCGTCTCTCGAAAGAATTTTAACTCTTTTTCAGCTGCTTCGAGCTGGCGTTTCGAGCTCGAGAGCTCTGCGATTTCGAGGCCTTTTCTGTGCGCCTCTCACTCATTCTCTCTGCTCTGCTGTGTGTGCCTGCACAATCGCAAAAAGGCAAAACATTCACGTATCAAAGTGTGTGTGTGTGTGTGTATGTCCATGTGTGTCCGTGCGCGCCGCGTCAACACCGTGTGCGATGGCATTGTAATTTTTATTAAAAAAAAATTTCACGTATCGGGCGCGCGCGCGCGGGACTATGTGCATCGTCGCGCTTACATTATAATTGTCCCCCGTCGCCGTCACCCGTTACGTTCGTGTGTGCGTTGATACAAAGTCGCGCTAATATCAAGAAGAGAGAGACAGACAGAGACGGGTACGTGTATCGATTGCCCAGCTCTAAGCGGGTGCGCTCGACTATGATACAACGCCAACGAAGACAAGTTCGAATTCGATACGCGATACAGAGTCTCCTCTTTAAATTTCCGATTGGTATATGCAAAATATAACAAGTATTACACGCTTCTCGATCTCCTTTTCGTTTTTTTGCTCCTTCTCAATGCGATCTCTTAATTCCAAGCTGCTGCTGCAGTGTTTAAGTATATTGTAACGTCGAGCACAAATGTTACATTATACACGCACGCACACATATGTAAGTGGGGCTTTTGCACGAACCGAGAGGTACAGGTATATATGCAGAGATCGCGAATTGATCGCGCGGCGATCGGTTATTTACACGCCGCGGCGCGCGGGACAGGTTTTTTGCACAGCTCAAGAGCCGAGTCTCAAAAAACGCGTCACGTTTATCGAGCTTTATACTCTGCGTCTCTGATCCTGCTGTTGCTACGTTTTGTCCTTTTTTTTTCGTTTTTTTTTGCATTTTATGAAGCAGGAGACCCCGAGAGAGTGGACGGCCGTTCCTAAAAATCGTCATTCAGCCGTGGCGTATAATAATAATATATGTTAATTTCCTCCTCGCACAAAAGTCGACTTTTGTTCATTTCGAATACGCGGCCTATTGTGTATCGGAACCGAGATCGAGATGTTGGATTTTACGTCTCTTACCTATATGTATACCACAATGCGTGTTGCGCGCTAAATAACGCGCGGAGTGGTCAAGAAAAAAAAACACACACGCACGAGAAAAGAAAAGAAAAAATAAAAGAAAAGAAGTGTATCCGATGAATCGACGAACTAATGCTCTCTTGCGTCCGAATGCACTAATTTTATCCACTGCATAAAACTAAATAATATTTTTTTTGGTATTTTGACTGACCAATAGATCACCAATATATATATCACCTGTGCACTGTAATAATATAACAGACAACTGCGGATTGTACAATGTTTATCGTATCAATTATAACGACAACACTGCGGGGCCGATACACCAAGTACAAACACACACACTCGACACTCGTAACGCTCGAAAATCGGGCGAAGATCGGCACTCGAACGATGCTCGAAAAATATAATATGTACCCTATAAGCCACCACCGAGAGCGATTCCGCACTTTTCTCCTTTTATCGTTTTCTCGTTGTTAATGTTGTTGTCATCGACGGAGCACAACGGGTCAGACGACACAACGAGGAGGATCGACTTGTATCATCGAGAGAGGAGCAATCGACGAGCGGCAGCGCGAGCGGTAAGCGATACACTGCACAAATCTCGAGTTCCGACGTCGTCGGCTCTGCACGCCGACTCTGTGTGTGTGTGTGTGTGTGTGTGTGTGTTTATACATATATATATATATATATATAGCACATCAGCAGCAGCACGGTCCGAACGCAGTCATCGCATCATCTGTCTCGCTCTTTCTCGCACGCGGGCCGATACGGTCTCTCCGCCACGCTCGACGAGAAACACACGCCGCAAAAATAGCTCCTCTGCGCTCGTCTCGCCGCGCATTCATCGCTGCTGCGAACTCCCCGTGACTATGAACTGACAGACTCTGCGGCAGGAGAAGGAGGAGACCGTATAATATAGCGGCAAAAGAGGCGCGAGATTTGCAATCGAGATGCAGCATCCCATTGTGTGTGCGTGTACTGTAAAGGGCAGCTCCGTACAACGCGACTTCTATTTTGGGCAGTAAATCTCTATCATTTGACACGTTACCGAACCTTGATTTCTTGTTGATCAAAAAAATAATTTTAAAGATTCTCTTCGTCATTCCTCTCGCCATTGTGAAAACGAATAAAAATTATTTATTTGTAATTTTTACTGTTCGACCGCTATAGATATCAGTTCTGTCAAATTTAAAAATACGAAATTTTTATAAATACAATAATTAAATCGAAAAACCTAAGATTTAAAAAAATGTTTAAATAATTAAAATAATAATACATACGTACTTATCGAAATTATGCAAGCTGGAAAATAAAAAGAGAGAGCGATTTTTAATTTGCCGCTATGAAGAGGAATGGATTATTTAAACGAGACATCAAAATAATGTCCTGAGTAAAAGTTGAAATAAACGGTTTTTTGTGATGAATTTTACTTCCCATTTATAAAATTAAATTTTACAATACATTTTTAAGATTATTACAAAGAAACCATTTATAAAAGTATTATTGTTGCTTGGAAAATTGTAAAAGACTCCAAGTATGTTTACAGTTATAAGTATAAATTTTACACATTATATTATCTGTATTATAAAAAATATGAACAATTTTCAATCATCAATCGCAGCTATTATTTCAAATCTGCCGCTCTCGTGGAGAGTTGGCAGCGACGCCGCGGCCCCGCGTCGTCGTGGGCTGGATCTCTGTTCGGTAACTCCTCCCAGCCACGTGCACATATCGAGTCTACTCGAATGTAAACACAGTCATATACTAGCCCCAGAACTGTCACAACTCACACAACATAACCGGCAACTCGTGCTTGTTTTCCGTGTGCACAACATACGCTATACCGTTTCAACATGAGTTTTCTTCAAGTATTACCCCCGACGAAAAAACCTTCCTCGGTGTTGTATACTTATATTAAAAAAAACCGATACACAACGAAAATAATAGTTATTTTCTCCGATGCCAAGAAAGCCGAATATTTCAACGAGCTCATGCGTTATTTCTTCATCAACTCTGTTACCATCCATGTGAGTTTTTTCTACTTTTTTTTTTACTCGTTTAATTGCGAAGTTTGATCATTATTTATCTAGAAGATTTTTCGGCTATTTTCATGTTGATGTTCTTTCTAGGAGTCTTTTGAAAAAAAAAGCAGTAAAAATTTTCAAAAACTGAAATAAAGTTTTGATTTTTGTGTTACCTTTGTAATCTCTTTGAATTCTAGATTTGTTTTAATAAGTTTGTTTTACTAGGAAATGCAAGATCATGAGACTTTAAAGAAGAGTAGGGAACACATTCGTACTCAAGGAGCTGGGATTGTGTTTACTACTAATACAATTATGAATAATAACGTAGCTGAAGATAGATTATTCAAGAAAGATTACACCATCATGCAGTACGACCCTCCAACTAATTTAGAGGTATGTAAAAAAATCATAAGCCATAACAATTTAAATGTGACAAAAGTTTTTATATCTTTTTGAATTTTTATAGTTATTTCTGAGATTGTTCAACAAGTGTCAAGGTGGAAAAAATTCTCTTATATTATTCTTACGTAAAGAAGAAAAAGAATTTTTTCAAAAGTTGAAAGAAACAAATATAATGATTAAAAGAGTATCTTTTAATAAAAGTCTACTTGAAGATATACCATCACACGTAAGAATTAATATTTTATCAAAATTGAAATTAAACTAAATATTACAAAAAGGAAATGATTTAAATAAATTATAATTATAATTTCAGGTATCAAAACTGGTCTACGATGGCATGCCCAGCCCAAAAACATATAAAACTACCACACGACCATATGGAATGTATCAAAAAGAAATTTTTAATATTGACTCATTAAGTTTCGTAGATGAATCAAGAGATCTTAGTACAAAACCAGTTGTTTCTGTGCCCATGCAAGATGCACCACAGAAAATGATACAATTGAATATGATTATGACTTTTCAAAAAGAACAAGAAAAAATGGAAGAGGAAAGTTTGGCAAATGAACGTAAGAGATGCCACAGCACAGATGATGTTTTAAAAGCTAAACCATCTTGTGAGAGTGTGCTGGATAGTAAGCGTACCCGACTCGAAGCTTTGTGAAAGCAATACTTTCTAATTACAATTTATGAATCAACTCTGACAAAATCGTGAATAACCAAACAAACACCTTACGACTATAGCTTATTATACGACTATGCAAAACTTGTCAAAAGTATAGTGCAAAACTACATATTGAGTCTTCATGCATGGATGTACCATAATATACCTTTATATACCATGTATACCATAGAATCAACTGACAGTGCATAAAATAATAGCATGTGTAAATATAATTAGATATAATTTTTCATTGATCTCATTGAGTGTTGAGTACTCAAATAAATGATAAAAAGTACGTATATTGGTGTGTAAATTTACTGAAATTGACAATCAAATAAATTTAAGTAAACTTTTTTTAAATTAAGTACAAATATGTATGTATATGAATGAAAACAGAGTACAGGTACAGTATACAATTTAGTCCATGTGGGACCTAACTTAGAAATTTTAATTTACTGCAATTTTGATATTCAGCTTATTTTTAAAAAATTTCCCTTCAAAGGCATCCGTCGGTATCAGTCACTACCACTATATTTTGTCAAAAAATTTTCCAATGGAATCATTGTAAATCATTGGCAAACTACACATTATCAAGTAACATAATCTCCAATATTCGCTCCACTTGTTGCTAGTAAGAATCACTAATTGACGTAATCAAAAAACTACTTCGAGCAAGCCGATCGTTAATCGGTACTCCTGCAATTATCATAATCATCCGAATAATTAATTATATTTCCATCGTAACGTAGAGATCGTCATCCACGTATACGAAGCACAATTCATCCGAGAAATTTAGTCCGTCGCATCGGATATTCAAGGGCTCGATGCCATTTTTTCGATGGCCTTCCTATCGAATTGATAAACGTGAAACGTCTCCTTTTCCGTGTAATCCACTGCGCCCCTCTTCTTGTAAAAGTTCTTCGCCGGATTCCAATCGGTAACGACAAATTCCATCTTGCCAATGCTCTGCTCGACGGCTTTCTGTGCGCAGCAGCAAACAAAAAAAAAGAAAAGAAAGAAAAAAACAATCGATCGATTATTCGTACGCACGGAGAGAGTAAGAACAAAAAAAGAAAAAAGAAAATGACTTCACTCACTTGGCTGATAGCCTTCATCAGTTTATCGCCGACGCGCAGGTTGCGAAAAGCCTCCTGCACGTAGAGATCTTGCAGGCACATGCACCGGCCGAGCCTCAGCGTGTACGTGTAAAAATAATGACCGTAGCCGATCACTCGATCGCTTTTGTCCTCGCTGGCCACGTAGAAGCCCATGTTCGGATTGGCCGCGTCGAACAGGTCTCTCTCCAAAACTGCAACACACGAGATCGGCCCCGCATAAATCGGTTTCTTTATCGAATAACGATTTTGGCGCGCGCCGATTCGACGCGCACTTACCTTTGGGATCGATCTGCGGACTGTTGTAATGCTTGTGAAAATCGGCGATCTCCTGAACAAAGCAAAAATTACACAAAAAGTAGTAACGGATAATAAAAAATTAACATATCGTCTCGCAGTGATATACCCTGGACAAATCGATGATCGCCCGGCAGTCCTCTCGTCTAGCTTCGCGAATCGTCACGCCGTCCATATCTCTCTCTGTATTTTGTATATAATAAGTATATATCTCGTTTAGCACGGCGCAGATTCAACTAAACGCGCTTCACCACTGAGAGTCTAATATACCACTATATACAAGTGTTAAATATGTAAAACTGACCCGCGCGTAGAGCGCGAGCGATGACGGCTGCGGCGGCGGCGACGCGGCCAATGGCAATAATAACAAATCAACGCGTTACATACGTCGAGAACTCAATCATATACCGATGTGTATACATATATGGCGCATGCCTTACATTTTAGTATAATTTATAAGTGAGTACATATAGACACGCGTCGTCGTCGTCGCCGGAGTGCAGGCACTTATCTTACGTAAGCGCAAAATGCGAGATATTTAATGCCAGTAGTGCAGAGCCGCCCCACTGCAGCACGCCACATTCGAGATTTCGTTTTTCTCATATTTTCCTTTTCGCGCGTGTGCGTGTGTATATTTTCTTATATAAGGTGCGTGTGTGCCTAGACGCGTTGTCACACGCACGCACACACACATCGAGAGCCAAGTAAATATTATCGTTGTCGCCGTGCGCGACGCGAGTAGGCGATTAATCAGTTTTTCAGAGTCGATGACAGATTACTTTGTGTGTGCGCGCGTTCGAATGGATGCAGGTGTCAGATAAGAATCCTTGAAATCGATGGATGATTAATACGATTGTGCGTTTCTTTTTCTCCTGTAAATGGGCGAGAGAAATAAAAGAGAAATTGAAACGAAGGATTTTTTTATTTTTTCAATTCGAACAATCGATACAAATGCCACATCTCGCTGTGAGTTAAATTTTTTGCACCGTGAGACGAGAAAAGAAGTAAATCTTCGAGCTGATGTTTTTTCCAAAAATCTATCCTCGAGCATCCGTCGTCACAGGCTTTCTGTAAAAAATCATTGCACAAATTTAATGAACGATAATTCATTGTATTTTTTTTTAAATTTATATATGTGTCTATACCTTCGCTAGTGCACGAAGCAAGCAGAGTCTGATTCGGTCGCCGACGTTCCATTGAGGGAACTCTTGAAGGTACATCGACTTTCCCTCCCAAGTCGAGTACGCGTAACAGTACAGAGCATAAGCGACGACCTCTCCATTGCCTGAAAAAACTGCCAGACATCCGGCTCCGGAGCTGTTGGATCCTGAATGTCACAAATGAAACAATCATCGTTCAATTTCTGCGATATTTGAATGATGCATACGAGTCAAATACCTTCCGTGTCCGAGACCGATTTCAATTTTTTTACTTCGTACTTGGATCTTGTGTGTGGTAAAGCTTCCTGTAAACATTTTTTCAGATAATTTAACTATGCTTAATGTGTATTAAATTTCTGATTCATTACCTTAGCCAACTGCTCTATCGCATTGAAATTTCCAATTTCTGTAGCAACGTACTCTGAATCGGCACTAGAAATTTAGACCATTTCATATAAATTATGCAATTAATATTCGATGGATAATTTTGAATTACGTATTTTCCGCCAACGCTTGTAAAGTTGCACGATCAAATCTATACATTTGCCAATCCTCATCTTTAGTTAAATCTTTCGAACCTTTGGATAGGTAAAATGTTTCAGCTGGATTCCAGCTGAGAACTGAGAAATCCAGAAATTGGCCGTTTTCATTGAAATTTTTCTGAAAATTTGAAAAATTCATTCGTTGAGGTCAATATACAGACTCATGAATTGAGAAGAAGCAGAGAATTATCATTACCTTAGCAACTGCTGAAAATAATTTGCTTCCGATATTTTTGAGTCGATGAAACGGGGTAACGTAGAGATCCTCTAAATGCAGGGCTTTTCTACCCAATGAGTAATAAATCCAAAAATACAAAGCATATCCAACAATTTCACCGAATACAACAGCCACGTAACACTCGTAAAGGGGTTTCTTGCTTCCAAAGCCATCTCGTTGCAGAGCTGAAAAATTACTTTTTTATAAAAAAAAACTCGATGCGACAATTAATACTGTAATTGTTAAAATATGCACTTTTTCAAATTCTTACTTTTATAATCTATCTTGGGACCGTTGGGCATTTGTTCGTAATCAGCCAATTCCTATTGATAACATATAAGAAGCATTGCAATTTTTCACTGGATAATATTTAAAAAAGTAATTAACTTAACTTGAATGAGCTCTCGTATTTTTATGCAGTCCTCGGGCTCGGCTTTACGAATCTCCAAATCCACGAAATTCATGATTATTCAAATTAATCGAAAAACCATCAATGATATCAACGAATTACTTTTTTTCAATGTTCATTTAGCGAGAAACGACACGTTCACTTTCGCACAATCAGCTCACTCGCATGCCGAGCAAATTGTAAACATTGAGGTTTTCTCTGCAATCGAGATGACACTTTCTGCCGCATGGCAAATCTTCAAATTACGCGTTCCCTTCGAGAGTTTCAAATTTGTCGCTAACGTGCAAGTTTACAGTGTCACTGCATCTTCGTGGCCCGTGGGTCAAGTTATCGAGCGTCGTCTGCTCATTCTCTACCTGCAGCATTGATAGCCCCCTCCGCAAGTGCACTGCTCACTCAAAACTCTATTGCGCCATGTAATGAGTCTTATTCAAGTTATACCACCTGCGTATGAGCGTTCTGAAATGCTTTATACTTACATTAAAAAAAAAAAAAAAAAAAAAAAAAAAAAAAAAAAACAACAACAAGAAAAACAGAAAATCGTAATGGTTTGCTGTGAAGCCAGAAAAGCTAAATATTTGAATAAACTAATGTGCTTTAGCTCCGCTAAATCGATTCGATCGAAACCAATTAAGTATCTGATTTAATTACTGAAAAATTTATTTGTAACAGTTTAAATGCAAAGGGTTTCGCCATGTTTGCAGTGAAAGATTGTTGGATACATTTTGGCACAAACTTTTAAATAATATATAAATAATATTTTTATTTTCTTCGATCAAACTTGGAATATACAATTTTTTTTACCGCTACATTGTAATTTAAAAAAATTACAACTAATTAATCGGTAAATTGAAGCAATTTATAATTTTCTATACCCTTCTATGAGAAGCTAAATTAATGACAGTTCTATAAAAATTATTTATTTATAATTTTCTGTGAGCTGTCAACAGTGGAATAAAATGTATGCTTAAAATGTTTACATTTTTCAAAACACATGTCATTTTGTCAAAATTTCAAAATTTTCAAGAAAATCATCAAATAATCATCGTCTCAAATCTGCCGCTCACAAGCAAGTTGACCACTGCGCGATGCGGTTCAATTTTATAGTTGTGCCGCGCGGTCTGCTGTGACACTCGTCTGTCGACTGTCACCACGTGTAGTGTTGTAGTACTGCCGGCAACGATTCCCAACCTTTACAAGACGCCGCGTGCTCGAGTACAAGTTATTAAAAATTAAAGGAAAACATTCCAAAACACAACTGATTCATCATGAGTCTCGTTCAAGTGACATCGCCCACGAAAAACCGTTTTTCAGTTTTATATACTTACATAAAAAGAAACCGAAATGCAAAGAAAATAATGATTGTTTGCTGCGCAGCCAAGACAGCTGAATATTTCCAGGAGATCATGGTTCAATTACTCGATACGAATATGATGGTCGTCCACGTAAGTTTTTTCGATTTTTTCTATTTTTTTAATCTTCATTCAATTCAAGGATTGGTCTAATAAATTTGTTTTACCAGGAAAAGCAGCACAATAAAGATGTCATGGATAACCTTGAAAAGTTCCGAACTCAAAAATCTGGGGTTATGTTTACCTCAAATAAATTTGCGAATAATAGTGTAGCTAAAGAGAAGCTACTTGAAATTGATTGTACTATTATACAGTACGATCCTCCATGTAATTTAGAGGTACGTTAAGAAAATTATAATAATACTCTATAATCTAGATGTGACAATGAATTGAATATTTGTTTGAATGTTTAATAGGACTTTTTGGGACTGTTGAACGAGTATTATAGCAAGAAGAATACTTTTATATTATTTTTACGTCCAGAAGAAAAAGGATTCCTTCAAAAGTTAAAAGAAACAAAAATAAATATTGAAGAAATATCTTACAACGGAAGTCAAGTTGCTGATGTAACACCACAGGTAAGAATTGTTATTTTATCAAAATTGAAAATTAACTGAAATTATTACAAACATTAAATTATCAATGATTATAATTTCAGATAAATAAACTTGTGTCTACTAATTATGCTCTACACATGTCCGCTACAGAAGGTTACAGAGGATACATGCGATCATACAATACACATAGTCTGAAAGAAATTTTTGATATTGACTCATTGAGTTTTGATGAAGTAGCTGCGTCTTTTGGTTTTAGTAAAATACCTGCCGTTGATATATCTGAAATTACAAAGAAAATTTCACCATCGTTAGGAACTTTTGAACACTTCCATGATCAAGACTACAGTAAACCAGACAATTTTGAATATGAAACAGAAATGGCAAAAAAAAAGTTGGCAAAACTGTTGGCTAATGATGCTAAAAATCCACAATACATATTCAAAAAAGTCAGTAAGAAAAATCGTCGACCTGTTCAACGTAGTAAAATCTTAAAAGGGCCTAAAAAGGTCCAAATGAAACCTTCAAAGAAATCAAAGAAATCAAAGAAATCACATAAACGACGATAGTGCCTATAATGACAGCTTGTGTACATAGTTAGAAATAATTTGTTATTGAAGTATGGATTGATCTTGTTCAGTATTAAGAACTCGAACAAGACAAAAAATACTGCATTTTTTAATTGGTATTTACAACAATTCATAAATATGTAAACATATAACTTTTTATGGTAAATATAAATGTGTATGTATATAGATGAAAACATAGAATGCAGATGTATCATTTTCACTTAATGTGAAATAAAACTTGAAAATTTTAAATTAACTGATATTTCAGTGTATATTTTATTTTCAAGTACATTCTGTAAATTTTTAAGATTTCACCATATAACCGTTCTTGGTATAAGACACTATTATTGTGTATTTCCAAAAAAAAATTTCAAAGGAATCATCTTAAATGAAATAACACTTTAGAATATGTTTCCAATATTTGCTCCATCGTTGCTTTGTAAATACAATTAACACGATCATGCCAATAATTTATTTTTCAATGATACGGAAATTCTTGTCCATGCATGAATCACAACTCATCTGAGAAATTTACCTATTTCATTGATCCAAAAGCTTGATACTTCTAATCGTCAATTGAACAAAAAAAATTCCCGTTTAATTTAGAGTACAAGACGACATTTTTAGCTACCCAAGCGCTGGATTCATGCCATCAACGGTCAATGAGCCGAAAACTGAAAATGATTCACCTTAAAAATAGATTTCCACTTGTATGATCTCTTGTGTGCTTCTAGTTCTTCCTGAGTAAAACAGCGTATATAGGCTTATTCACATGGATTCAATTCAATAATAGCTTATAGTATGAAGAGCTGCTTAATTAATGATAGGAATATAAATCAAGCAAATATATTTGACAATTTCTAAAATATGGGGATGAATATTATTCATAACAATTTATGAATGATTTTTTCTTTTTTTAAAAATCAATTTTAGCATATTTTTCGTTATGAATCAAGTCGTCGAGTAATGTTATGGAATCTTACATGGAATGTAATACATAACTTGTTATAATTATTAATGAAGTAATAAATTGAATTTCCTTTACAGTACGTCACATCTTTTGTGAATGATCATTTCAACAAGGTCTTCGCCTTCAAAGCCAATCGTATAGTTTTTTTTAATGATTCCCTTCGTCGAACAATGCATGAACTTTGGCGACACAGCATAATAAATTTAATGACTAAAATATTCTACATAATGAATATTAGCTTTTGTGCTTTGAATTAAAAAAAAAGTATACAATGACAAGTTTTAAGGTTTTAATACAGAAGAAAAACGCGAATTTTAATTTTGACTCCAACTAACGGCACCGGTTTGGGTCCTTTCCGATAGATGACCTGAAATCCTAAAAAAAAAAACGTAGTTAAGATCAATTTTAAGTGACTAACTAAATCAAACTTACTTTAACTAAATCTTTCAGTTTCGTCGAAATCAATCTTCTCGGTTGTTGGTTCCCAAGCTTTGCTAGACATTCCTCTTGTTTCCCATGCTTCGCAAGACAATCCGATAGTGTCATCTTATATCTGGTACGAGCCAAACGACTGTTCAAATTCATTTTTTGCAAGCCAGCTGTCATTTTGTGAAACTCCCCTCTTCGTATGCACACAGAGCGGGTGGTTCCGGCAAAAAATAGCAGGACTACTGAATAATTTGATTCAATTTGTACGTTTTACTAAAGAGAATAATTAAGTGATATAAAAGTAATTATTGTTACCCATCCCAGCGAATAATAATATCAAGGAAGATTTGAACATTTTTTCGATACGATTGGCGAAATTGCTCGAAAAACACTGCGAGTCGATCGATTGAACTAATAATCCGAACCACATTATCGCATAAATATTCACGTTTCATCTTTATGCGTCGGATAAAATTTACGATTGCACATTCTTCGTTATACAGGCATAAAAATTTTTTAATTGCCAAAATCAAATAACGCGCCGATAGAAAACGATCGTTGCCTTATTTTAATCATTGAAATTGGATAAGACTTAATATCGATGATCATGAGTCAATATTTTTAATCATACTAGCCATGCAGAGTTCTCAAAGATTTGGGAAAAGTAGAGCATTCTCATCTGGAACAATCTGGCATTCGTTTAAATGCATCATGGAGTAGTAAAAAAATTCATGTAATTTCAAGGTATTCTGCAAAAACCTATAGTAATCCTGAAAATAATTATTTCAATCGAATATTGAAACAAAAAGTAACGTAAAAATCGAACGTAAAAAAATTAATAATGCTTCAATTGACTCAAAAAATTATTTTCCTACTAAAAAATTTATTGATTTTTATTCAAAGTTGGAGGTTTTTTTAACGTAGTTTATGTATAAGTATAGATGTAAGCAAGTCGCAAAATAAATTCTGCATGTCCAAGGCGATCGAAGCATGCGGCGAAGTGATTATAAATTTCATCCACTTAATGGCTTAATATTAGCTTACAAATAAAATGTGCTTTATTTCCTGGAAAAATTTGTCAACCTATAAAAAACTTGAAAATTATTTTAACATAATGTGATATCATTGGACGAAGAAATGAATTATTATAAATGAACATTTTTTTAATCAGTCTTCTACACAAGTAAGTTTAAATGCATGAGCGATGCACCGAGTAGATGTGGATTTTAAGACTACTTTTATGTGGGAATGATTTACCACAAATATCACATGATCAGAAAGTGACACCATTATGCGTTGATTTAACGTGCCTCGTCAGATCACCCTTCCTTTTATACGTCTTTCCGCATCTATTTCATGAATGGGTGACACCACTGTGCGCGGATTGAACGTGCTTATACAGTTTACTCTTTCCTTTATACGCCTTTCCGCAAATATCGCATACATGTTTGACACCATTGTGGATCGAATCGATGTGGGTTTGGAGATACCAATGTCTTGAGAATGTCTTTCCACAAATATCACATGAGTGGGTGACACCATTATGCGCTGATTGAACATGCTTCGTCAGATCACTCTTCCTTTTAAACGTTTTGCCGCAAATATCGCATACATGTTTGACACCATTGTGGATCGAATCGATGTGGGTTTGGCGATACCAATTTCTTGAGAATGTTTTTCCACAAATATCACATGAATAGGTGACATCATTATGCGCTGATTGAACGTGCCTCATCAGATCACCCTTACTTTTATACGTCTTTCCACAAATATCACATGAGTGAAAAATCCCATTGTGCATCGAATCGATGTGGGCTTGGAGATTACATTTGAATGAAAATTTCTTGTCGCAAACGTCACATGCATGTTTGGTTCCATTGTGCATCGAATCGATGTGGGTTTTGAGACTACCTCTCTGAGTAAATGTCTTGCCGCAACTATCACATGAGTGAGTGACACCATTGTGCACGGAATCGACGTGGATTCTGAGATAACTTTTTTTTGTGAATGTTTTTCCACAAATATCACATGAATAGGTGACACCATTATGCGCTGATTGAACGTGCCTCATCAGATCACCCTTTCTTTGATACGTCTTTCCGCAAATATCACATGAGTAAGTAATCCCATTATGCATCGATTCGGTGTGGGTTTGGAGATTACATTTAAATGAAAATTTCTTGCCACAAACGTCACATGCATATTTGGTTCCATTGTGCACAGAATCGATGTGGATTTTGAGACTACCTTTCTGAGTAAATGTCTTGCCGCAACTATCACAGGAGTGAGTGATACCATTATGTATTCCATCGATGTGTATTTTAAGATAACTTTTATGCGTAAATGTCTTTCCACATGTACTGCACGTATGTTTAGTCCCATTGTGCACTGAATCGATGTGGTTTTTCAAACTACTTTTCAGAGTAAATGACTTTCCACAATTATCACATATATAAGTTTTTTTTTTATGCACCGAATCAACGTGAGTTTTGACATTACTTTTATATTTAAATGTTTTTCCACATGTTTCACACGCGTGGATACCATCACTATGCACCGTATCAATCTGAGTTTGGATCTCATGTTGCTGGTCAGATTTTTTCGAAATTCTCTTTTTTTGATTTTGCTCGACAATTTCACAATCGAGATTTGAATTAAATTGTTCTGCAACGTCATTGATAATTTCTTGTTTCATTTCCTCGATTTTAATTAAGTTTTGAGTTTTATAACCGTCACTGTCTTTCACTTTCTGCAAGTGATTTTGAAAATCCTGACCAATTTTCGGGATTGTCAATAAATCAATGTTAGGCTTGACGTCTTCACTTTCAAAAACTATTTCCATTTCGTCATTAAGTTCTCGAAGCGTATGGGTCTGTAGAGAAATTGAAGCTAAGTGAGAATACTCATAAAAAAAGCAAGTACAATGAGGGTTACGTAAAATTATCAACACTTACCGAATTGTTTTTCGGAAACGACAAGAGTTGAAAGTTTTTCAGATCGGGTTTCTCGTCTACGGTATGGTAATCGTTTTCAATGAGCGATTCGTCACGAGGCTCCTCTTTTACCCTAAAATAACCCCAATAAGATGAAGTCTTACGTTATAATGTTATTACATTTTCATTTATTAAAATTGAATATTACCTGACAACAGAATTGAGTACATCACTAGATTCCATCTTTTTTACTTGAAAGTCCCTTAACAGTTAATCTTACTGAGATGATTTTATGCGTCCAACTAACTATAAACACGATAGGACCCCGACAGCGCCATCGACTTACAAGGCTCGACCAGCTCTGCGCGCAGCTCTCCGTTGTATCGTCGATAGCATTGCCGACAAAACACTGCACGCCGGACGGCACACGGAGTATCCCGCATACATGCGACGCGCGACTTAAACAACAGAAAACGCGCACAGCTCTTTGTGGTCTGTGACGTTGGCCAGTTTTTCCTCGTAATGAAATTTCGAAGTTTATTAGGGAGCATTCTGGTTTGTGAATATATCGAGAAGAATTAACTGTGGATAAATGGCAATCGGTCATTTTGGTTTGAGTAAAGTAAATCTAGAAGGGGGTAAAGAATTTTTTCGTAAAGACACTGTAAGTGCAAAAAATGTTTTTGCTGTGCAACCGCGATTCGGATAGCAATATTTAATTTAAAAACACAAACATTTTGTTTATACATTTACTGTCTATCGTTGTAGTAACTAGAAAAATTAATAATTTCTAAATGACAAAATAGCGCTATTTACATTTAAAAAATTTAAAAAAAAATCGTCTTTTTAGGCGTTCTAACGATATCTACATGAGTCAGTAATGAACAGCAAAAGCATTTGAGAAAAATCGATGAAGTATTTTTTGAATCAGGATTACAGTCAACTACGAAGATGTTACATTTCGAAAACGAATTTTAAAATTTGAATTTTTGTATCTTAACGTAGGAGGTAATTTTTGAAGGTACGTGTAATTGGTCGACAGTGGCGAGAAGATAATCAAAAAGAGTCTGTCAATTTGTCAGTATAGATCAACTTAAATTACGAAGAGCACCAAGTTTAAAGAACATATACGATAATGACATAGTGTATACTGTAAAAACAAAAAGTTATTATGTAAATATTCATTTCACTATTAGCATAGAGCGAACATCGTTTATTATAATAGACTTGGACCCTTATTCTATACACATCGAGATGACTTATAAACTAAATCATAAATCGTCATTTTTCACACAGTTAAACAAATATTTTATATATTTTATATCAAGTCACAATGCGGGTGCGATGAGCCAGATCGATATGAGCTTTGAGATTTGCTCTTTTTCCAAACGTCTTTCCGCATGTCTTGCATGAATGGGTGGTACCATCATGCGACGATTTAACATGCTTATGGAGACCAGATGGATATTTAAATTTTTTTCCACAATAGTCACATGCTAGAGGGGCATGTTTATGCATCGAAACAAAGTGTATTTTGAGATTATTTTTCGATGAAAATGTCTCGCCGCAACTATCACATGAGTGAGTAATCCCATTGTGCCTCGATTCGATGTGGATTTTGAGTTTATATTTTTGAATAAATGCCTTTCCGCAAGTATCACATGAGTAGGTGACACCATTATGCGCTGATTGAACATGCCTCGACAGATCACTCTTCCATGCAAACGTCTTGCCGCAAAAATCACATGAGTAAGTAATCCCATTGTGCATTGAATCTATGTGGGCTTGGAGATTATATTTTGTTGAAAATTTCTTGACACATATATTACATGAGTGGGTGACACCATTATGCATCGATGCGATGTGGGTTTGGAGATTACATTTAAATGCAAATTTCTTGCCACAAACGTCACATGCATATTTGGTCCCATTGTGCATCGAATCGATGTGAGTTTGGAGATACCAAATTGTTGAGAATGTCTTTTCACAAATATCACACGAGGAAGTGACACCATTATGGGCTGTTTGAACATGCCTCGTCAGATCACCCTTCCTTGTAAACATCTTTCCACATGTACTGCACATATGTTTCGTCCCGTTGTGCATCGAATCGATGTGGGCTTGGAGATTACTTTTAAATGAAAATTTCTTGCCGCAAACGTCACATGCATGTTTGGTTCCATTGTGCACTGAATCGATGTGGCTTTTAAGACTAATTTTATATTGAAACAATTTTCCGCAAATAGTACACGAGTGGGTGACACCATCATGCGCTGATTGAACGTGCCTCGTCAAATCACCCTTCCTTTTATATGTCTTTCCACAAATAGTACATGAGTGGGTGACACCATTATGAACTGATTGAACATGCTTCTTCATATCGGCCTTTCTTTTGAACGTCTTTCTGCACGTATCGCACGTATTTTTGGTACCCGTGTGCACAGAATCGATGTTTGTTTTGAGTCTATGTTTATCGTTGAAATCCTTTTGATCACTTCTCTTTTCATTATGCTCGGCAAATTCATAATCGAAATTCAAATCAATTTCCTTTTTGACTCCATCCAGAGTTTCTATTTTAATTGCATTTTGAGTTTCGTCGTCGCTATACTTCCTATTCCGCAAGTATTTTGGTGAATAATCGTCAGTTTTCTTATTTTCTAATGAATTCATAATAAGCTTGACGTCTTTGCACTCAAACAAAATTTGCATTTCGTCAAATTTATGTTCGTGATTTTTGTCACCGTCATGAAACGTCTGTAACAAAATATTGAGTCAAGTCAAATTTTTTGTACAATAATTTTTATGACGTGGATGAGACGATATAATTATCAATTCTTACGGAATATTCCCTGGAGAATCGGAAATTTTTAACATCAGGCACCTCATCGATTCCATTGTCATCATTGTCAATAAGAGACGTATCACAGGGTTCGTTTTTCACCCTGAAATTATTCGAAACAAGATTGAATTTTATGCTCTAGAATTGTTTTAAATAAGCAATTAATTTTAAACAAACATAAAATGAAATTTACCTGATGGGACAGCTGAAGAGACCACTGGATTCCATCTTACTTATCTTACTGATTGAACAACAATGATGGGTAATCTTTCTGTAATAATTCCAAACCCACTGGCTTCAATTCAAGTCAATAAATATTTACAAACATCGATGTGAAAATCTGGGCAAAACTGATGTTTACAAAGTATCGTCAAGTCATTCCATGATATTGAAAAATGATCTTATTAATCTCGCGAACGAAAAATACTCATTTTTCTTATGTATGATTACAAATTCTTTTTCATACAATATAAGTAAAAAAATATGATCCTAAAGTGCAGCACAAATCACGCTGAGAGAAAGAGCTAAAGTGATGTAAAAATATCGTAGATATATTAGATCTAAGTTTATGAATTTTTATTTCGAGTAAAGGATTGTGACATTGATGATTTTGAATTTTGATTTAAAAATTTAAACAAGCATGTATTACTCAAATTGCACAATTGATCTTTTTTTATAAAAATGCATTATCTAGCACTGTTAAATAGGAAAATATGCCAAAGCTCATAGAATTGGTCAATTATTTTTAGTCAGTCCATAAAAATTTTTTTAAAATGAATCATAAATATGAAACCACGTTGATTGTATTTCAAAGCAAAAAATTTGATGCCAGCTCGGCACTTTGGACATGGGAAATTGTTAATGCAGTAGTTGCTTGAGCTTTATTCATTCTAGCCAAGAGGGCGCTACGTCACATTTATCTGATTTTGAAATGAATACCAGGATTGTTCGATTGATAATTTCCTCGTTGTTTAAAGTAATGGAGAAAAGTCAAATTTCCAAGACACACGTCTACAAATAAGATAATCATTAGATTCATTACGTCATGATGAACCAGTGAAAACAATTTCTATACCGTGGTAAAATAATAAAATGCTATAAAAACAAATAAAACCATGCATCTATGGGCCCATCATTATTTCTTATCATTAGTTGTCAATAATATCCCCGAATTTTTTTGTTCAAAATCGACTAATCAAAATCTAGCTCATTATTATCTCATGAACAGAGCAGATTAACTCCGGAAAAATTTTCGGTAGTTTATTGTTACCTTCAACGACTATTTCACTACTAAAAAGGAGAGTATATGGTAGAAATAAACCTTAACTTGATTATTGATTTAAGGAAAAAAATGTATTTCTCATAGTTATTTCATTCTAAATAATCATACTCATTGAGAAGCAGTAAATGTCAATATTTCCTTCATGAGCATGAGTATACTTATTTTTTATTTTTATCTCCACTCAAATAGATTTTACCATCAATAAAAGTATAAGTTAGTATAATTTTTCATTCTGATTAAAAACTTTTTTATGATATAATTTAATACCCAATACTTTCTTTTATACTGATGATCATAAAAAGTTGTAGATAATTTGTACTTGATAAATTAAGTTCAAAAAATAAAAAACCTTTCGATAACATCAACTTTTGCCAAAAATTTTTTTTATAAAACAAGTATTACATTATATAATTAATGATTGAACTCTATATACATTCAAAATGTTTTTTTATATTTTAAAAAAGTTAGAAAACTTTATCAGAAAAATTTTAAAATGTATGTGATTTCATTCAACCACTTTCAAGTTAAATGATTTATAGCTCTAGCAATTAACAGTACATTAATATAGTTAACAACAATTATGATTCATTAAAGGAAACATATCTTGATCAAAATTAAAAATTTTCTTTTAAGATTTTACAAAAAACAAAAAGCCAAATCCAAGTTCTAAAAATTAACCAATTATTTTAAAGGATTCAAAAAATTAAAAACTCATAATAAAAATACAATAATGTGTAGAAGTAAGATTATTGGAAAAATAATAAACTAAAGTCAAAAGGAAATTATTTTTATTGCACTGATTGAATATTAGTTTATTATTTGAGCTATTTAATCATCAATCGTATTACATCAAGGATTAGGGGCTGTGCAAAGTTTTTCATTTCTTCTGAATCAATTAATGTTTTCATGTTACATTTAACGAAATTGGCTGCTTGATTCTTCAAAAATTGGGCACTGTGCTTGTCAGCCAAAGTGATTATATCTAGAACATTTTCATTTGTGAAACGAGTACTCAAGACATTTTCACATGCATTTTTTAAATTTTCAATTTGATATTTATCAGCTGCTTCCAAAAGTTCACAAATTAGTACAGTGTCATCAACTTCAATAGTACCTGAATAAATACAACGTAGCATTTCTACAAGAGTTTCATGACTTATGTCTTTTATGTCCACAAAATTATTTTCACTTTCCAACGTCTTGTGAGTAAACATTGCTTCAAAAACTGGACTAACTGAAGCAAGCACAAGTTTGTGAGCTTGTAATACTTTTCCACATCCAGTCCGTAAATTCACATCACTAAATTTTTCATTCGAAAATTGATCAAATTTTGATCCAAACAAGACATTTCGATCACTGGCAGTTGTCAATTCACAATGAATTGTCAGTGTGTCTTCAGAAGATATTAGCTTGACTTCATCTTTTAACTCATAAAATGTGAACTCCCAATTATTCCAGGGAGTCTCTATAGGGCTTATTTTTTTTATTGATTTCATTATCTCTGAATTCAAAAGAACAAAAGTTGATCCATCATTAACAACTGATATTTTCAAATCAATTATATTCACCACTGTATCCTTATTTTCACTACAGAAATGTACTGTCAAACAGCTAAATTTTTGATAAAAATACCCTACGGGGTAAAAACTCAAACAAAATTTTTTTGTTTTATCAATTGAATCACGGAACACTGGAGAACGTATTCTTTTCTTACAATTTTTTATAACCTTACTAAAATTCTTTAATGTCCAGGTAGAAACGACTTTTACTCTGTCAATTCGAAAGGAACTATGCAATGGATTTTCTTCAGCAGACATTTTGACTCTATATACAATTATGGTGGACTTGAAGCAAAAGGCCTTAAAATCGAGGTTGTAAAACAATTATTCACAGCAATATTATATCTACTCAGCAGTATCAATTAACTTAAAAAGTTTCCATAATACGAGCTGATCATGGATTGCGGACTGTACGGGTTATCGAACACGGCTTTACACTAGGCCCCAAGGCCCCTAGGCCTTTCTATAAGACGTTTTAGATTGTCACGAAATGGTCACTTCACTGATTTGCCTGCAGGAATAACAAGCAAGGTCTCTCATTTACTTGACCCGCAATACCTTGTTTGTTATTCCTCCAGGCAAATCAGTAAAGTGACCATTTTGTGACAATCTTAAAACATCCTATACACACATGAGGCAGAGACGTGTGTGTATTGTGTAACGCACGACACCGATACGATATGCACAAAAAACGAGACGAAATGCGCGAGGATTGCGTCTTTGTGTGTAAATATAGTATACGTATTGTAATACTTATATGCATTGCGATTCGAATCGGTATCGTCCGACTTCCGTTCGTCTGTACTACTCCTTGTGTGTATAGATGTGTGTACGAGAGCCATGAATTGATATAATAATAATACAAAAAACGCTGAAATAATAATTATCGGAAAACAAGAGTATTTTTGAGTAAAATGTATTTCATAAGTATTTTTAAAATAAAATTGTAATAATCGAGGGTTTAAAGTGTTTCCATAATCCGATAGAAAGCCATCAAATACGATAGTACCAGTCTCAAAATCTAAAAAATATTTTTGTCCGTAAGATGATAAAAATTATCGATTTACTTGAAATAACTCACTGCGCTAAAAGTTTCATAATTCATGAGAATCGTAGGGCCAGCCGTGAGAGTGCAAGGATTTGAAGTTCGTACAATCATTATTTGAAGCAAACGTCTTTCTTCTGTAGAAAACAAGCACCATTTAGCGAAGTAACTGAAAGATTATTTTGAATAAAGTTACTCTTTTAAATTTTGTTATGGTGTCTGATTACCAGCTTCTGTTCAATCGGTCGCAGGCATTTATTATATTTTCACTCGAATAAATTAAGTACAACAGAATGACACAACTCCAGTCAACATAACAAAAGCCGTTTTGGAGGCATACAATTTATCGTAATTAATTATAACCAAAAACTAAACATAATAAGAAATGTGAGCTTATTGAGAGGACATTTTTTTAAAGTGAAAGAAATGTACCCAGAATCCTCCTATGCTTAATTCCGAAGCTGTAATAATTATTATGATTAAAAACTTCGTTTGTACCACTCCTCGCAAACCGTTGAATAACCTGAATTGTTCTAGATACGTTTCGATAAGTCGTGTATTCATCGGTCATTATGTGATACTGTATTTTCTGCATTTTCGACTTAAAATTTTTTTTATGAATGGAACATGATCGCTCAACTTTATTGCCTCTTGATGTATACGAATATTATCGCGAATTCTTCTGTTCAATTTTTTCATGTTTTGTTCACTCATAAAAAGTTCAGAACTCGATTCGAATTCGTCGTGCATATGTTCCATATCGTGTCTAAAATATAATTATGCGGATATTAAATATTAACTATAAAATAAGTTCAAGCTGCTGTTTACCCTATGACTGAGAAAATTCCTGCTATAAAATTTACGGTAAAAACTTGAAAAAAATTCAATGCCGCGCCCTCGAACATGAACTTTTCGAAATTTATGAAAAAAAAATATCGAAAAAGTCCATTTTTTTCAATATTATTGCATTTCTGGGTCAAAACTAAATACGCGATATATTGTTTAGATTATTTTTACTCTCAGAACAGTTTTCAAACTTCAAAAATCCATCGAAACCATCTGAAATCATTTATTTGAGTTCTAGTTTAAAGGAAACTTTATTTCAAACCTCAAAACACTTTCAGATTCCGATGGATCCCCCGAGATACAAAATTTTTTTCTGAAAAAGTGGTCCATCCTAATATGCGGTCTATATTCCTACGATTATCGGGCCCTAACGCGACTAAAGAAGTTTCACTTCAAAAATTGAAAGCACAGCTTTTTTCAAATAATTATCAAGACAAATTAAAACGCGTCATGGGAAAAGTTGTTAAAAAATTGATATTCCAAATGACCTGTTAGCAATTGGAAATTAAGAAATTATCGAGGAATTTTTAATTTTTCGAATCCGCACTCCGTATTTTGCGCCAAAAGTTCAATCCACCGCACACGTAGGAATCGGTTGATAATAATAACAGCAAAGAAACAAAACCCCGTGTGCGCGCGGGGGGTGGCTGTTCCGCGAAGCTGAATTATAATGCTGCGCTATACAATCCAGGACTTTGTGTGTCATATGCGTGTGCACACGATAATAGCGCCTAAATACACGATTTGAGATATATATATATTATATACCCCTCCCCGTCGCGGCCGCCCCGGTGTATATAAACGCGTGCCAGCCATGTTTTATTCGCGCACGTATGTATCTATACCTATATAGACATTGGCACACCACGGCAGCGGCAGCACGGCACGCGCACAAGCTATAAACGCGTCGAGAAAATCAGTGCGGATAGCGTTTTGTAGCCTAGCTGTAGACGTGTTCGTCGTCGTCGTCGTCGTCGTCGTGCTGCAGCGACCGCCGCGAATATTTTATACACATTATACATTTATAAATATAATTCGCGTGCCTTGTGTCTCTCACGCTTGTGCGGCCGCTGCTGCACTACTGGGCCGCGTACCAGTCTCTATCGTATATGCGTGTGTGCGCGCTTATAACTCGTTTCTTGCCTCCTATTCATTTTTTATGTATCGGATAAATAAATACTAAAAAAAAAAAATAATCCCTCGCTCGTGGGTCGGCAAAGGTCGATTCGAATACACGTCGCAACGTTTTATTTTTTATTTCTTTTATTTATTTATTTATTTTTCTTCGTTATCGCGACCAAAATTTGAAAAAAAAATTGCACTCTCCCTCCGTCTTGCTTTGCACGACCATAAGTGCCGGCGGTGTGTAGTCAGTAGTGTGACACGGTCTTACGCTCGTGTGTGTGTGTGTGTGTCGCGCCGCAGCTCTCGCCGATGTTGCTGCTGCTGCTGCTCGCAGCTCGCTCCAGTCGTGTCTCTCCGTTCAAAACAACATAAATATAACCAAGAATCCAAGAACGTTCCAAACGAAGGAGAGAGAGAGACAGACAGACACGGTGGTGTATATCGAGATAGAAAGTGAGAGAGCGAGAGAGAGAGTTGAAGGATCCTTGTGCGGATAGTAACATAAGAGATCGTGTGTCTACGCCCGCGCAACGACTTTTTTCTTCTCGTCGTCGTCGTCGTCCGAGTTCTTGGTTTTGTTTATTTGAGATATAGTTGAAAAAAAAACGTTCTCCTCGCCAACGGTCTGCCGTCGCCGCCGCCGTCGTCGACGACGTCGTTGTTGATCTTGCCAACATAAAAAAAAATACCTTTGAGGACAAAAACAACGCACGTAAACACACGTACACCATGGCGGACGTCGACGCCAAAGTGAACATGTCCCTCGGTAAGTGTGCTGCTCCGCTGTTGGCCTCTCGGCCGAGTCGTCGATATGTTTATCTCCCTTTAATTTTTTTGCTGCTCGATGTTACGAGGTCGCGTACTACGCGCAGACACACCGGCTGACCGACAGCTGCTCCGGGGTCGAGCATTTTTGGCGAAAAATTTTCCGAATCGCGTCCAACAATATGACTTTCTTTCATGACGTTGCTTATTAATATTCAGCTTTTTCCCATCTCGATCCTAAAATCTCGCCCTCGATTGGAGCAGCGAGACGAAATGATAATGTATAAATTAAAACGCCATTGGCACGTTATATTTTTGGATGGGATGGAAAGAGTTTACATACACACGTCCGAGAGCGTGTGTAGCGCTGCGGTGTTGTGCATTTTCTTGATTCATTGATTTCCGGCGTGAGCGTTATTTTTATGACAATCTACGCTATGGATTTGATAGACTCAAGCCGGTGCGTGCCAAATATAGCGATGGTGAACACCCACGCGAAAAAAGTCTTACAGGCACGTCGAGAAAGTTTCGTAATGATGCTCTCTTATATAGAATCACAAAAAGAGAAAAATAAATACGGATTAGAAGTTGAGACAAAATGTCAGATGTTCACATGTCAAGAATAATTTTCAAATAAATTCATATGAATTCAATTTAAAGAAACATTAACCATAGCTTTCAGTACTGATGATGATAGAGAGCTTGTTTTCAAAATTCATATCATGAAAGAAAATGTTCATTCTTATATATAATTATTGCTTGGACACCATTAAATCTTTTTTTAGCTCTTTGCAATTTATGTCAATGTGAACTCTGTTAACTTGAGTGTACATACAAAAGCATCTTAAAAATGTAGTCATGTAATTTTGAATCTGTTACTTTTATGAATGGCATTTCCACACAATAGATCTTATGTACAAGATTTTTTTATTAACAATTTTTCTGTTGAAACTACAATCTTTGTAACTTATGATCATCATTACATAAATATTTTTCTTTCAAGATGACATTATCCGAATGGAAAAGAAGAAAAAAGCCATGAACAACAAACGTGGCGGTGGAGGAGGTAACAAAAGTGGAAACAACCGCAATAACCGGGCACGAAGCTCAAGCCGTGGTAGAAAAAATCAACAGCAGCAGCACCGTAGTCGTTCTCAAGCTAGAGGTGGAGGTCAAAATAACTACAGAGGACGTAGTAATTCACGACATCGAAACAATCAATACAACAAACGTGGTCAATGGAGAAGGTATGGCCAAAATTTGCGTGGCAAAAGATTTTCCAATGGTTCATTGGGTAGAAATTCTTTGTCTAGATCTAGAAGCAATGTGACCTTAAACAGAATTGGTCTTAGAACAAATTCAAGAGGTAGATCTACGTCACGAGCTACTTATCAAATAAGAAGAGGTAGCTTTAACATGAATCGCAGCAGAAGTAGAAGTCGAGGTAGATTTAATCAATATGATGATGGTATTGGAGAATACAATGACTACAACAGTGATTACCCTGGTGATTATGAGGGCGGTTATGATGATCCATCTAATTTTCTGAAAAGAATCAACAGTATGCCAAATTTGAGTGATCCTGGTTCGGTCTACAGTAGGTTGGGCTATCAAAGCCCTGCACAAATGGCTTATAGAAATAAAGTTAAGGGTGCCAAAAACACTTTACTTCAAAGCCAGCACAAAGCTTATAGAATGCAAAATGCATTACAGGTACCAAATGTATATAGTCTTTTTATTTTTTAATTTTTTTCAAAATTCTAAGATAGAATACGTAGTAACTAGAGGCTTCTTCTTTAGATAATGCCACCACTGTCTTTCAATAATACGTCTCCAAGACAGTACAATACAGCTACTATAAGAGCTGAACAATTATTGAGAGCACAAAGGCGGGCAGCATATGAACAAAAACTCATGAGGATAAAGTATGATTATAATCTTAAAATATGTTTAATAACCACCTTCAGAATTTTATAATATTTTGAATTAATATTATCAGTGCTCTTCAACAAAGAGGAACACCTGAACCTATAAATTACTTGGAGGATTTAAATGAATATGCACAAAGGCACCCAGCTATGTCTCTTTACACAGCATCACCGACACAAAGCTCTACAGCATCGAATGAACGGCGTGGCAGATCCCCTTTCAGAAGAACACTTCCTTTAAAAGAACCTAAACTCGTAAGTATAATGATGATGAATAAACACAATGAATTACAGTAAATTCAAATATTTGAATTGCCATTAGGAACCCAACTACAGTGGACCACTACGCAGTCGCTCAGCCAGTAGAACGAGGCGCACACGTTCGAGATCTCGGTCACGTTCTCGGGCACGTCAAGGTAGTGGAGTGAATTCCATCAGCTTAGTCAACGACGATGAAATTGAAGATCGGTCCTTCAGCAAAGCCATGTATAGTTTGTCAGATAACTTTGGTGTTACTGGTCGTACGCTAAACGACCGCTTCAGCGGGGTGACCACCCGACGCACACTCAACGATCGTTTTAGTATATGTTAGGGTAACGGCGAAGTCAATCTGTTGAACTGAGACTGAATCAAGCTAGCATAAATTTGTAATCTCTCAACTATCATGGATGCAAGCATCATTTCTCAAATTTCATTTAATAATTAAAAGGTTGAGTTTTTAGTTCAAAGGAATCGATCAAGTATCAGTTTGATGGCAATCTTTAATAATAGTTGCAAATTTTGGGTTTTTAAATAATAATTTATTGAAGTAGGCTTTAAATTTTTAGCTGGCTCTCTGCACTTGAGAAAAGAGGCATTCGGCCGAAAGATAATTGAAGCATTGAAGTAGAAACAACGATTAAATTCGATTCATTAGCTTTATCTTATTACAGTTTTATGATTGAGAATAAAACTTACTTTTAAGATTTGTTTTAAATTTAATTACCAGCAATGGGCCTTTCTTTTTATAAACTTTTTAAGTTACAAAATAATTTTTCTACTACATGAAAGATACAGATGAGTTATAACGGAGAGATTTAATCTCGCATTGTATGATACTATAAGCAACGGCCGCGATAACGTAGCATATTTGGAGAATTCAAAGTACATTTCTCAAATGTGTATAAGGTGATAATATGTATTGATTGTGTCGTTATGAAAATGTGCGAATCATACGTACAATACACAGCATACATAGATTTATTACAAGTTAAGCAGCTTTTAGAAAATAAAACATGTAAAATCATTATATTATATATATATTTATCACCTAAGCAAGTTTGAAAGCGTAAAATGTGAAAGACGAAGCGAGAAAATTTATATATATTTAATGATATATATGTAATAAAAAGAAACTTGGAATATTCTGTTCACGATTCAATGCAGTTGAGAAAAAGTGTACAATGTATCTAATGTAATATTCATAATTATTTTGGTATGAATGAGAGTACGAAAATTACGCCCTTAAATATATTTTTTTTCTTTCTCATTAGCCGTACGTTCGACCGTGCGCGCTGTTGTTAAAATGCGTTTTCAGACGTGCAAAAACAACAATTGATACAAAAAAAAAAAAAAAAAAAAAAAAAAAAAAAAAAAAAAAAAAANAAAAAAAAAAAAAAAAAAAAAGAAAAGAAAATACAACAAAAAAATAGTAAAAAGAAAACATTGATCAACAATAATAAAAAAAGTTATCATTTGAAAATTTGCCGTTTTATTCGTGTAAAAACTTGACTCATATTGTATATTATATATTGTGTATAAATAGAATAATAATGGCTATTCTATACGGTCGTCATCGCTCATAACGTATTGCGCGTTTGATAAGCGATTGACAATATATCACTCGTGAGTAGCGTGCGAGCACGAAGCGCAAAATTTAGTTCGGCAGCAGCAGCAGCAGCAGTCGTCGAATCGATAAAAATTTTCTCTGGTGCCCGATTAGAGAGAGAGAGAGAAAAGCGCCGAGACAGTGAGAGTATAACAAGAGATTGCAATAAATAAACACGTTGTGCGTATCGTAGCATTTTTCTTTATAATAACTGGACTTTAACCGAGAATCGAGGCAGTCCGTTACGCACGTTTGGGGCGGATTTATCGAGTTGAGCTCGTCGCCGTCGTCGCTCGCCTCTCTCGTGTGCCGCTAAAACAAAACACTGTCAATACAGTCACAGCAGCAGCCGTCGTCGCAACACGCGCAAACGTAAATATACGAAGTAGTTTCGAGACATTTTCTGACAAAAAAAAAAAAAAATAAAAATTCTCTCGCGCCGAGGGTGACCAAAAAAAATGCAACGTTAAATCAATTTTATAGTTCGTACACAAGTTTTTCATTTTACTTCACACAACAACACCATGTTCAAGACTTTGGCCAGACGCACGGTGGTGGTGACGCTCGGCTGCAACGAAAGCCATGTGAAAGTAAGTATATGTATGCATGAAAAATTCGAGGGAGAAAAGTCTCTCGTTATCGCGAGCTTCCGTCTCGGAACAGCCTAGACTCGAGACGCAGTTAATTGAAATAAACATCTATGTAATAATAATAAAACAGACAAACAAATTAGCCTCCGCGGTATCGCCTCGGATCGATAAGTTAATAAATACAAGTACTTTGCACCGCGCGCGAGATTACGCGCGCACGCTTACTTATCGGATTTTTAACCTTTAAAGCCGAAGATGATGACGATTATGATGATGATGATGAGCATGATCCATCGTCGTGTCATCTTATCTCTCGCGTCAATTATAATGCCATCAATTGTAGAAACGACAAGAACCAACAACAAAACACGAAAAAAAATTCGCGTAAAAAATTTATAATAATTATTAAAAAAAAATGTTCAAGTCGCTGCTCGGTATCGCGACGCGCAGAGGAGCCCAACTGCAGCGGCAGCAGCCCAGGCGCAACTTGAACATCCACGAGAATCAGGCGTACACGCTGCTGAGATCGGCATGCATACCGACGCCCGAGTTCGGCGTGGCCAAGACGCCCGAGGAGGCCTACGAGATCGCCAAGGAGCTGGGCGCCGGCGACGACCTCGTGCTCAAGGCCCAGGTGCTCGCGGGCGGACGCGGCAAGGGCCGCTTCAAGGGCAGCAGCGTCAGCGGAGTGGTCATGTGCGAGACGTGAGTATACAATGAAAAATAAAATGCGAACAACAATTGGTTGGTAACGAGATGTTATTTTGTGTCATTGGACAGGCCCGAAGAGGCTAAAGATATATCGAGCAAGATGCTGGGCAAGATGCTGGTGACGAAGCAGACAGGCGAAGCGGGCAGGATATGCAACTCCGTGATGGTGACGACTCGCTCGTACGCGCGCAAGGAGCTCTACGTGTCGGTCATGATGGAGCGCGCCTACGGCGTGAGTTTCTCTCATTGAACAAACAATAAATGAATAAATAAATAAAAACAAAAATATCAAAAGTATCGATTTGTCGTCGCGCGTAGGGTCCGGTGGTGATAGCGTCGAGCCAGGGCGGCGTCAACATCGAGGACGTCGCCGCGACGAACCCGGAGGCGATCAGCTACACGCCAGTCGATCCCAATTGCGGCCTGCAGCGCGAGCAAGCCGATCGCATCGCCTGCAAGCTCGGCGTGCGCGATCCCGAGATCGTCAGCGACATCATCATGAAGCTCTACCGGTTGTTCGTCGAGAAAGACGCCGTGCTGCTCGAGATCAATCCGCTGGTGCAGGACATTTGCGGCAAATGTGAGTCTCTATAAATCGTATACCGATCTTCCATAACGGACTTACCGATCTCTCTGTGTGTAGATTTCGCGCTCGACTGCAAGTGCAACTTCGACGACAGCGCCGAGTTCCGGCAGAAGGAGCTGCACGGCATGCGCGACTGGAGCCAGTCCAGTCCCGCGGAGGAGCAGGCCGAGAAGCACTCGCTCAACTACATACCCATGGACGGCAACATCGGCTGCATGGTGAACGGTGCGGGCCTCGCCATGGCCACCATGGACATCATCAAGCTCAAGGGCGGCGAGCCCGCCAACTTCCTGGACATCGGCGGCAGCCCCAGCGCCGAGGCCATCGCCGAGGCCATGAAGATCATCTGCTCGGACGCGAGGGTCGCCGTGGTGTTCGTCAACATATTCGCCGGCATCAATCGTTGCGACCTCGTGGCCGAGGGCGTGATCGCCGCCTTCAAGAAGCACGATTTCAAAGTGCCCGCGGTGGTTCGACTGCAGGTAGCTAACGCATACTTTGGGATAAACGATATCTCGAGGAAAAAAATTGACCTCTCGTTGTTGTTTTGCGCTCGCAGGGCACCAATGCGGACAAAGGCAGGCAGATGCTGCGCGAGGCGAAGCTCAAAATCATACCGATCGAGGGCGACATGGCGGAAGCGGCCGAGACGAGCGTCAAAGTCGCCGAGATCTGTCGTCTGGCTCGCGACCTGAATCTCAATGTCGAGATCACTCCCAAGGCCACGTCAACGACGACGACGACGACGACGACTACCAAGTGATAATAAACTCGTTCACGAGAGATGATATCGCGCATCGCGCTCGTCGTGCGTATTATACAATCAAACGAAAACAAACGAAAAAAAAAGGAAAAAGATGAAAAAAAGAAGACTGTACGACGACGCGCAGTATCGGGGATCACGGCGGAATCGGTTGGATTAGCAGCGGCAGCAGCAGCGAGCCGATCATCATCGATCGATCGATCGATCGATATTGCTCCGCGCACGCAGAGTGAGAGAGATGTAGATTGTTGTGTATAGTCACGTGTGTACAAATGTATTTTAACTTGATTAACAACTTTTATAATAACATAATGTGGAGATGGATGCTACACGAGAAATCGATTTCTCGCGAGCATAGGCGTAACGATAATAATAATAAAAATTCGAGTACTTATAATTATAACGTACATATCTCGAGAGACAACACTTGTTTGGCATACAAAATTTCCATTATTGCAACGTGTTGTTATTACAATTATTACTGTAAAGAGATCTAGATGGATCCGATCCTATTTTTACACGATACTACATGAATTGCGTCGTTCGAATTTTTTATTTTTTCCGATTTCCGCGCGCGCCAGCAGAATTGCAGCAGCAGCGGAGGTAGGGGGAGGAAAAAGATATAACTTCCGATAAGAAGGCTCTCCACAAGTGCTATAATATACATGTGCGAGAGGCAATTACAAGTCGTTTTGTCAGTGTAGTGTTTTGTTTCACACATATGTCATACATATATAATAAAATGCGGCGCGCGAGATCGTATACAATGTTGCGAATAGCGACCTCGTCAATGTCATGCTCGGAGCGCGTGCTATTCTATGCTCTCTCTCTCATCCGTCCGTCCGTTCGAATCGTCGCTCTTCTTCCTTTGCAACGAATTTTGCGCGCGCTCGTGTGTCTTTCGTTAAATAGCCGTCGTCGGCTGAAAGAAAAAAATGCGCGCATTCGACGACGCCTTTTACGATGCTCCACTTGCCTATAACGAAAGCAGAAAATCAAATCGAGACGCGCGCGCGTAGGTGGTGGTGCAGCGACGACGACCGCAGGCAGGCGTTAGCTCGACCGTCACTTTTTTCAAAAATGGGAAATTCTCGAATCGAGTCGAAGAAAGTAGTACTCACTTTTATGAAATTTCCCCGTCGACTCCCTGAAAAAAAAATGACCAACAAGCGGCAATAGCCGATCGAAATTCCTCTCCGATGAATAATCCCGCAGTCATCGTTACGGAGCGATAATTGAAGCGCGCCGCGCGCGTTCTACATCTCTTTCGTATTATGCTAGATTTTGAACTCTTGAACGATGATCTAGCACAAACGTTCGAAATAAAATTTATAAATAATATAAAATTTAAAAGAAACAATATCGAACGCGATGTCTACGACGGGCGAAAAATTATCACGGGGCATTGAAATTTTGCGGCGCGTGTGCTCATTTCATTATATACGGGTTTGAGAAGTTGCTCTAGAATCGCGCACACACAGCAGCCTATTTCCGTACCCTTGTTATCAATCATAGGTCATTCACTCATAAATTACAGTTGGCTTTTCCATCTCTCTCTCTCTCTCTCTCTCTCTCTCTCTCATTCTTTCGTGTGTGGCTTATCATGACGGTCTTAAAACGTCCCGTGCATATAGGTATATGCATATAATAAGCAAATCGGTCGAGGTGCTGGCGTTGCAGCGCGATCCGCGAGCCGCGTTAGTCGTGTCGTCGCGCATTCTTCGCCACGACGAACCGAGAGAAGCAATTGTGGGTAGGGGGTGAAGTGAAGTATATAGTCGAAGTTACGAGTAGCATATCTCTCTCTTCATTATATACATTGTATATCGCATATATATATCGCAGGCGCGCCGTCAGCCGTGCCGCGACTCTACTGCACACATAATTTTCGGAGTCTCGCGCGCGCGGCTCACACAGTACAGAGTCGACGACTGCTGCTGCCTTTTGAGCATACAATACACAAGAGCTCCGCTGCGGGCAGTGTGTGAAGAAGTAGAAACGCCGTCCACAGTCATTCGGACGCGTACACACGGTCTAGAGCAGCCACTCCGCGCTCCCGAGCAGCAGCAGTAGCAGCAGCAGCAGCAGCAGCAGCAGTTACCCACACAAGCACGTGCTCAGTCTCCGACGCAGAGATTGTGTATACACACGCAGAGTCGGAGCCACTGTGCTGCGCCGCGCACCTACTCCGTATACCAGACGCTACTACTCTACTACTCGACGACGTAGATACGAACCGCACGCACACGCGCGCGCCTACAAACTCACTCACACACACACATACATAAGGAGAGAAGAGAACACAGCGCGCGGCCACCATGTTGTCACGGACGATCAACTTAGCCGAGGCTCTGGGACGCATCAACGGCACCAAGGTAAGGGCAAAATTCATTCGAACCATCCTCCATCATCCCGTCGTTCCATCGATCGTTCGAAAATCAACGCGAGTCTCGCGCGAAAGACGAAATAACTCGCTGAACTTGCACGATGATCGTATAGGGGTTACCAGCAAGGTGTGGAACGCCATGCATCGGTGTGCGTCTGCGTGTGTGTGTGTATGTGCTCGATGCGCGCGCACACACACAGAAACTCGGACTGACTCATATTCAAGCGTACGAAGCGTATACTCATACATGTTTACATTCGCGAATATAATAATAATAATGATGACTTTTCACGCTCCGTGTGTAGTCTGCTACGATACCTAAATCGGGTGCCAGGGTCGGCCGTGTGTCCGCGCTTATTTTCGCCTTGTGCAGCGAGCAGCAGCATTTATTACTTCGGAGATTGTATCGCGGCGTAATTTTATTAATCGACGTATTAAGGCGATGCGAGATATCGAGAAGTAGGCACCATCGGAATTTTTTTCTCTCAATGACATATTATTATCTTTTCTATAATATCTTTGCGAGTAGGCGCGTGTTTACCCGTGACCAAAAATTAAGAACGCGCGCGCGCGCCCGCCTGCCCGCGTGTGCTCGTTATGAGATTTAGCTTGACTAAACATCAGCTGACTCTATCTCTCTCTCTCTTTCTAATTTGTGCTCGTTTAACGAGCCATTTCTGAGTATTATGCACGACAGCTCGACTATATAGAGACAATTATGTGTGTCTTTAATTAGTTTTTTTTTTTTTTTTGCTTACGCGCGATAGCCTTGCGCGAGCGATTGAGAAATCGATGCGCGACGAGCGAGAGCTTCTTCGTCGGAAAGCACCTCAACGATACAACACCTTTTCGTATTATTGCTCGCGCGTCGATTGATATATAAGCCAAAGACTTATGTAAAATGTGTATGAGCTTGTGTGTAACGCGAGAGCTCGCACAAGTTGAACTTGAAATCCCTCGAGTCGATCGCGCGCGTCAACGTATATCGAACAGCAGCAGCGAGAGATGATGTCTGTATCGTGCCTATCGTTGTTTTCTGTCTGCTAAAAAAGCTCTCTCGTATACGTATGCGCGTTGTGCTTTTGTGTGTTTATGTAACCCGCTCGCGCGCGCGCGTATATTATAGACGTCAGGGGCACATAGCGTTAAAAAGCACACGCCTCGATGATAATTTTATTTTTTTTTTTTTTCGTAAGCTCGTTGCAACAGCAATTATTATATATTTTCCCGAGCCAATGTTAATCCGACGACGACGACGACGATAGGTGATACATTTTTCACGGCTGACTCCTCGCGCGAATCGATATTTTCTCTTGCTTTATATACATATGTATACATGTCTCACGCGCAAGCACGTGTACCGCCATGCGCGAGTGCGTACGTGCGAGAGAAAGAGCAAATATATAAAATATAATTACAATGTACGCATCGACGCGTATTACATGAAAATGATGATGATTATGCAACGTTCGATACTGTTTTATGCACTTGGCGGGCGCGAAGAGCTGCGGCTGCAGCTTTCATATATGCATTATTATTGGCATTTTTTGCGCGCCGCATCGGCCGCGCGCTATTAAATGCATAAACATTTCTCAATGCCATCCGTCGCGATTTATGAAAACTTCATTCCTTTTTTTTTTTTTCGTTACTTCACGCGTGTCAGAAACGAGTTTTATCTCGTGCAACGAGCTCGCGCGTTATCAAAAAATGTCTGCGCCTCTCTCATAATCCGATCTCTCCTTGTATACACATTCTTATATGATTTTTTTTTGCGCACACAGATCTTGGCGTCGTGCGCCACAGGGGCCCAGCACGGCCTGCAGGGCGCGCAGCAGCGGCGCAATCTCAACGTGCACGAGCACATCAGCTACAGCGTGCTCAATGAGGCCGGCATACCGACGCCCAAGTTCGGCGTCGCCAAGACGCCCGACGAGGCGCACAAGATCGCCAGCGATCTCAAGACCAAGGACATCGTGCTCAAGGCCCAGGTCTTGGCCGGCGGTCGCGGCAAGGGCGCGTTCAAGGGCACCAATGTCAGCGGCGTCAAGATGTGCGAGACGTGAGTATAGTGGTATTTTTGCGCGACGATTTTCGATTTATTTATAGATTCGACAGGCAGCAACAGCAGCAGAAAGAGAGAGAAAGATTTTATTTCCTCGATCTGTCTCTGTCGCTTGGAAAAAAAAACGAGTTTATTGAACCAATGGTGGCGCATAAACAAAGTTTTAAACTTATTTTTTCTTCCCGACGCAGGCCCGAGGAGGCGAAACACCTGGCCAGCCAGATGCTGGGCAAGCTGCTGGTGACCAAACAGACCGGCGAGGCCGGCAGGATATGCAATTCCGTGATGGTGACGCAGCGCATGTTCCCGCGCAAGGAGTACTATCTCGCCGTGATGATGGAGCGCGCCTTCGGCGGGCCCGTGATCATCGCCTCGAGTCAGGGTGGCGTCAACATCGAGGAGGTCGCCGCGACCAATCCCCAGGCCATCATGTACGAGCCCATCGACATCAACAAGGGCATCACCAAGCAGCAGGCCGAGGCGATCGCCGTCAAGCTCGGCTTGGAGGGCGTCAAGGACTACATCGCCGAGATGATCCTCAACATGTACGCCTTCTTCGTGAAGAAGGACGCGCTGCTGCTCGAGATCAATCCCCTGGCCGAGGACATCAATGGAAAATGTACGCGAATCGTCTATTATTTATAGAAAATATTATTTTTAATTTTTACTTTAACCCGCGTTGTAATATTGTACAGACTTTGCGCTCGACTGTAAGTGCCGGTTCGACGACAACGCCGAGTTCCGCCAGAAGGAGCTATTCGCGAAGCGCGACTGGACCCAGGAGGATCCCAAGGAGGTCGAGGCGGCCAAGTTCGAGCTCAACTACATCGCCCTCGACGGCAACATCGGCTGCATGGTGAACGGCGCCGGCCTCGCCATGGCCACCATGGACATCATCAAGCTGCACGGTGGCGAGCCGGCCAATTTCCTCGACGTGGGCGGCGGCGCCACCGCCCAAGCCGTCAAAGAGGCCTTCAAAATCATCACCTCGGATCCACGGGTTTGTCTTTATTACCTAGAGAGAGAGAGAGAGAGCAGCTGCTTTATTTTTGCGAACGTTGGAGTTGTGAAAGTAACGTTCTTTTATCGTTTCAGGTTCACGCGCTGTTGGTCAACATTTTCGGTGGTATTATGAGGTGTGACGTCATCGCCGAGGGTATCATTGCGGCCACAAAAGAGCTTGACCTCAAAATTCCCGTTGTTGTTAGACTGCAGGTAGGTTCAATGTGTTTTTCATCAAATTTTCTCGTGAAAATGCAAGTCACGTGCTGAATTTTGTTAATTACATTTTTACTCCACAAACAGGGAACAAACGTAGACGAAGCCAAAGCCCTCATCGCCAACGCCGGCCTGAAAATCGTGCCCGTCGACGACCTCGACGAAGCAGCCCGCATCGCCGTCAAACTGTCAACGATCGTCAAACTCGCCCAATCGGCAAATCTCAACGTTAACTTTGAGTTACCTCAGATCTCCTAAGCTGTGTCTCTGAACTCTTTTTTTTTTTTAGCTAGGCTATTATATTTGTGAAAATATACAAAGAGAGCGAGCATGCGTCGTTCCGACGAGTAACGCGCGAAAATGAATCCTACGTAATTCGTTATTTATATGGGTCAAAATAATACTTTTTTACAAAACCGTGCGCACGTATGTCACCGATCTTGACGCGCTTTTGGTATGTTATAGTACATGGTAAAAAGGTCCCAAAAAAAAATTTTTAGGCCCCCTCCCCCCTCCTACCCCCCACTTCCGGTATAAACGTCCATTTTCGATCTATATTTTTTCTGAGGACATGAAGCAAGTAAAAAATCTGAAAAAATTCATAAAAATACTTTTCCACAATCCAAACAACCTTGAATTTTTTCAGATTTTTTGAGTGCTTCAGGCCTTCAGAAAAAATTATTGAAAATTTCAAAAATCGAGATACGGCGGTATGAGCCGATGTAGTACTCGGAAATTTTTTCAGTTATTTTTCGCATTAAAAAACATAACCTCAATTTTTTTCAGATTTTTTCAGATTACCTAACGCACCTTTTGAAGCCAAAAACCGATTTTTTTGACGAAAATAATTTTTTTAGGACAGTACGGAGCCTCGAAAAATCTGAAAAAAATTTTTTCTTGTTTTTTTCATCAAAATACGTAATCTCAAATTTTTTCAGATTTTTTAATTGAAGGCGATAGCTTCTAGGGCCGAAAAATGCTATTTTTAACAAAAAATGGTTCCTAGAACCCGATGGTTCCGGTGAAAAAATTTGAAAATATTTTTTTTGAATTCCTTGTCAAATTTTAATAAATTTTGACCGTTTCAAAAGTTCGATTGAAGCTTCCTAGCTCATTTTAGAGCATCAAACGAGTTTTATCATTCCTTAATGTCTTCAGAAACGTCTTCAGATATTTTGCACTAATCTTTGTCCTGCTCTAAAATGAGCTAGGAAGCTTCAATCGAACTTTTGAAACGGTCAAAATTTATTAAAATTTGACAAGGAATTCAAAAAAAATATTTTCAAATTTTTTCACCGGAACCATCGGGTTCTAGGAACCATTTTTTGTTAAAAATAGCATTTTTCGGCCCTAGAAGCTATCGCCTTCAATTAAAAAATCTGAAAAAATTTGAGATTACGTATTTTGATGAAAAAAACAAGAAAAAATTTTTTTCAGATTTTTCGAGGCTCCGTACTGTCCTAAAAAAATTATTTTCGTCAAAAAAATCGGTTTTTGGCTTCAAAAGGTGCGTTAGGTAATCTGAAAAAATCTGAAAAAAATTGAGGTTATGTTTTTTAATGCGAAAAATAACTGAAAAAATTTCCGAGTACTACATCGGCTCATACCGCCGTATCTCGATTTTTGAAATTTTCAATGATTTTATCTGAAGGCCTGAAGCACTCAAAAAATCTGAAAAAATTCAAGGTTGTTTGGATTGTGGAAAAGTATTTTTATGAATTTTTTCAGATTTTTTACTTGCTTCATGTCCTCAGAAAAAATATAGATCGAAAATGGACGTTTATACCGGAAGTGGGGGGTAGGAGGGGGGAGGGGGTCTAAAAATTTTTTTTTGGGACCTTTTTACCATGTACTATAACATACCAAAAGCGCGTCAAGATCGGTGACATACGTGCGCACGGTTTTGTAAAAAAGTATTATTTTGACCCATATATAAAAAAAAAGAAGTAATTTTGAACGTCTCTCGTTGCGACTTTTTCAGCTCTCTATATGATGTAATCGTTACAGACCATTGGGTTCGTTGAGCGAAGTTCTAACAGTTTGCACGCGCGTTTTTATCCGTGCCGCGAGAGCGAGTCTGCGTTAACGCGAGATGAAACTCCTTGCACCCGCTTTTTGAGCCGAAAAATTAGATTACACTTTTTCAAGCACCAAAATTTTGCTGAGATGTTCCGGTAAACCGGATTAACGATTTACTCAAGACGAAAAACAAAAAAAAAAATGTATAAATGGGGTCACGTATGAGTGTGTGTGTATGATTACAGTTTGAATGTACTTTTTTCAATATTTTGAATGTAATTTTATGAAAGTTTTTGCGGCCTGCCGTGGTTGACGATTGATGATATGTGGTTGATACATGTATACATTATTATCTATTAAAATTATGAAATAATTATTATAATCTTTGTCGAGCAAAGAATGGCACCGCAGGAATCCACACACGCCTGCGCGAAGCTGTTGAAATAAAAAAAAAACAATGCTTTTTTTTAAAGGCACTTTTAAATTCTATCACCTCCTATACGAGTATAATATTATATAGAATAAAAATATATTTAAAAAGAAGCTAACGTAAATGGCGCAGATACTGCTATAGAATTCGAATTTGAAAAATTGTTATATGTATGGTTGTGTTATTTTACTAGATAAATGAAAAAAAAATGTCCTTTTAGCCAATTGTAATGCAAAATTTGAATTTGCGAAAACGTTCATCTGTCGCTATTATAGATTGAAAAAATTAATAATGATTGAATAAAATGAAAATGAGAAACCTAAGCGCGCTTCAGTATTATTATGAGCGAAAAACAAACGAAAGAAAAAAGAGAAACGACTCTTATTGTAATTAAAAAAAAAAAAAAATACTTCAACAGCGGGCATGTATTTGCGTCTCTAGCTATTAAAGAAACGCTCAAGACGAATGCAAAATATATGTGATGTTGCAGCAAAAGAAGCGATCAACGGGTAAAAAGAAACTAATCGAATATTTAAAAACAAAACAAAAAAAACGAAGCATTGTAATCTTATATTAATCTTATGATTGCTACGTTTTAACTCAGTGATGATTTTGTTTAATGTAATATATACATGGTATATACATACATAAATTATTTTACATAAAATGTTTTGATTTTTACGCCCTTCACTCGTGCTTACTATTTAATATGAATTTGGAGAAAGAAACTTGATGACAACCTTTTTTATTACAGAAACATAGCATAAACAAAAATCCAAATGATCGCGCCTCTCGCGCAAAAAATTTGTGCCAATAGTTCCCGTAACAGACGTGCGAAGCAGTGCCGTCAACGACGAACGCGCCTTATGGTTATCTATACGCGGCCATATCAATTTTTGCTCGCTCTACAATACGACTGCGAAGCTGGCAGTCGCCTTACGCACACACATAAGCCAATAAAACGCCGCGTAGAAGCCGAATATAGATAGCATACACATAAAGGCGAGCGAGAGAGAGAAGGCACTAGTCGCCGCAAATTCGTACACACAACGACGAGTAGTGACTCGAGAGAGCCGCGGGTCCAGTATAATACGCGTATACATACGTTCGTACAGACCGAAAGGGAAAAAGTCAGTTTCTGTGTTTCTGTTTTCGTCGTTAAATACACCGATACACGCGTCTGGATAAACACACGCACACACCGATACTCGTGTATATAAGGGTTTTTCGCAACGCGAGAAATGCCGATAAGGAACTCGGCGTGAAAAGTACACACACGACAGTTGGTGGTGCTGCGATTATTAATATTATACAGGCGGCGACGATTTCTCACGGACGAGTCCGAGTGTAAGAAACAAAAGCCTGCGCTTATAAACGCGGCAACGTCGAGTGTCGAGCAAAACCGCCCCTTACAAAACAGTGTTTTTTCCAGGCCCAAATTTTATTGTTTTAAAAAAAATCTTGGTCCGACGACGACTGTGCGAACGCACAGCGCGAGGACTAGCAGCGAGAAGAAAGAGAGGAGAGTGGGAGGCAACGGCAAAATAGTAGTAGTCGTCTCGTTTTTCTGCCGGCGCGTTCGCGTTGCTGCATGCTGTGTGCTGTGCCGTGCTCTCTGCTGCAGGCACCTTATACAATACGGAAAGTAACAAAAAAAAATCAGCAATCATGACAAGTGTGTCGTATCAAATAGCCAATCTTCTCGAGAAGGTAAGAATTTTGCATTGTCTTGGATTCGATGATCGCGTGCCGGGCCGAAAAAAGAGCCGTTGACACACGGGCTTCCCGAGCCGAGCGAGAGATTTTGCGAACTTACAAAAATAATGGCCGATATAACCTTTGCGCCGCTCGCTCGACGGCAACATTGTTTTTGCGGAAAATGCCTTTGTTTATGTGTCCCGAGAGTCTCGCGTGGCAATTTTCATCGTCTAGAGGAAAATTTCCTTCGTGGCGAATTCTATTTTTGGGGGAAATTACGTGTGGTTTTTTGCCTCTTTTGATTCGTGTCTTCTCGGCACACACGGCTGTTTACGAACGTAAACGTTATTGAAAAATGAGCCTGCACGCGTACAATCTTAATTCATGCTTATAATATACTACTATGGAAGTGAATCGTGATTTATGTATCAAACGTTTTTATCTTATTGTTATCTTGAACGATGCCAAAATTATACAAATTCGTAATGCGGTCTTTGACTTTTTGCAAACCAGATGACATCCAATGACAAAGACTTCAGATTTATGGCTACCAATGATCTGATGACTGAATTGCAAAAAGACAACATCAAATTGGACGATGATTCAGAGCGTAAAGTTGTCAAAATGCTTCTCAAATTGTTAGAAGACAAAAATGGAGAAGTGCAAAATCTAGCCGTTAAATGGTGAGTGTCTCCTTGCTGATGTGAAATCAATTTCTGTGATTTAAGCAGATTTTCATTGAATCTTTGAAATTTAGTTTAGGACCGTTAGTCAACAAGGTCAAGGAATACCAAGTAGAAACGATAGTTGATTCTTTATGTTCAAACATGGTGTCTGACAAAGAGCAGCTCAGAGACATTTCAAGTATTGGAATGAAAACTGTAATTGCTGAGTTACCCCAAGGCTCTGGCATTCTCGCAGGAAATGTTTGTCGTAGAATTGTAGGCAAATTGAGTATTGCCATTGAAAAAGTAAGTTTTAGATGGTTCAAGTTTTAATGAAAAATCCAGTCAGAATAAATAAATTACAATATATTTTTCAAGGGTGAAGATGTGCCAGTGCAATTGGAAGCTCTTGAAATCATAGCAGATATGTTGCAACGTTTTGGATCGGTTTTAATTGTATATCATCCGGTCATACAAGCATCCTTACTTCCTAATCTATCTTCACCACGTCAAGCTGTTCGTAAAAGAACTACCACAGCTCTTAGCTTCCTTATGATGTCCAGTAACAATGTAATTTACAATCAAATCATTGATTTCTTGCTCGAAGGGTTGTCTGGTAATTCCCCAAATAATGTTATTCGCACCTACGTCCAGTGTATTGCTGCAATTTGGTGAGTAATTGTGATAAATTATATTTTTAATGAATTAAGATAGTTAATTAAAATTTTTATTAAATTAATTTTATAAAATCTTTATAGTCGTCAAGCTGGTCATCGGTTTGGAGAACATATTGAACGTGTTATTCCATATGTTTTAAAATACAGTAAAGAAAATGACGACGATGAATTACGCGAATATTGCTTTCAAGCTTTTGAAGCATTTATATATAGATGCCCAAAAGAAATCACACCTCATATTAAAAAAGTAAACAAAAATACATTTTTATCAGATTTCATTTCATTACTCGATAAGAAATTGAATAATATTAATATAAAATTCTTAAATAGATTGTGGTCATGGGCTTGTCTTACATCATGTATGATCCTAACTACAATTATGATGATGAAGATGAGGCATCGGATGGTGAATGTGCCGATATGGAAGTAGAAGAAGATGGTGAAGAAGACGGCGAGGATGAATACTCAGACGACGACGATATGAGCTGGAAAGTACGTCGTGCAGCAACCAAATGCCTCGAAGCTGTTATTTCCAGTAGACGCGAATTGCTGTCTCATATTTATCAACAAATCTCGCCAGCTCTCATTAAGCGCTTTAAAGGTGAACATTGAAGATTCGTTATCTATAACACGTCGCGATAGTGCATGAACCTTTTCAATTGAGCTTAAACAAATTAATGTGATTTTACATATTTTAATTATTTACAGAACGCGAAGAAAATGTTAAATCTGACATCTTCCATGCTTACATAACACTTTTACGACAAACTAAGCCCACTACAACCGTAGTTTTGAACTCTGATGCAATGGAAGACGGAGAAGCACCTATTGTTCTTCTTCAACAACAAGTTCCTAGCATTGTCAAAGCTGTACATCATCAGATGAAAGAAAAATCTATTAAGACGCGCCAAGACTGCCTTCTTCTACTCAAAGAACTTGTGCTCGTTTTACCAAATGCTCTAGCTAATCACATTCAGACTCTTATTCCGGGAATTCAATATTCCCTTGGCGATAAGAATTCCTCCACCAACATGAAGATCGACACTCTTTCTTTCTTGCATACCTTATTGTCGACTCACAGACCAGAGGTGTTTTATCCGTACATGCTCATGATTGCTCCGCCCGTAATTGCCGCAGTTGGTGATCCGTTTTACAAAATCACAGCCGAAGCTCTGTTGGTAGTACAGCAGCTGGTTAAAGTGATCAGACCGTTTGGTATGTAAAAAAAAATTCATAAATAATCATTCACCTGAATAAGTTATGATAATATTTATAAAATTGTTAGATCAACCATCAACATTCGATTACGCGTCTCTCGCACCTCAACTGTTCGATGCAACGCTATCTAGACTGCGAACTGCTGACATTGATCAAGAAGTGAAAGAACGTGCGATCGCTAGTATGGGACAAATTGTAGCTCATTTGGGTGATGTGCTCCAAAGTTCATTACCCATCTGTTTACCGATTTTCCTCGACAGACTTCGAAATGAAATAACTCGCCTAACCACTGTGAAGGTATGCTCATTAATCAATAAACTTGGATTTCATATGTTACCGTCGATAGTAAATTCAATTATTTATACAATTTTTAGGCGTTGACGTGCATAGCCAGTTCTCCGTTGAAAATTAATTTGACACAAATTCTGCCAGAAGCTATCTCGGTCATAGGTTCATTCTTACGCAAAAATCAACGCGCTTTGAAGTTAAGCTCGCTCATTCTTTTGGACACAATTGAGCGTAATTACAGCGATGTAATAAATCCCCAACTACTCGATTATGTAACACTCGAATTGCCACCATTGTTGAGTGAAACTGATCTTCACATCGCTCAATTGACACTGACCTTGCTTACGACTATTGCTAGATTGCATCCATCGGCTTTGGTTAACATCAATGATAACATTTTACCAGAAATCTTTGTACTCGTGAGATCACCATTGCTGCAGGGTAAGTTTTTCAGTTTTGTGATTGTTGATAACACGAATTTTTTTGTAAAACTTATGTCTCAATGATAACATAAATATCATCCCAATTTTAAATAATAAAAAAAAATCGCCCGAATAGGGACTTGAACCCTAGACCCTCAGATTAAAAGTCTGATGCTCTACCGACTGAGCTATCCGGGCTTGTATTGGGAGTAAGAATTAGACATTTTTGGGAAATAGGCAAATTAAAAATGAAAAAAAATCAAATTAATTGGTTGATTACCATAATAACGAATGAAACAAATAATTTAAAAATAATATCGCATAACTAGTATCTTAATTACATTTAATGAAAAATTATGCTTCAATTTTTTAATGAGAGCATCAATCTGTTTTAAATTTGAAATGATTTTTAAAAGTAAAAAAAAACGCCCGAATAGGGACTTGAACCCTAGACCCTCAGATTAAAAGTCTGATGCTCTACCGACTGAGCTATCCGGGCTTGTAGAGAAATAATAAAGGAGACATTTTTAACGGATTAGGCAATGAAAATTAGAAGAAAAAAAATGAACAATCAATTGTTTCCAATAATAAAAATAAATGAAATCAAAGTAAAGGAAATTAATTTAAAAATAATGATCAACTTGCCTTTTTTTACATAATAATATTTTTATTATATATTATATGTCATATGCAGAATGGCCTAATCGGCACTCGCAGCGTTAATGTTAAATATTAGTTCTTAATTATATTTCTTAAAGTTAAGTGTATTTAGCATTTAATAATAGTGCATCTAGAAAATGAGAAAAACTAGATTGCTAGGTTGGGTTTGGTATTTTCTTAATAGTATTGTGACTATATTACAAATTATTTACATTTATGTACAGGAAAAAATCATCTTTCTTACTCTCTCTTTTTTTTCTTTCTTAATTTACATTTCTAGGGACTATTTAAACTTTTTTGTTGTTAATTCCAAAAACTTTTATAAAGTCTGCTGTGAATAAATTAAAGAGTAATGGCGAATTGACGGTTCCTTGCAGGAGTCCTCTTGTAATTGTTTATGTTGGGAGATTCGATTTATTGTTGTTTGTTATTTTAAATTTTTTATTGGTTATCATATTGGCTATTAGCTTCAGTAAGTGTGGGTTCATATTTTTAATAATTAATTTAAATCTGAGTCCTTGATGTCATACAGAGTCAAAAGCCTTTTGTAGGTCTATTAAAATTGCACCTGTCATTTTGTTCTTGTTCAGGTTCCAGTTGATATCCGCTGACAGTTTGTGTATTGCATGAATTGTAGAATGTCCATTTTTAAAACCAAATTGGTATTCGGGAAGTATATTATGCAAGCTGTCAAATTTGATAATGTTAGTTTTTATTACTCTTTCAAAAATTTTACTGATACATGGTAGCAGGCTTATTAGTCTTAAATTGTCCAATTCTGGAGGTTGATTGGGTTTTTTGTTTAAGATGATTAGTTTTGCCGTTTTCCAGGCTTCTGGATAGTAGCCGTTGTTTATGCAGTTGTTGATCAGCATTGTGTAATTTTTTAAGCAGATTTTGTTGATTTTTTTTTAAATTATATTTGGGATGTCATCCCACCTTGAGGATGTTTTGTTACTCATTATTGAGATTAAATTTGTTATTGTTTTAACATTAGTAAATTCTATGTTTGTGTTATTGCTGGGATTTAGGTTTGGGTTATCTGCTGTATTGTTTTGGTTAAAGGAAGTAATTGGGGGTAGTTTGTTGATATCGATCTGTTCCGTGCGAGGACATGAAATAATTTCTGGCTCGATTTAAACACAAATAATAACGAGTTTATTAATTAGTAAGTGTTTCGTCGGCACACGAATATTGCCAGCTGGCTCAAAAGCGATGAACCGTGACTGTGTCGAGAACTCGACGGGCTCTTAGGTTGAGCCTCGACTCGATCAGAAGCTAATTGATCGAAGACTGACGAGCCGAGGGAAAATCAGCAGCTCGTCCCGTGTATTTCCCCCATCAAGCACAAGCCACAGTCGCACCCCATATGCCGAAGCTAAGCAATAGCTGAACAGATCATAGAATCATTGACTTTATTTATAATTATTTTTTCCAACTCAGAATTATCATCTTCTTCCTTGGTATTGATCAAGTGGGAGAATTCTCCAATAATTATAGGAATTTTACTTTTATCATTGACGTCTGCTAATTATTGTCAATTATTGTTCATTCTAAAATATTGAAGATATGAGGTAGTGCAATGTTTGTACATTTAATATTTTTATTGATTAGAACCCCTTGGAATTTCCTGTCATTTCTAAAACATTGGTATCCATCGAATGCAATATTATGTTTTTTGTCGAGTTTCGTTTCACATACCACCTTAACATCAGGTTTGTGATTCCTCAGGAACATGCTCAAATTGTGTCTCTTGTAAAGAGATATCAATGAATTTATATTTAATGACATGATTTTAATGCAATTATTTGCTAAAGTATTTTGGGTTGTACAATTATTTAATTGATCCATTCTATATTTAAGGTTTTTAAAATGTAGTTTATTTTTTGGGCATTTTCCTGAGTTAGTGTGTGTAAACTGGTATTTTCATTTTAAATTACTGTCTCATTTTTTGCCTGTGTCAGTAATTGCTTGACTCAGCTAAATTTGCTTTCAAAGTTTGATGCTCTACCGACTGAGCTATCCGGGCTTTAATTTAAAAATAATGATCAACTTGCCTTTTTTTACATAATAATATTTTTATCATATATTGGGTAATCAATAGCAACATAAGTAGAATCTCAATTATGAAAAAAATTGAAAGAGAACTTTAAAAGAAAAAAAAATCGCCCGAATAGGGACTTGAACCCTAGACCCTCAGATTAAAAGTCTGATGCTCTTTTTTTTTTTTATGAGACTATGTTTATTTTTTTCTCAATAATACATTTTCTTACATAAGCAATAAACATATATAAAAGTAGCTTTTAAAGTATTGTACATATCAATGTTATATGCAGAATGGCCCAATCGGCACTCGCTGCGTTACAATTAGATATTAGTTCTTAATTATATTTCTTAGCATTAAGTGTATTTAACATTTAATAATATTGCATCTAGAAAATGAGAAAAAACTAGATTGCTAGGTTGGGTTTGGGTTTGGTATATTCTTAATAGTATTGTGACTATATTACAAATTATTTACATTTATTTACAAGAACTATGAACTAATAATACTATGAACTAACATATGAAATCATATATGAATAATAATACTATGAACTAATTATTATTACTATTATTATTTTTTTTCTTATTTTTATTATCATAATAGTTAAAATTAGTTATAAGTTCTAAATCATATTTTGTTAGGGCTCTACAATAAATATAATTTTGGTCGAATAATGTCGGTTCTAGTGATTTAACCCAATTATTTCTAGGTATATGGTATATACAGTGTTTCTGGTTTTTATCTATGATAAGTGATTTTTCGTCAAGAAGTTTGAAGCCTTCAGGCGGAATGAACCCTTTGAGCGCAGCTTTATTCAGGTATTGATCGTTGTGATAATATGGTCCGCATATAAGGCTGTTGCTCTGGTTTTTGATAGAGTTTTTAATGTAGTTTCTTATTAAGTATATTATAAATGTATCTATGCGCGGAATTTTTGCCATCTCTAGAATTTTGTAATTACATATTTTTTTTTGGAAAGTCTGATGCTCTACCGACTGAGCTATCCGGGCTTGTAATTGAAGTTAAAAATAGACATTTTTAGGTAATCAGAGTAAAAAATGTCGATAAAGGAGTATTACTTGATAAAAAAATTGATACAATTATACAATTACAATGGAATTTTCACGAAAAATAAATAAATGAATAAAATGATGTTGATTTTTATAAATCAAATTTTATATACAAATATAAAAATATATAATCTATGCAATTTTATTTTTTAGGTGGTGCATTAACTGCAATGCTCGAGTTTTTCCAAGCTTTGGTACAAGCTGGCATACCGGGATTGAATTTCCGGGAGTTGCTAAATATGGTAGTGGCGCCTGTTACTGGAAAATCGAAAAAGCCTCAACCTCAACTCCACAAGCAAGCTTATCATTCTTTGGCCAAGTGTACTGCTGCTTTAGCTGTCACCTGTACTCAGGAGTGCCGAGGTGTGGTTGAAGAATTTGTAAAGGATTTACAACTTCAAAAACACGACTCTAGGCACATTTTCGCATTATTAGTCATCGGAGAAATCGGTCGACACGTGTAAGTTAAATGAAACTAAAACTAAAGAAATAACAAGCGTATATCTATTTCTAATTCGTATCAATTTGCTTTTCTTTCAGAGATTTGAGCTCTTTAGAAGAGTTAAAACTCATCATTTTGGATTCATTCTGCTCTACTACAGAAGAAATCAAGTCAGCAGCTAGCTACACTCTTGGAAATATTGCTGTGGGCAATCTACCGGCGTATCTTCCGTTCATACTCACACAAATAGAATGTCAGCCTAAACGTCAATATCTCCTTCTTCACTCATTGAAAGAAGTAAGAATAGTCTTTCAGTGAACTTTTCTAGAAATTGCAAATCGCATTTTCAGCGTACTTAATATTATTTTTAAACGCAGATTATCACATGCCAATCCGCAAGTCCTGCTGGCGTTGAGCTTTTACTTCGTTTTGTACCTACAATCTGGGTTTTGCTTGTAAAACATTGCGAATGCGTTGAAGAAGGCACGCGTAACGTCGTAGCAGAATGTCTTGGTAAACTGACTCTTATCGATCCGGTCAAGTTACTACCAGATCTTCGACAATTACTCCTTTCGAAATCTGCTCTGATGCGAACGACAGTTGTTACTGCTATCAAATTCACCATTTCCGATCAGGTAAATAAGAATCAGATTTTTGTTAATTTTTTGCATAAATTAACGCTAAAACATATTCTTTTGCAGCCACAACCCATTGATCTACTGCTTAAACAAAACTTATCGGTATTCTTGGAAGCTTTAGAGGATGATGACTTAAATGTGCGTAGAGTGGCACTCGTTGCATTTAACTCAGCAGCACATAATAAACCAATACTGGTCAGAGATTTATTGGACACGGTGTTGCCGCATCTTTACACTGAGACTAAAGTCAAAGTAATTGAACATTATTTACCTGACATAACAAATGATCTGCACTCGAAGGAAAAGTATTTTTCATTTGTACACATTTTGTTGAAAATTTACAGCCAGAGCTGATCCGAGAAGTAGAAATGGGCCCGTTCAAACACACAGTCGACGATGGTCTGGATTTGCGAAAAGCAGCTTTCGAATGTATGTACACATTACTCGACTCTTGTTTGGACCGCTTGGATATTTTTGAATTCCTCAATCACGTCGAGAGTGGTCTCCGCGATCATTACGACATCAAAATGCTCACCTATTTAATGGTTGCGAGACTCGCACATTTATGCCCTGCTGCCGTTCTTCAACGTAAGTTTCTCCAGCGAATCTTCATTACATACGACATTAACGATTTTCCTAATCAAATCATTCACTTGAGCAGGACTCGACAGACTGGTTGAACCTCTGAAAAACACGTGTACTATGAAAGTCAAACAGAATTCTGTTAAACAAGAGTACGAAAAACAAGACGAGCTTAAACGATCTGCTTTGCGAGCCGTTGCTGCACTCAGTGGAATTCCAGATAGTGGTAAGTTGGTGTAATTCTAGATAGTGGACAGTATGTTATCTTGTAAATCGTGAATTATCATTTCTCCTGTGCTAGACAAATACACTTCAAAAATTTATGCGCGAGCTTTGTATAGAATGGAATACATATTTGTAACTATTAAGTTGGTTCTAATATAATGATATTCAAAATTTCAGATAAAAATCCAACCTTGACAGATTTCATTACCAGCATCAAATTGTCACAAGATCTTCAACCTCTATATGAACTTATTCAAAAAGACTGTACAGGTAACATCAACGACCCTAACATGATGGATCAAAGTTAAAAAGTAAAACTAGTTGCATTTAAAAAATAGGCGCTCCTTAAAAGAGCGTACGATATTTTGTAAACAAAACACACTTGAAGATAATGCCAATTAACCACGTTCAGCGTATCGGAATGCGAATACCGAAAAGAAAATTTTACGATTAACGTGTGAGAAAAGTAGATGTTATAGTTGAAAAAGATAAAAAAAAATGCAAAAACCAAGAAAGGCATTATAAAAAAATAAGCATTAAAAAAAAACATTGTATCACCCTACTCCTGTTTCTACATTTTTTAAATATTAATAAATTTGTAATCCAAAAATCGTGCTAGAAAAGAGTATGAAGATGTTGATAAGCGATGATACGATGCGAGCTCTAAAAAATTATTAATTAAATGTAATACGTAACGAATAAGTTTCTAATTATTATTATTATTTTTTTTTCATAAAAAGATTGAAAGGGAAAGGTTTTAAGTGCAAAATAATTGAAATGATATTCAAATTTTACAAGGTATAAAAAAACAAAAAAATATAGCTGATGAGATCGCAGCACAATGTAAGCATGCAACTTTTTTAAGTGAATGTGATTGAAATTGAAAACAAACAAAAAAAAACCCTGTATAAACTTGAGGAATGAAAGGATAAGATAATAAATTTACCGGACGTTTAAATATTTTAAACGAGTTGAAATTATTGCATTGATTCATCTCCACGATCGATTTATCGGCATTCAAGCACTTTTCAGCGATACGCGGCGGCGAATCAGTCGAGAGAAGAAGAAGAAGAAGAAAAAGTGAATACACATAATACGTTTGTACCAATTAGATTTCACAGCCATGAGGAGCATTGCGCATCACGCGCGGATATCTTCTTTATAATATAAATACATACGTGGCTCAATTGCGCCTCTACCTTGACAAAGTTTAACAACCCACACACCATCGCGCAATCATCATCGACCCTCTCGAGTGCCGTGCGTGCGTACGAAGAAAAAAATGTGCATATCGTTTCGTGTATATATATATAATAAAAGTGCAAGGTCTCTGGCGCGAACACGTGAAAATGTCTCGCGCATATTTGTCGCGTCTCTTCCCGCGAATAGCTTTACATATAAAATGTCACGAGAGGACAAGAGAACGTCATCATCGCGCTAAAACGAAGAAAAAAAGTTTCAAATTTCCGCAAGGGTAAGCTCGCGGTGTCACAGCGGCAATGTACAGTAGGATAGAGTCGTAGCTGCACTCTATATGTGCACTTTTGTGTCTACGTGCCGTTTTGCATGTTGCGCGCTGCGGCTGGTGGTATTGGCGTCACACGCAGCCGCTCGTCAAAGGCGCAGATATGCACTAAATTATATCTCTATATATGCGCACAGTAGTAAAAACGTAACGCTAGATATATATCAAAGTAGTGCAGTTTTAATGCTGAATGAACGGCAGCGCGATGAGGCTGCGGAGCTCGCGCGCGCGTGCGACCGACCGATCATATGTGTGTTACACGAGCGCGCGTTTTTATTATTATTATCATCGTGGGTAAAAGCACACGTGATGACGCGGCAATGACGCGCTTTTCAATAATAAGTAAATGCAGTCGATTAGGTATATGATCGCGCGTAAAGCAATAAAGTACTCTTCCATCGACGAGACGGAGCTTTTAACGATTTCTCGGCTTTTTTTTCAGTCGTTCTTGGCACTCGGAAGCATCATCGTGTGATCGCGTAACGCGATAATAAATGTGCAGGCGTGGTGTACTTAAACTCGCGTACGGCACGTGCGCGTCTCCTCGTCTTCTGCACCAACGACGACATCGATTCGCAATCAACGGAAAAATGAAAGCAAAAAATGATCTCACATCGAGAATCGCGTGAAATAATCTTGTCCAGTCGAATATTATTCTCTCTGCGTAGGTAGGTATAGGTACATAGGTATGCCCGAACGGCGTCAGACCATCCCCAAAAAAAGTCCATCAATCCTTTAACTGTCACACCTTCTTTCTTTCTCCAACCCTTTTTTTTTTTTGCTACTACATAAAGCCCGGTGTGTCTAACAAGCGCCAAATATCTTCTCACGCGTGAGAAAAGCTAGTCCAATCAATAAAGGTTTTGAAAAAAAAAAATTCGCAACCAGAATTTTACGACGGATTCTTATTATGGGTACCCTAAACAACTAATTTTCATAAAATGCCACTGTTTTTTGTTCCTGCGTTTTTGTTTATAAGCCTTTAAAAATGCAAAAAAGCATATTATATTTTTTAACTCGTAAAGTATAAGTTTTACGATAAAATGTTTCAAACAAAAGTTGTAGGCATTTTCAAGACCTTTATTCTGGTATTTTTTTCATATTTTTTCGTCCATTTGTTTATTCTCTAGGTCGAAAAAACCTCTAAAAGTGGCCGTTTTTACAATTGTTTATAATTATTTATTAAAACGTGCTACGGCAATGAAATCTTGAGAAAATGTAGCCCTCGTTACGCAGAATCCAATGCATTTTTCAAAATCTCGCTAAGTGCATTATTTATCGAGATATTGCATTTGTTTATTAAAAAACACTCCCCTAGTGATTGTTAAATAACTTTGAGTTGGCTCAACGTACGAAGACCAGACACAGCGCAAATTAAAGGTAGAGACCTCCCAGTCAATTTGCAACAATAAAAACAATAATTTTTTCATAAAGACATGAAAAATAAACACCAGATATAAATGTGTACGAAAATTCTTATAAACAAATTGACTTATCTGCCGAACCAGAAGTCGTAAGTCAAATCGAATTTCGGCATCTTGTTCCTTGCATTTTTACGCAAATTTTAAAAAAAAATTGACCTCTTTAACTATATTGGAAACGAAGTTAGGCTTTTTTTTTTAAAAAATCACCACGCCTTTGTTTATAAACATTAAAAGCTGAAATTTGGTATACATTCGAACGAAATGTTGAACTTTTATATGTAAACGAATGCAACTATCAATCACCGTTATTTTTGCAACGATAATATTATTAACTAACAAAACATTCTGACTCTGTCATACACTCGCATGGGTAGCGGAGTGGGGGAAGGCCGAGGCGAGCTGTTCCGGCCGCTCGAAAAACTTGAAATTGACTTTTCAAAATGAAGCGCACTGGAAAAAATAACGTTATCTCGGCTTCTATTGAACCGAATTGCTTCTTTTTTTTTTTAAATTAAAGCTCTCAACAAATAATTAACAATTACATATGTTTAAAACCATTTGACCAAGTCGAAATCCATCTAAATTAATGTTTTATTTTAAGATGGTATATTCTCGTCGGTTTTGGGCGATATAATAATTTGATTAATTGTTATTTTTACTGTGTATGATTTTTATTGACAACTGTTTATTATAAACAAATTAATTGCATTTAACCTTTTTCATTAATGGTTATGTGCAAGTTGTAACGTTTGTTTTTTTTCGAAATAAACTTAATCGAGAAAATTCTTATTAATAATTTATTATGAACAATTTCGAATCGACATTATCATATAATTTATCAGTTTCGAACCATAATAAAAATATTAACATATCAACAGTTATTCCTTCAGTAATAAAAATCAACGAAGAAGAGATTTATTCTCCTAGGAAAAACGAACGACTATTCAACCCCGATGCGACGGAACTAAACGTTTTTTGGGGTAGCATAACCCAGAGCGAGGCCGAATATTATATTAATAAAACTGATTCGAAATTGTTCATAATAAATTATTAATAAGAATTTTCTCGATTAAGTTTATTTCGAAAAAAAACAAACGTTACAACTTGCACATAACCATTAATGAAAAAGGTTAAATGCAATTAATTTGTTTATAATAAACAGTTGTCAATAAAAATCATACACAGTAAAAATAACAATTAATCAAATTATTATATCGCCCAAAACCGACGAGAATATACCATCTTAAAATAAAACATTAATTTAGATGGATTTCGACTTGGTCAAATGGTTTTAAACATATGTAATTGTTAATTATTTGTTGAGAGCTTTAATTTAAAAAAAAAAAGAAGCAATTCGGTTCAATAGAAGCCGAGATAACGTTATTTTTTCCAGTGCGCTTCATTTTGAAAAGTCAATTTCAAGTTTTTCGAGCGGCCGGAACAGCTCGCCTCGGCCTTCCCCCACTCCGCTACCCATGCGAGTGTATGACAGAGTCAGAATGTTTTGTTAGTTAATAATATTATCGTTGCAAAAATAACGGTGATTGATAGTTGCATTCGTTTACATATAAAAGTTCAACATTTCGTTCGAATGTATACCAAATTTCAGCTTTTAATGTTTATAAACAAAGGCGTGGTGATTTTTTAAAAAAAAAAGCCTAACTTCGTTTCCAATATAGTTAAAGAGGTCAATTTTTTTTTAAAATTTGCGTAAAAATGCAAGGAACAAGATGCCGAAATTCGATTTGACTTACGACTTCTGGTTCGGCAGATAAGTCAATTTGTTTATAAGAATTTTCGTACACATTTATATCTGGTGTTTATTTTTCATGTCTTTATGAAAAAATTATTGTTTTTATTGTTGCAAATTGACTGGGAGGTCTCTACCTTTAATTTGCGCTGTGTCTGGTCTTCGTACGTTGAGCCAACTCAAAGTTATTTAACAATCACTAGGGGAGTGTTTTTTAATAAACAAATGCAATATCTCGATAAATAATGCACTTAGCGAGATTTTGAAAAATGCATTGGATTCTGCGTAACGAGGGCTACATTTTCTCAAGATTTCATTGCCGTAGCACGTTTTAATAAATAATTATAAACAATTGTAAAAACGGCCACTTTTAGAGGTTTTTTCGACCTAGAGAATAAACAAATGGACGAAAAAATATGAAAAAAATACCAGAATAAAGGTCTTGAAAATGCCTACAACTTTTGTTTGAAACATTTTATCGTAAAACTTATACTTTACGAGTTAAAAAATATAATATGCTTTTTTGCATTTTTAAAGGCTTATAAACAAAAACGCAGGAACAAAAAACAGTGGCATTTTATGAAAATTAGTTGTTTAGGGTACCCATAATAAGAATCCGTCGTAAAATTCTGGTTGCGAATTTTTTTTTTTGTAACATAGGGACAGATTTTCATTGATTGGACTAAGCCATGATGCGCGCGAGTCGTCCCCCCAGACACTCGCGTGTCAGCTAATTCTTCAATCAAGCTGCTGCTGCAGAGCGTCGAACGAGGTATAGGAAAGCCAGTGCAGCAGCGAATGAAAACAAAAATAAATAAGCGAGGACTGCAGCGCATCCCCCGAATGTGTGCATCGGGAGGCCGAATAAGATAAATTAGAACGGGAGATAAAACGCCAGAAGGAGAGAAAGAGAGAGAGACGCGGTGAGCTGTTTAGAGATACATTTCAAACGTTAGCGGAAGAAGAAGAACAAGAAGAAGAGTAAGCAGCGAGGAATAGAAGAAGAAACCAGTTTTGCGAGAAAACTGCCCCGCGCGAATAATTGATTTCGAGCGCGCGCCCGCTTCAAGTCGGCCAGCAGCAGCAGCAAAAAAAAGAGCGTATACCTATGAAGGAATTAAATACACGGAGAAAGACAAAAGAAATAAATTTTTGAAATTCTCGGCCCGAATCAAACGGACCTGATACGTGTGTATACCTCTGAGCGGCGGCCGCGGATGAAAAATTCATGTCAATAATTATCATATGTGCAACCAGTAAGTAGGCAGTTGCCGCCGATCGAGACACCCCCGCACTCGCAAAACTGCAGCAGCAGCGACGCACGCGCGTGTCCCAACGATGTATAATAAATTACAGCAACAGCGATCGCTGCAACTAAATTCCCCGAAACTAATGTAGCCATGCACGCACGCATGTATCCGAGCTCATGGAACCTAAAAAAGAGGGACGCTTTATAAATACCATATAATATATGCTAACTTCCAGTCACTGCTGCTGCGCGTGTGCATACTTTGAATCAGCATATATAGGCCTGTATATGACTTTATTAAAAAAGTTGCTTTCCTCGTCGCGCGACCAGAGAGCAGCCCAACGCGCGCGATCGAGAAAGAGAGAGCTATCTAAATCTCACTTTCAGGAAAGGGAACAGGTTTGTATTAATATTATTATGTATGAAACGCAGGACCGAAGCTCGTCGCGATCGCGAGACCGGCAGTAGTAACGAAATGCTGCCGCTGCTACTGCGATATTTGCCACTAATATTAAATACGCTACGACATCGGTGGCCGAATTTAATTCTCTAAGCTCTCTACTCCCCTATACCCAATTTCAAGAACAGCAGCTTCGATCGATCATTCAACTATTTTATGTGTGTGCGGTTATACATGTTCTTGGGTGGTGTCTCGATGGGCGCGCGCGATCGGTATCGCCCGCGCCGATCGCTTGTTACATTATCTCTCTCGTAGACGTCGAGCGTTTCTCAAATTTATACCTCGGATCGCGCGAGAGATTTTCGGCCTGCCCTGACAAGAGTGATCTCTTGTTGACCTACATCGGCTGTATAACACAATCGGTATAATAACGTAAGACAGCCCAGCAGCAGAAATAGAGAGAGAGAAGAAAGTGTTTTATCTCGAGCGAGCGATAGCTGAGATTAGGTAGGGTCTCGACAGCGAGACTGCAACAATCGAAAAATCGAACGCCTGAAAAATTCAGCCTCTACAAGCGCCGTCGTGTGCCACATCCAATTGTGCAAGCTCCGTCGGGGAGATTCGAAAGAGAGAATTCGGGTACGAAGTTTGTAATGTATGAAAAGTGTACACGTGCACTCGTGCTATTATCGAGGACGCGTCAGGAGCGAAGTAACGAATTATCTCGCGATCTAAACTCTCGCCCAAAATTCAATTTTACGAACGTCGTGAAGTTTTGAATACGATGCAAGTGAGAGTAGTATACAACACGATTTATCATACCGTGCAACCTTTGCAGATATTTCGTATGGAGAAAATAAATTGAATTGCAAAATGCAATGAAAACTTCTAGTCGACAACCTCGTGGTTTTTATAGATCGCTGTAAGTCCTTTTTGTACTTGGGCAATCAAAATTTTTACTTTGAGAAAAAAATTATTGTATCGTATAATTGTGAGTAGGATGATTGAAGCGCGCCAAAAAGTGACTGTACGAACATAGAACAAATAATGTACTTCATTTTCCTTCAAAAATTCATTGATTTATTTCTAAGGTAAACATTGTTCTTACATAATACGATAAGATTAAGATTATTGTTGTAAACAAAATTTTTTAAATTAATCTTTTGAATGTGTTTATTAAATTTTATCCATTAATTAAGCAATATCGAACGAGAAATGAACTCCATCCATATGTTTTGTAGACTATTCGTCATAAAATCAGCAATTATCGCACTAGTGAGTGACACCATTGTGCATCGATTCGATGTGGATTTTGAGCCTATATTTTTGAGTAAATGCCTTTTTGCACATATCACATGAGTAGGTGACACCATTATGCGCTGATTGAACGTGCCAATCAAGTTTATTCTTTCCTTTATACGTCTTGCCGCAAATATCACATGAGTGGGTGACACCATTATGCATCGATGCGGTGTGGGTTTGGAGATTACATTTAAATGCAAATTTCTTGTCGCAAACGTCACATGCATATTTGGTTCCATTGTGCATCGAATCGATGTGGGTTTGGAGATACCAATTTGTTGAGAATGTCTTTTCACAGATATCACACGAGGAAGTGACACCATTGTGCGCTGTTTGAACATGCCTCGTCAGATCACCCTTCCTTGTAAACGTCTTTCCACATGTACTGCACATATGTTTCGTCCCGTTGTGCATCGAATCGATGTGGGCTTGGAGATTATATTTAAATGAAAATTTCTTGCCGCAAACGTCACATGCATGTTTGGTCCCATTGTGCACAGAATCGATGTGGCTTTTGAGACTAATTTTGTACGGAAATGATTTTCCGCAAATATCACATGAGTGAGTGATACCATTATGCGCTGATTGAACGTGTCTTGTCACATCACCCTTCCTTTTATACGTCTTTCCACATGTACTGCACATATGTTTAGTCCCATTGTGCATCGATTCGATATGGGTTAGGAGACTACGTTTCTGAGTAAATGACTTGCCGCAACTATCACATGAGTGGGTGACACCATTGTGTATTGATTCAATGTGGATTTGGAGATTACCTTTCTGAGTAAAAGACTTGCTGCATATATAACATGAATAGGTCACACCATTATGCACTGATTTAACGTGCCTTGTCAAAGCACCCTTCCTTGTAAATGTCTTGCCGCAAATATCACATGAGTAGGTGATACCATTGTGTATTGATTTAATGTGGATTTGGAGACTAACTGTCTGAGTAAATGACTTTCCGCATATATTACATGAATAGGTCACACCATTATGCGCTGATTGAACGTGCCTTGTCAAATCACCCTTCCTTGTAAACGTCTTGCCGCAAATATCACAAGAGTGAGAAATCCCATTGTGAATTGAATCGATGTGGGTTTGAAGATTCCATTTTAATGAAAATTCCTTGCCGCAAATAACACATGGATGTTTGGTCTGATTGTGCACAGAATCGATGTGGGTTTTGAGTTTAATTTTATATGGAAATGACTTTCCGCATATGTCACATGTGTGAGTAATCCCATTGTGCACCGAATTGGTATGAGTCTGGAGAATATATTCATTAGAAAATGTTTTGCTGCAAATATTGCATGAATGAGTGTGGGTCGTAGTATGGACCATGCCGATGTGTGGTTCGAGGTTATGTTCTTTGTTAAACTTATTTGTAATCATTAGTTCACAGTTGAAATTCAATTCCTTTTCAGCATTACCAGTAATTTCTTGTTTCACTTCCTCCGCGGGTTCTTTTTTAATTGTGTTTTGAACTGTATCGCCATCCATGGTACCTTTCAAGCGATTTTGAGAATAATCATATAATTTTTGAACTAGTAAAGAACCGAAATTTGGTTTCACGTCCTCACATTCACCGACTATTTCCACTTCGTTCTCCAATTCATTTTCAAGTTGATTTTTACACGTTGGAATATGGGTCTGTAGAAACACAAAGTTATGTTTAAATTTTCAGAAAAAAACTATACCACGAGTAACTTAAAATTATCAACACTTACAGAATTTTTTCGCAGAAATGGTAGTAGTTGGAAGTTTTTCAGATCAGGTTTCTGGTCCACCATGTCGCAATTATTTGTAGTAACTGGCACATTACTAGGCTCCTCCTTCACTCTGAAATAACCTCAGTATTATGTTATAACACTCATCATCATTATCATTCTCATAAAGTAAAAATTACCTGACAACACAATTGAGTTTATCCCTGGATTCCATATTCCTCACTTGGGATTTCATGAACAAATGAATCTCTCTGCGGCGATTTTACATGCATCAAACAATCTGGGCATGAAGAAACTGGCGAAGACTGCCGAAGTCAGTTCGCGTTGAAAAACTATGAATCTTTGCGAAAGTTGCTCGCGATCAGCTACGCACAGTTTTTGGTGTAACATCAGCGCTCTGATTATGATGGTATGGACGGCAAAACTTTGCGTGCAGAGCACACACGGGTGCAAACTATTGCGACGCACGATTAATAACCGAACGAGTGGCGCATAATCGTAGATTTGGTTCGCGATGGCGACGCAGATTGGTCAACATTTTAGTTTACGACGATGTCGACACTCGACATTTTGCTATAGTTATGCTCCCTTCTACTGTGTCATGCAATACAGCCGAATAGTGCTTGCTGACCGAGTCTCTGACGCGTCCATGTATAGCGTCTAAATATCACCAAAGAGAAGAAGAATAAAAATAAAATGATTGCTCGGTAGTATCGTCATAGAGGTATTGTGTATATACATAATATAATAATTAGATTGATTCAAAATAAAAGTGTGGCGTTTTTACTTTTTAATGAAAAATTTATTGGTTCTTTTAAAACTTTGATGTTACTTTTACGTATTGAGATGACATATACCGTAGGAAGAATTTATAATATCGCAATATGTTAACATTTTTAAATTAGTTTACTGAACAATTTCACTAGATCTTGAATCGAAGATTTGTCTCAATCGAACATATTCGTTTTTTTATTCTACATCTTATTTCTTATTACAACGTAGCAGCGATGTAAATTTTGTTTGGCATAAATGGCTGATGTTATTATGCGACGATTTGACATGCTTATCGAGATCAAAAATCACATGAGTGGCTAATAGTATGATGCAATGATTTGACATGCCTGTTGAGACTACTCTTCGTTGAAAATTCCTTTTCCGCACATATGTTACGAGCGTGAGGGATACCATTGTGGACCGAATCGATATGATATTTAAGATGACACTTATATTTAAATATCTTTTTGCAAAAATCACATGGATGTTTGATATCATTATATACAGAATTGATGTGCCTAATGAGATTAACTAATTGAGAATACGACTTAACGCATATATACCGCATTTATGTGTGACACTATTGTGCATTGAATTGATGTGTTTTTTAAGACTACTTTTATGTGGAAATGATTTTCCACAAATATCACGTGAGAAATTGGCACGTACGTAAATTATCGTACAATTTTGAATGGATACGATGTAGTTCTCAATCAATTATTGTAGACATTGCGACGTGAAGAACTTGATCTTAAAATTTGCTATTCTATATAATTCTTATAATTTGTGAAGTTGCTTTTAAAAGGAAATGAACTAATTTTTTTCAAACTTGGACGTTTTATTTTAAAACAACATTATGTTTCAAATCGATGTGAGTTTTGAGATGATCTTTTCGTGAATATTTTTTGCCACATTTTTCACACGCATGTTTGACACCATTGTGCACCCAATCGATGTGTTTTTTAAGACTAATTTTAGATGGAAATGATTTTCCGCAAATATCACATGTTTGGGTGACACCATTATGTATTCCATCGATGTGGATTTTGAGAACATCTTTTCGTGAAAATTTCTTGCCACATATATCACATGCATGTTTGATACCTTTGTGCGCCGCATCGACGTGTTTTATAAGACTACGTTTATGTGGAAACGTCTTTCCACATGTACTGCACGTATGTTTAGTCCCATTGTGCATCGAATCGATATGAGTTTGGAGATTACATTTAAATGAAAATTTCTTGCCGCAAAGGTCACATGCATGTTTGGTCCCATTGTGCACGGAATCGATGTGGATTTTGAGTTTACATTTTCGAGTAAATGTCTTTCCACAAATATCACATGAGTGGATGACACCATTATGCGTGTATTCAACATGCTTCTTTAGATCGCCCTTTCTTCTAAGAGTCTTGCCGCAAAAATCACATGAGTAAGTAATCCTATTGTGCACCGCATTGATGTGGATTTTGATATACCATTTGGCTGAGAATGTCTTTTCGCAAATATCACATGCATGTTTGATTCCATTGTGCACAGAATCGATGTGGTATTTGAGACTAATTTTATATGTAAATGATTTTCCGCAAATATCACATAAGTACGTGACACCATTATGCGCTGATTTAACGTGCCTCGTCAGACCAATCTTTCTTTTAAACATCTTGCCGCAAATATTACATGAGTGGGTGACACCATCATGTACTGATTGAACGTGCTTATACAGTTCACTCTTTCCTTTATACGTCTTTCCGCATATATCACACGAGTAAGTAATACAGTGATGAAATGATTTGACATGCCTTCTCAGACTGCTTTCATGTGGAAATTTTTTTCCGCTTATTTTACGTAGATGGCGTGCATCGTTATTAACCGAACTGATATGTATTTTAAGCTTTTGTTCGTCGAAGTTCAAATTCGATGTCCCTGATGTGTCACCAAAAATTTCTTGTTTTATTTCTTGCGTGGCCTCTTTCTTTACTAAGTTTCGCGTTTTATAACTGTTGCCCTCTTTTACACTCCGCAAGGAATTTGTAGAGTAATCATTCATTTTTTTAGCTGTTTGTAAATTAATATTTGGTTTGACGTCCTCGCATTCGAAAACTATCTCCACGTCCTTGTCATGTTTTCTTTCGAGTTTAGTGTCACATTTTCGAAGCTTATGGTTCTATCGAAAAATTATAAAGTTGTGTGAGAATTTTTATTAAAAAATAACTACAATACTAGTTACTTATGAACTATCAAAACTTACGGAATTTTCTTGCCGAAACGGTATGATTGGGAAGTTTTGGATCTTTGGACATTGGAGATTTGATTTCTCGTCAATCATTTCACAGTTATTTCTAATAATAGACACATCATTCATCTCCTCTTTGACTCTGCAAACAATCAAGTGGAACCAAGTATTTTGTTATAATTATATTTTCGTTCTCATCCAATGAAGATTACCTGACAGCAGAATCAAGTACATCACTGGATTCCATCTCTTTTACTCGGATTTCCCTCAACAGTTAATCTTTCTGAGATGACTTTAAACACTAACTATAAGCACGGAAAAACTGACGAGGATTGCTCTGCCCTTGCAAAAAAACTTTGTCAATGCGAAGGTTATGTTTGACGCTGCGCTCCGCGCAGTGTATGCATGGCGAGCCGCGTACACAGGCCGCAGGCCTCAGTTTAGTCGAGCGCTATTTAATTATAGGATGCACTTAATAGCAAAACACCACCAAGTGACGGGAAACACACGGAGAAATCATGTTATCCGTTTTGACCTATAGTTTTAGCTAGTTCAGGTTATGAAATTTTCAATGAGTGTACAAGTCAAAACCAAGTCATTATAATTGTAACATTGAAAAAATTACATTTTGTATCTCTAATGAATGGTGAACAATTTTCTATGGATGTTTTCTATGGAGAGGGTATGTCTATAATAAAATAACATAAGATAATGGATTCAAGCTGTGAAGTTCTTATTTTATTAAAAAATGCATTAATTTTTTTCAAACTTGAACGATTAATTTATGCATAGAGATAAAATAACATAGTAATCTTATACAATTAATGAACCTTTTTAAATTAGTCTTTGGAACAAATAAATGAGAAGCTAAATCGCAATTTTTAACTGAGTGAAACATATGTTTTATACATTTCATTAACATATTAAATCATAATGCGCGCAGAGCGGTGCGCCATAGCGATGTGAGCTTTGAGATTTGCTCTTTGTCCAAACGTCTTTCCACATGTCTTGCATGAATGGGTGGTACCATCATGCGACGATTTGACATGCTTATAAAGACAAGATAGATATTTGAATTTTTTTCCACAATAGTCACATGCTTGAGGAGTACGTTTATGCATCGACACAAAGTGTATTTTGAGATTATTTTTCGATGGAAATGTCTCGCCGCAAATATCACATAAGTGAGTAACCCCATTGTGCCTCGATTCGATGTGGATTTTGAGTTTATATTTTTGAGTAAATGCCTTTCTACAAGTATCACATGAGTAGGTGACACCATTATGCGCTGATTGAACATGCTTCGTCAGATAACTCTTCCTTTTAAACGTCTTGCCACAAATATCACATGAGTAGGTGACACCATTGTGCATTGAATTGATATGGTATTTTAGACTAGTTTTATGTGGAAACGATTTTCCGCAAATATCACATGAGTAGGTGACACCATTATGCACTGATTGAACGTGAATTTTTAAATCATCCTTTCTTTTAAGCGTCTTGCCGCAAATATCACATGAGTAGGTGATACTATTGTGTATTGATTTAATGTGGATTTGGAGACTAACTTTCTGAGTAAATGACTTTCCGCATATATTACATGAGTAGTTGACACCATTATGCGCTGATTGAACGTGCTTTGTCAAACTATCCTTACTTTTATACGTCTTTCCACAAATAGCACATGAGTGAGTGACACCATTATGAACTGATTGAACGTGCCTTGTCAAATCATTCTTCCTTGTTAAAGTCTTGCCACAAATATCACATGATTGTTTGACACCATTATGCATCGAATCGATGTGGGCTTGGAGATTACTTTTAAATGAAAATTTCTTGCCGCAAACGTCACATGCATGTTTGGTCCCATTGTGCACTGAATCGATGTGGCCTTTAAGACTAATTTTATATTGAAACAATTTTCCGCAAATATCACATGAGTAGGTGACACCATTATGCGCTGATTGAACGTGCCTCGTCAAATCACCCTTCCATTTATATGTCTTTCCACAAATAGTACATGAGTGAGGGACACCATTATGAACTGATTGAACATGCCTCTTCAGATCGCCCTTCCTTTTGAACGTCTTTCTGCATGTATCGCATGTATTTTTGGTACCCGTGTGCACAGAATCGATGTTTGTTTTGAGTTGATGTTTATCGTTGAAATCCTTTTGATCACTTCTCTTTTCATTATGCTCGGTAAATTTACAATCGAAATTTAAATCCATTTCCTTTTGGACTCCATCCAGAGTTTCTATTTTAATTGCATTTTGAGTTTCGTCGTCGCTATACTTCATATTCCGCAAGTATTTTGGTGAATAATCGTCAGTTTTCTTATTTTCTAATGAATTCATAATAAGCTTGACGTCTTTGCACTCAATCAAAATTTGCATTTCGTCATATTCATTTTCGTGATTTTTGTCACTTTCTTGAAACGTCTGTAACAAAATATTGAGTCAAGTCAAATTTTTTGTAAATAATTTTTACCACATGAATTGTATGATGTAATTATCAATTCTTACTGAATATTCTCTGGAGAATCGGAAATTTTTAACATCAGGCGCCTCATCGATCCTATTGTCATCATTCTCAATAAGAGACGTATCACAGGGTTCGTCTTTCACCCTGAAATTATTCCAAGCCGGATTAAATTTTATGCTCAAGAATTTTTTTAAATTTCTTATAAAATGAAATTTACCTGATGGCACAGTTGAAGAGACCACTGGATTCCATCTTACTCATCTTACTGACAGATCTACGATGACGAGTAATCTTTCTGTAACAATTTCAAACACACATATTGAATTCAATAATATTTACAAACATCGATGTGAAAATCTGGGCAAAACTGATGTTTACATAGTAACGTCAATTCATTGTATAGTATTCAAAAATTATATTGATCCACCAAACGAATTATACTCATTTTCGCATCGATAATATTAATAAAAGATACAAAGCAAAAGAATATAAAAAGTTTCATCAGAAACAGCTAGTTATGAAAAATAGACAAATAATCGACGAACAACGTTAAACGATAAATAAGAATAATTACAGATATCTCTGATTATATACTTATGAAAATCTCGCCCGGACAAGTTACTATACGCGTATCGATGGTATAAAGTCATCAACGTTATTACACGAGTAGGCAGCGCAAAACAACAATAATTTTTGTAGGTGCGTTTATAGATACCATCACTCGGACGAGTGTATACATACCGTACGAAAAAGTCCTCTCGATGATACATAAGTCGAATCCACCCCCTTTTTATCTCACTAACTTCTCTTATTTTCCTCTCGTATATGTGTGTGTACGCACGCACAGGTATAGATAATTTGCACACGAGAAGCAGAACGCCGCGCGCGTGCCTCATAAATCCTCGATGTCTCTACGGAATCTAAGCACGTGCATATAATAAACACGCGATACATCCCCTCGGCTACCACTACATATAAAGAGTAAATATTATGATATTTTCTCTCTCTTTCTTTCTCTCTGCTCGAAAATTACAAGCCCGAAAGTAAATAAAGTCGTCGCTCGATGAATGAAAAAAAAAGCGTACATCGTGCGAGATCGGGAGAAAGAGATATCGCAGAAAAATGACGCTCGCGTGGGTGCACACACACACACACATAGAGAAGAGTTTTGATTATTATTTTTTTTTTTCGTTGGTTTTGTTGTTGCGCTCTTTATAGCTCTGCAAACGAAAAGGAAAGGATAAGTCGGCAAGGACCAGAGGCTTACTGCTATTCATTAAGACGATGTATATATGCACACACATACACGAACAACAGCAGCAGCTGCTGCTGCTACGACTACTACGGGGGTCCTATCGCGATGATGAGTCAATTTATCGATCATATAGATCGCGAGCTTCGAGTTAATATACACGCATACGCATAGCCGAGAGAAAAGAATTTTTCGGACTATCGAGTGATTTATGAGAAGGAGGCAGTAGCAGCGGCAGCAGAGAGCATCGTCGTGATTATGGGTGGCCATTATAACGAGCTACAGAAGCGGATATATTATCTCTAAATCCATGCATATACGTTGCAGTGTGAACAATTTTTTTTAGACGCGCGTCTCGATTTTGAGGAATTCGCATCATCCAGGGATGACTTTATCGGTCGTACTGATTCGTTTCTCGCATCGAATACATACACACACGCGAAAATAAAACGATCGATCGAGATAAATGTTACATTTTTAAAAAAATTATTTTAAGGATTCTCGTTTTCTCGGAGTCGAAGAAAAAAAAATTAGCAACAAACTCTTATGTAATATATGCAAACAAGCTGATTAGCCGTATACACATAAACGAGAAAACGTATAAAAATTCTCCGTATCCTCGGGGCAGTACATGCCCCGGCAAAATTGAAGAGATCGGAGGTATTTACCAGCTGTCGATGATCGGACACGCACACTACACGGCAAAAAAGAGAGAGAGAGAGAGAGAGAGAGGACTGAGGCCACCACCGACGAGCAATTTGCCTTTCAGCTCTCTTGTATATATACGTTGTTACATTATATATATTTTAATGAACGAGCGCGAAGATAAGGTAATTGAACGACGCGCGGCGATTCGAAAAATTTTTCGGGCTTCGTACATTATAATATCGTGCGTGTATGTATACTGGAGATCGTCGTCGAGTCATCTCTCTGCACGTGCGAATTTCAGCGCACGAGCGCTACGCGTTACACACAGCGGATGATTTATCGAAAATATCATTACTTGTACGGGACGATCGAGAGCACTGCTCGGGTTATTTTTCGTTTTGATTAATTGCCGTTTATCGTGTTGGCTCGCGAGACGCCGCCGCCGCCGCCGTGTGCAGGCGTCGCAATTTTGTCTTCGCGCTCGCAAAAAACCATACCGAGCGTTGATTATTATTTTATTCTTCGCGCAGGTGTCGAGATGATTTAACTCCGATAAAAAAAAGGCGATACGCGAGTCAAAATTACCGAATCGTGCCGAGCGTACTTTTGATTTGCGGTCATACACGTGATTTCTTGTTACATACCTATATAGCAACGTTTTGTCTAAATAATGTACCGCACACACACACGCGTGAGTTTAATAAATCTCGCTCGCGAACATTTTTGACATATGGTTATTTAGCTTGACGCGTGTGCGCGTACGTGCAGTTTGTACAACTCGAAAGAGACAGTGAGAACGACTATTAGGCTCATATACAGACATAGCTCAAAGATATTTTCTAGGTCGATCGCGCGAGCGAGCGAGCGAGCTATATGTGCCTAGAGAGGCTTTTCCCACTTTTTTGTTACAAATCGATTATGCCATGAGCAGTCCGCGTCGCTTCGGGGCTATAATACTGCACGAGATCGAATGAAAATCTATACAGGATCGAGTCTCTCGATCGGCGCGTATCGTAGAAATTGGCACGTACGCAAATTATCGTACGATTTTTCAATGGATGCGATGTAGTTGGCAATCAATTATTGTAGCCATTGCGGCGTGGAGAACTTGATCTCAAAATTTGCTATTATATGTAATTCTTATAATTTGTAAAGTTTTTTTTTTAAAGAAAATGAACTAATTTTTTTCAAACTTAGACGTTTTATTTTATATATTGGAGATAAAACAGCATAGGAAGAATGCAATTATTTAAATTAGTTTTTTAAACAAATGAACCAGAATCTAAATCGCAATTATTAACCGAGTGAAACATATATTTTATAAATTTTATTAATGTATTAAGTCATAATGTAGAGCGATGAGCCATAGCTATGTGAGCTTTGAGATTCGCTCTTTGTCCAAAAGTCTTTCCGCATGTGCCGCATGAATGGGTGATACCATTATGTATTCCATCGATGTGGATTTTGAGAACATCTTTTCGTGAAAATTTCTTGCCACATATGTCACATGCATGTTTAATCCCATTGTGAATTGAATCGATGTGTTTTTTAAGACCAATTTTATATTTAAACGTCTTTCCACATGTACTGCACACATGTTTCGTCCCGTTGTGCATCGAATTGATATGGGTTTGGAGATTACTTTTATGTAGAAATGATTTTCCGCATATATTACATGAGTAGGAGACACCATTATGTGCTGATTGAACGTGCTTATACAGTTCACTCTTTCCTTTATACTTCTTGCCGCAAATATCACATGAGTAGGTTATACCATTGTGCACTGAATCGATGTGGCTTTTAAGACTAATTTTATATTGAAACAATTTTCCGCAAATAGTACACGAGTGGGTGACACCATCATGCGCTGATTGAACGTGCCTCGTCAAATCACCCTTCCTTTTATATGTCTTTCCACAAATAGTACATGAGTGAGTGACACCATTATGAACTGATTGAACATGCCTCTTCAGATCACCCTTCCTTTTGAACGTCTTTCTGCATGTATCGCACGTATTTTTGGTACCCGTGTGCACAGAATCGATGTTTGTTTTGAGTCGATTTTTATCGTTGAAATCCTTTTGATCACTTCTCCTTTCATTATGCTCGGTAAATTCACAATCGAAATTGAAATCCATTTCCTTTTTGACTCCATCCAGAGTTTCTATTTTAATTGAATTTTGAGTTTCGTCGTCGCTATACTTCATATTCTGCAAGTATTTTGGTGAATAATCGTCAGTTTTCTTATTTTTTAGTGAATTCATAATAAGCTTGACGTCTTTGCACTCAAACAAAATTTGCATTTCGTCAAATTTATTTTCGTGATTTTTGTCACTGTCATGAAACGTCTGTAACAAAATATTGAGTCAAGTCAAATTTTTTGTACAATAATTTTTATGCCGTGATTTGCCGTGGATTAGACGATATAATTATCAATTCTTACGGAATATTCCCTGGAGAATCGGAAATTTTTAACATCAGGCACCTCATCGATCCCATTGTCATCATTGTCAATAAGAGACGTATCACAGGGTTCGTTTTTCACCCTGAAATTATTCCAAACAAGATTGAATTTTATGCTCTAGAATTGTTTTGAATAAGCAATTAATTTTAAACAAACATAAAATGAAATTTACCTGATGGCACAGCTGAAGAGAGCACTGGATTCCATTTTACTCATCTTACTGATGGAACAACAATGACGAGTAATCTTTCTGTAACAATTTCAAACTCACTGGCTTCAATCCAAGTCAATATTATTTACAAACAACGATGGGAACATCTAGGCAAAACTTTAGTTCGTAATCAATCAATGTAGCCACTAGGGCATAAACATCGTCTTAAAATTTGGTATTCTATGTAATTCTCATAATTTGCGCACATTTCACGATCTTTGGATGCAAGTATAGATCAATTAGTGGCAGATTAGAAAAAGGGCCTCCCCGAAACTAACTTTCATTCGACGCACACGCAATTATAATACAACTATAAAGGCTATTACAATTTTTTTCGTGAGGTTTATTAAAAAATTAATCAAATAAAATTTCCCTCTTTATGTAGTTCCGAAGCAATCGTAAAAAAAATTGCTTTCGGCTTATTGTTGTACGAAAAGCTACAGAAAGAATGCACCTAAAAATAAACAGAGAACAGTAGTACGTAGAATCTAAAAACACTCCGATATCAAAGTAAAGGTGTAATGATAGTTGAAGCATAATCATTTAGACAAAATTTTTATTGAACTGTTAGAAAATTATCTGCATAAGTATGTATATTTACAATTGTCTATTATAATTTCTTTTCGCTCTTGTCGAATACATGATTATTGTAACCTTCGTGAACTATCTTTTGGTGTCTGAGCAATTGCCCTTTTTGTCCAAATTTTTTCTCAAATTCGTCGCATCCGTAATCTTTTCGTCCTTCATGTACGATTCTTTGGTGCTTCAACAAATCTGATTTAGTTCCAAATTTTCTTTTGCAATTGTCGCATGCGAAATCTTTGCAATCTTCATGGATTATTATTTGGTGTTTGAGCAAATGCACTTTTTGTCCAAACTTTTTTTTACACTTGTCGCATTCATAATCTTTGCAACCTTCATGAACTGTCGTTTGGTGTCTTCTCAATTGGCTTATATCTCCAAAGTTCTTCTCACAAACGTCACACGCGTAATCCTTGCCTCTTTTTTGGACTTGGTGACCCTCATGGATTGTGATTTGGTGCCTCGACAAATGCCATTTTCGTCCAAATACTTTCTCACATTTCTCGCATGCGTAATCTTTCCGACCTTGATGGACTGTCCTGTGGTGATCACCCAAATGCTGTTTATGTCCAAACTTCTTCTCACACTTGTCACATGTGAAATCTTTGCGACCCTCGTGGACTATTTCTTGATGTCGGCGCAATTCCGGTTTTGACCCAAATTTTTTCTCGCACTTGTCACATGCGTAATCTCTGCGACCTTCATGGACTGTTTTTTGGTGTTTTATCAAATTGGCTCGATCTCCGAATTTCTTCTGGCATTTGTCGCATACGTAAACTTTCCAGTCTTCGTGAACTGTAATTCGGTGCCTGAGCAAATGCGTTTTGTATCCAAATTTCCTCTCACATTTGTCGCACGCGAAATCTTTGCGATCTTCGTGAACTGTCCTTTGGTGCCTCGATAAATCTGATTTACTTCCAAAACGTTTTTCGCAATCGTCGCATACACAATTCTTGCGAACTTCATGGAATTTTGTTATGTGCCAGAGCAAACTCCATTTGTGTCCAAATGTCTTCTCGCAATTGTTGCACGCGAAATCTTTACGACCATCGTGGATTATCTCTTGGTGTTTAAACAATTTTGATTTTTGTCCGAATTTTTTCTCGCATTTGTCGCATGCGTAATTTTTTTGACCTTCATGAACTATCTTTTGGTGCCTGAACAAATCTGATTTACCTCCAAATTTCTTCTCACAATTGTCGCATGCAAAATCTTTTTGACCTTCGTGGACTGTTTTTTGGTGCACTAAAAAATCAGCTTTTCGTCCGAATTTCTTTTCGCATTTCCCACATAAATAATCTTTTCGTCCTTCATGTACTGTTCTTTGGTGCTTCAACAAATCTGATTTAGTTCCAAATTTCTTCTGGCACTTGTCGCATTCGAAATCTTTGCGACCTTCGTGTATTGTCCTTTGATGGTGAAGCAAATTTGATTTATATCCAAATTTTTTTTCACACTTGTTGCATGCATAATCTTTGCGAGCCTCATGAACTGCAGTTATATGGATGAGTAAATGTTCTTTACTTGCATATTTTTTACCGCAATTTTCACACATGTAATCTTTGAAGACGCGATGTACTGTCTTGTGGTGGAAGAGCAAATGCGATTTTTTTATAAATACTTCCACGCATTTGTCGCATGCATAAGTTTTACGATATTTATGAAATGACTTTTGGTCCTTCAACAAATTTGATTTATTTCTAAAATTTTTCTCGATATTGTTACATGCAAAATCTTTGCGGTCCTCATGGACTGTCTTTATGTGCACAAGCAAACTCTGTTTATTTCCGAATCTCTTGGCACATCTTTCGCATAAGTAATCTTTGAAAATTTCGTGAAATATTTTTTTATGTTTGAGTAAAGTCGATTTATCCTTAAATTTTCTCTCGCACTTGCTGCATGAGTAATCTTCGCGATGTTTGTGGACTAATTTTTGGTGCGTAAATAGACTCGCTTTTTTCACAAATTTCTTCTCACATTGGTCGCATGGAAAATTATTACGGCCTTTGTGTTCTGATATTTGGTGTCTACTCAAATGACTTCGAAATTCAAATTTCTTCTCGCAATTGTCACATGAGTAATTTTTTTGTTCTTTGTGAGTTGTGTCTCGGTGTGTTATCATGCTTGATTCTAGTGTAAATGCCTCCTGACAAATATCACAAATGTATTTTTTTTCGTCTGAAACAACAATTTCGTTTTCACTTGAATTATTTTCCGAGACAACTTCCTCGGATTTCTTCTCACTGTTATCCATTTTGATGCCTAAATTAAACGATGGATCTGTCTATTAAGTGCCACGTAAATTGAATGAGTAAAATTTATCTTTTGGTGTTACGAGTTGAAAAACAAAATTCAAACTGATTTATTTTCACTATAAACATGATAACCGCTCGAGGCACTTTGAAAAAATCGTTTAAGATCATATTGTTTACAATTAAGGTACCGATTTATCTGTTTATGAGTTATCCTTACAACACTCGAAACAATTTTAAATTTTAACTTGGCATCGATTCGTTCAAGCAATTTTTCGACCGACTACCAATTACTTCCAAATGAACTCCCGAACGACAACATCGAGTTAATATATATCCTAATACACACGTATTGATTTTAAAATGGGCCGCCCTCTCGCCACGGCGTGTTTGGCGCACTCCATAATACGCCACTGCGATATCAGCAGTAAGCCTTAGAAGAAGCAAGGGTGAATAATTGTAATCAATTACAGACACGAGACGGATAATTTTTTTTCTTTACAAAGCAACGAGCTACTCGTTGTATATGTGTTTGTTTACGCGCGGGTGCATGATCGCGTTATCATTAGCGCCACTCTTTCTCTCTCTCTCTCTCTCTCTCTCGAAAGAGGAGCTAGGCCGCATACTTATAAAATAATACATGTAATAATATCGACACTTGGACGGTGGAGATCGTTGGGCGCGCGAGCGGCTCGACGCATCCCTACCCCACTTTATATATATAATACTGCACCGGAGCGCGCGATATATACCGATCCGCTTCTCTCTCTCCTCTGGTCGATTCGACAGACACGCACACGTCTTTTTAGTCAGCTGCTGCCGTTGGCATACGTATATATATACACACGCAGAGACACAGACGGACCGTCGTCGTCGTCATCGATGTGCAGTAGTTGGTGGTGTGTGCACAGTTACGACGAGCCTCCTCTTCTCACATCGCTCGGCTCTTGCAGTGTGCAGTTTTGCACGGGCCGCTGCCGTCGCCGCTGCCGCGCCGGCCTAGAGAGCTCTCGCACGCGCAGCAGCAGCATACATACATATAACATACCTATACCTATACCACGAAACATTATAAAAGCCAAGCCGGCGGAGCCGAGAGCAGCGCACTCCAACGCGGCCACTGTCCCGCGATACAACAACCGAGCAGCAGAGCTCCTCTCTCTCGACCGCCCGGTCTCTCTCGCTCTGCTTTTTGATGTGTGCTGCGAACGCGATTCATTCGTCAACCCCCTTTGGGATAGATTCGAAGTTACCCTCTTAGACGGGACTCTTTTTCGATCGAGTGATTTTTTTTTATAATAATAAAAAGAACAAAACTATAATAAAAAATGTGTGTGTCAAGTGCGACGACGAATACGGATCAAGAGGCGTCACAAACGACATCGAACGACAGTAGCAGTAACAACAATAGCAACGATACGAGCGTCACCGATCATCCAGCGGTGGAATCATCGGAAAAGATTCAGACGACGAAGTCGGGCCTGACCAAGGCCAAGGAGAAGTACATGCGGCTGCACGACAAGATGCTGGAGCAGGAGCGCGAGCTGGCGCGTAAGCGCGAGGCCGAGGCCGACTCGAGGCTCGCGGCCAAGCTGAGGAGGCACGACGTCTGGGCCTGCGGCCGTAGGGCCGCCGCGAGCATAGCCGCGAGGCTCTGGGCCCGCGTCGACGCCTGGAAGGATCACAAAATTTACAAGTTAGTACCAGTTCATCGATATTGATATATTCGCGCGCGCGATAATCGCCGCTTTTATATATACTCGCTTCGACGAGCTTGTATATAGACACCGTTTATTAAATTATAATTAATACGCGTGTAATGACACCGGAGAGCGATCGAACGGCGCGTTGACTACCAGCTACTACTACGGAAAATTGAAAGTGTCTCTCGCTCCCCCGCAAAGCGCGTTTATAATCGCCGATCGCCGATCGGAGATTATTATTATATCGATCGTTATAAAACTACTAATCTGCGGATGTAAAACACGTTCTCGGATAGAGGCAAAAAAAAAAAAATTAACTCAAAGGTCCATTTGAAATTCAAATGACAAATATACTTACTTATAGCCGCGTGTGTGAATTGTGCACTCGCCCAAACGGAGCAACGACGGCTCGTTTAACGGCAGCTCGCTGCTGCTCGTTGATCGCGCGCCTACATATCGGTATACACACAACATAATAAAGTCCGTGGCAGTA